TTTTCCTAGCTGGAATGTCTCCTGGAACTCTGCTCATGCAAGGATGGAGAGTGGTCCATGACTATGTGTGGGAGCCAGCCTACCATACAAAGTTAAAAATTGCATGGGGCCCACATGCTGGTGCTGATAAGGGCCAGATGCAAAATGCAACCAGTCATGCTCTGGGCTCCACAATCTCCCACACTGCCGACAAAAACAAACAAGTGACTAGATAAAGAAGCTATCCATATGATGCTGACATAAAGCTCCACAAATTCACTCTGCAAAAGAAGGAAAGAACACTACCCTCCCTTCTCTCTCCCACCTCTCTTGGCCCCCCAATCTCACAGTGCCTAGGATAGCAGTGTGTCAGACCAAATGTAGAAAAGACCTGTGGAAAAGAAGAAGAAGAAGAAGAGAAGAGTTTGGATTTGATATCCTGCCTTTCACTCTCCTTCAGGAGTCTCAAAGCGGCTAACATTCTCCTTTCCCTTCCTCCCCCACAACAAACACTCTGTGAGGTGAATGGGGCTGAGAGACTTCAGAGAAGTGTGACTGGCCCAAGGTCACCCAGCAGCTGCATCTGGAGGAGCGGAGACGCGAACCCGGTTCCCCAAATTACGAGACTACCGCTCTTAACCACTACACCACACTGGCTCTCTAAGACCCTACAAACTGAAAATGGAGACACTATATGTACCTTTGTCATCCATGAAAATCTTTCAATAAAAAAAAGTTTAAAAAGAAAAACAATGGGGAAACCCCCTTTTGTGCATGCATAATTTTTAGCTCAGAAATAAGAGCAAATTAAGTACTCTTCTACCTAGCTCTAATAAGCACCAATTACACCTCTCTCAAGCCGTGCGGTTCCCCGGGGGGGGGTATCCTATCAAGAACTTCCACAAGAACTGTATACATGTCAGCCTGTCCTCACACACAGGGGAAGTCCCTAACTCAACGAGGGTTTGAGACCCATCCGCTAGCCTTGCCCGGTTTGGCTGGCCAGTCAAAGCAGTTAGCAGGGTACAGCCGCTGTCACAGGCTGGCAGCTTCCAGGAGCTGCAGGTGAGAGCTGAGTGCACGGTGGGGACCAAAGGTGGACCAGCGATCCCAGAAGGAGCACCAACACTTTCTCCACCAGAGGTACTAGAGGGACCCCTGACCGTAAGGTCCAGTCGCGAATGACTCTGGGGTGGGGCTGCTCATCTCGCTTTATTGGCCGAGGGAGCTGGCATACAGCTTCCAGGTCATGTGGTCAGCATGACTAAGTCGCTTCTGACAAACCAGAGCAGTGCACGGAAACGCTGTTTACCTTCCCGCCGGAGCGGTACCTATTTATCTACTTGCACTTTGACGTGCTTTCGAACTGCTAGGTTGGCAGGAGCAGGGACAGAGCAATGGGAGCTCACCCCGTAGAGGGGATTCAAACCGCCAACCTTCTGATCCGCAAGCCCTAGGCTCTGTGGTTTAGACCACAGCGCCACCCATGTCCCTACCAGAAGTACTATCCCTCCCCTAAAACCCCATACACCCCATACATTGAACTCCAGATTCTGGTATCTCTCAGGAGGTACCATCCACATGCACACTTGGCAATTTGCTCGATTTGTAATTTGTTAAGAACGCCATCACATGTTGCCATTACTTGCCTCAAGTCATCAAGACTCCCTTCCTGGAAAAATTTTGGCATCATGGTGTGATGCACTGATGATGATTTGTGCTCATGATGACACAATTTCAACAATGTTTGCAATGGCAAAGGTTTTTGGGCAGACATACAGCTTCATTTCCAATCCACGTGTGTCCCGTAACTTGCTACTGAAATACTGTAACTATGCATACCACAAATATTCAGGGAGTGAGGGTGTGTGTGTGTGTGTGTGAGAGAGAGAGAGAGAGAGAGAGAGAGAGAGAGAGAGTTGTTATAAGAATCAAACCCCAGTTTTTACATCAGTGTGCCCTGCTTTTCTTGCATCACAGGGCAAGAGCACCCCTCAAGACAGAAATGCTATGGCAACATTGGGGAAGCATCACAAAGCAACTAATAAAGCAGAACTGTGTGCAGACGGCCCAGTAAAAATCCGCCACCAAGGCACTGCTATTGCATCAATAGCATCTTGCAGATTACACCAGCAGAAAAAGGCCCCACCTGTCTGAAGGGGCTCTGTGTGGGAGCCCCTTGTTGCAGCATGGGTGGATTTCCAGTGGATTTCAAGCCCACCAGCTTAAGAAGCTTAGACTTTTGAGTTCGCAAGCGCACAAATCAAAAGCGCCGCAATTTCCCCCCCAAGGCAAAATGGTCAGGATGTCAGCCAGAACGCAACTGATACCCGAGTGCTGCTCTTCCAACCTACCAGCAAACCGGTCTGGCAACATTCTACACACAACGCAAACAACACGAGGCTGGCGTCATTGGTCTGGAGTCAGCGATTCACCCAAGTGCATGAGAGCATGCGGCAACCCATCAACCCCGCTCCCAAACCTTGCCGTTGGCCTCACTTTGATCTGGGGAAGGCGAGGCCAGCTCTGCGGCTGTAACGAGCGCACCTTGCGATGGATAGCAGGTGTCGTGAACCTGTCATGGGTGCGCGGTTGCAGGCGGAACGGCCAACCAAGGAGCCCCTGACTAAAATATCACCTACACTCTTAGGCTAGGGCCTAGGCACTTTGCTTCCTGCACTCCAGCCCCTTCTGCCACCATCCCAGTCGGCAAGACGGGGGTAACCATTTTGGGTTTCCTCATGAAAAACACTACAAGACACCGTAAACGCTGCTTCAAATAATGCAGCAAGCAGGACGTGCAACAAAATGTTGCAGTGTGAAGTGCTCCTGTTTAGGGTTCCAGCCAACCAGTCCTGTCCTTTCCCAGGATACCCCATTCCACTCCCTAGTCCCCATGGATTTTTTATACAGAGAGAGAGAGAGAGAGGGAAGGAGGGAGAGGAAGAGGGAGAAAGAGAAAGAGAAAGACAGAAAGAGGGAGGGAGGAAGAGAGAGAGAGAGAGAGGGAGAGAGCACTTCAACAGCTTAAAATGTCACAGTCTAAAATGCCCTCACGCCTCCTTCCTGAAGCTGGGCTTTGAGAAGGTGCCCCCTTGGATCCACACCTAATGCAGGGGAAACGATCGTGCTGCCTTAAATCCAGCTCTGTCCTTGCCCTACAGCACCAGGAAGGAGGGAGAAGAGGGCTAGTTGAGGGCCGCCCCCAAGTTCCCAGAGTGGGAGAGACCCAGTGGTGCTGCTGCTGCTGTTCCTGCTGGTGAGCTGGGGTTGCTCCTCATTGCCTCCGGTGTGCATGGGTCAAGGCCCTGGCTAGGGGCTAAAGAAGAGGGATCGGTGGGGTGGGGAGGAGTGGCGGAGGTTTGGGGCACAGCTCGACTGTGTGGGGAAACCTGCTTGGTGTGGATGAGCAGATTCGGCGTCCCAGAGTGGTTGGAGACAGAGGAGTGGTGGGAGGAACCACCTGGGGAACCAAAAGGGAAGAAGGCTCAGGGGCTAGGGATTGGTAGTAAGATGACAATGAGCGGTCAGAGGGAGAAGCCTGGGAGGAGGAGGTGTCGGGAGCTGGAGAGGTAACAGGGCTTAGTGAGAAGAGAGAGTCTGTAACCAAAAAAAAAAAAAAAAAAGTCCAGAAGCAGGAGGGTGGGAGGAGAGAGACCAAGAAGCAGAGATGCGTCCGGCTGGTGAAGAGCCAAGGAGGTCTCTCCCTCCTGCTGCGACAAGGTCCCCTCTCCCCTGGTCTTCCAGAACCAGAAGAGGCATGAAGAGGGAGGAAGAGAAGTTAGCTTCACACAGGTACAGTCTCAGATTGCTTGGGGCAAACCCTGGAGAGAAGGGGGAAGGTGGTGACCTTCAGTCTCGGCAACTGCTTCATGGGGAAAAGACCTGCCAGAGATGTACCCATTAGGCCTGACACTCCTGTGCAGATTCTGTTTTTGCTAAGTCCAACTTGCCCGCTGTGATTTACGGTGATTTTAAGATCCCCCACCTCTAATGTCTGTCATACCCAAAACACACACACACACCAAGAAGGGGCCGTTGGATCTGTAACTTTGGGCCTCTTACCTCCAACCCTTTCAAGGAAGGACAGGGAGAGGGATAGTCCGGACTGCAACTGCGTGGGAATGACCTGCCCAAGCTAAGGCCATTAAGAAACCACACAGGGCCACTGAGAGCCATTGGCGCTGCAAGAGAACTGTCCTTCCCCCTTGCCCTGAGGTGTGAACACAGACCGGGGGGGTTTGCAGATTGCTAGGGTAACTGGGTGTGAGGTGACAGGAAAAGAGAGTTTTTTAGTGGGGTGTTCTGGGGAGAAGAGGGAAGAAAAAAGACTGGGATCCATCTTGGGCAGGCTGGCTGCACTGCTGTGGGGGACAAGCGCCTTTTGGAATGACCATGCTGGGAGATATGGACTCCCTCCCTGCAGACCAAAGGTGCAAATAGGTGAATAAACCGCATTTCTAAAAGCCACAACATTCTCCGCTGTGCTGCGATTCTCCCCTAGGACAGGCATGTCCAAAGTCTGTTTCGGGGGCTTAATCCGGCCTGCTGGTCGTTTTAATCTGGCCCCTGTGGCAGTATATATCCTGGGGTAAAATCCTTTAAAAAGCTCAACAACTTTGAGGTAGTAAAATTGTAAAAAAAAACCTCCAATCCTAAAAAACCCCAAAAAAACTCAACAACAACTTTGGCCGGCCCTCACGCATGTTCACTTCATTAAATCTGGCCCTCTCTGTAAAAAGCTTGGGCACCCCTGGCCTAGGATCTTGGTATTGTTCGGCAGGTGGCACACAACTTTTGTAACCTTGGGATAGTAATTTTTCAAGACAACTTGAGATTTTCAAGATAACTCTTGAAGCACAAACCCTGCTGTTTTCTTTTGTGACGTGGCATTTCATAAATAAGATATTTTTAACTGACTCATTGGTATCCCGCAGGCAGAGCAGAGCACTGGCATCTTTGCTGCGCTGCTGCATCCAAAGGCCTCTCTCGCAGTTGCCGTTTAAGCCAGTCCCTCCCACATGGAGGAGAACTTGATCTCGGCTGGCCTTCCTGCCAATCGGAAGCAGGGAAAAGTTAGCTACGTTTTCGGTAACCAGGGAGATGGCAGCGGGGAGAGGAAGCATGATGCACCCCAGAGATGCCAACCACATTCCTGCACATGTGGCGACATGGGCTCGCTGTCTGAGTAAGCGAGTGAGTCGGACACCAATTATAGCACCTCAGAAGGAAACCATTCCGCAGAGGGACGTAATGGCTGTCTGGCTGGGTCACAGGCAAAAAATGCCGGGCTTTGGGAATGGGAACCCGGCAACGACGCAGCTGCTTCGCAACACACTCCTATTTACAGATTGATGCAATTGACGATGACATTGCAGCAGATCATTGCTCGGGTTGATGCAGTGGCTAAGAGGCTAGGCCACAAACCAGGAAGCCCTGGGTTCGAGTCTCGCCTCAGCTCATGACCTCACTAGGTGGCCTTGAGCAAGCAGTTGGTTTTCTCAGCCCAACGGCCAGCGACACGGGCAATAACAAGGCAGGCCTACTTTGCACACTCTCAGAAATTATTTCAACGGTTCTGCATGCTTACCATGAAGGACATTCTCCAAGATGACATTAAATGTCAGAAAAAAATATAATATAGAAGTCCTTCTGCTCACTTGCACCTGGGATTTGATGTTACCGTGCAGTGTTATATGCTGTTTAAATGTGTCCAAGCTGTGTTCGTTATTTCATATATTACTTGTTATAAGAAAAGTTTAAATTTTTTTTTAAAAGGATTGATTCTGCATGCTAATCAGCAGACCTGGTGGCATATGTGGCTCAATAGGTACAACATCTGCACTGTCTGCTGAAAGTCCCGGATATGATCTCCCAGCTGGGTTTGCAATGCCCCCACTCTGAAACCCTGGAGAGCTGCTGCCAGTCAGTGTAGACAATATTGAGCTAGATGATCTGACGGTCTAACTTAGTATAAGGCAGCTTCTTGTGTTACTGTGGATTCCTTTCTAGACTGCAACTGCCGAAGAACTGGGAATTCCAGCTTGCACCAGCAGCAAACACCCACAGCCCAACACCAGCCTATCTTGTTCTGCCAACAGGCCTGGAGGTTTGAAATTCTATCCGGTCTGTAAAATTCCTGCTGGATGGCAACCTCAGAGGTCGTATTTGGAAACGCTGAGGGTGCAAGTGAGAAAGCAGTGCAAGGCCTTCTCACTTCCAGAAGAACAAAGGAAGAGCCTGTCTGCTGGATCAGGCCAAAGGCCCATCGAGTCCAGCATCCTGATCTTACAGGGGCCAACTAGATGCTTATCAAAGCCCACAAGCAAGGTTCAAGTGCAAGAGCACTTCCCCACTGGTATTCAGGGGCGTAGGTGGAGCATAGTGGTGGTAGAACATAGCCGTCATGGCTAGTTGTCACTGATAGCTCTGTCATAGAATTACAGAACTGCAGCGTTGGAAAGGGTCCCGAGGGTCATCTAGTCCAACCCGCTGCAATGCAGGAATCTCAGCTAACACCCAGGACAGATGGCCATTCAGCCGCTGCTTAAATACTCCAAGGAAGGAGACTCCTGAGGGGGACCGTTCCTCTGTCAAACAGCTCTTACCGTCAGAACGTTTAGTCAGAATCTCCTTTCTTGTAAATTGAGGCCACTGGTTCGAGTCCTACCCTCCAAGGCAGGAGAAAACAAGCTTGCTCCGTCTTCCACGTGACACGTACCCTTAAGATATTTGAAGATGGCTATCGTATCTCCTCTTAGTCTCCTCGTTTCCATGCTAAACATGCCCAGCTCCTTCAACCGTTCCTCATAAGGCTTGGTTTCCAGTCCCTTGATCATCTTGGTTGCCCTCCTCTGCACATGTTCCAGCTCGTCAACGTCCTTCTTAAATTGTGGTGCCCAGAACTGAACACAGTATTCCAGGTGTGGTTTGACCAAGGCAGAATAGAGTGGTACTATTACTTTTTCTTGTCCTGGACATTATAGTTCTGTTGATGCAACCTAGAATAGCATTACCTTTTTTTTTTGCTGCTGCTGCTGCATCACTCTGCTGTCTCATGTTAACCTTGTGGTCCACTAAGACCCCTAGATCCTTTTCACATGTACTGCTAGTAAGCCAGGTGTCCCCCATATTGTATTTGTGCATCTGGTTCTTTCTACTTAAATGCAGAAACTTACACCTTGTCCCTATTGAAAGTTATCATTCATTAAGTTGTATACTGTAATTCCCTTTCTAAAGCCATCCAAGTTGGCAGCTGCCACAATATCTAGTGGGAGCAAACTCCACGGTTGCTGGGAGTGGTTAGGATAGGTTTGGGAAACTATGGCCCTCCAGATGTTGCTGAGCTACAATTTCACCATCCCTGGCCATTGGCTATGCTTTTTCGGCCTGATGGGATTTATAGTTCAGCAGTTAGATAGGAACTGGAGTGTTAGACTGGCCACTGTGAGAACAGGATGCTGGACTAGATGGGCCCATGGCCTGATCCAGCACACAGGCTCTTCTGACAGTCTTATCAACAGGCTCAGGCAAACCCCAAAGTTTGCAGAAGTAGAAACTATCTGGGGGAGGGGCAACCTGCCTCCCCAGTCGCCCATGATCAGCGAGCACAGAATGCTGCCTGACTTGGGGATGGGGTGGGGTCGGATATAGTGAAAAGGGGCATGGCTTGCAAGCCCCAAAAGGGGCACTCCACGCTGCAACATTTTATTGCAGGTCCCACTTCCATAGTTTAAATCATTGTCTCTTGATAATGATTTATGCATCTACCGCCCCAGGCAAAAAAATGAGGTTGCACTGAGCAACAGGAATCAACAGCTGAAACTTTGCCCCTATCCCCTCCTGGACTTTGGGAAAATCCACCAAACACTTCACTCTTTTATTAAGCAAGTGGGGGACCTGTGGTCCCAGCCCAGATACTGACGAACTACAACTCCCCTCGTCTCTGACCATTGGCCTGTTATTGGCTGATCTGAAGGGCCACAGATGCCCCTCCTCCTCCAAACTCTGCTTCATCACAGCTTCATTTGTCCCAGGCCCAGGGCAATTCATTGATTTTCATTCATTTATTTATTCGCCTCCACTGAAAGGTCGAAAGGCCCTTCGGGCGGGCGGAATAGAAGGGAGGGGGGCACATTGCAAAACATGTGCTGGGGCTTAAGAAATTATCTCAAATAAAGCCCCCTTAATGACCCAGGTCACGTTTTTTAAAAAGAGCCTTCCCTATTTCACAGGCCGGTGCCTTTAAAATTTTTTTAAAAGGACAGAAAAACAGCCGTAGAAGCTTTGACTCATCTTGCTTATTATAGGCTCTTGCTGTCTGCCTGGTTTAGCCGTCTCTTAGTAACCCTGTGCACCACCAGACACACACACACACACACACACACACACACACACACACACACACACACACGGGAAGGCGGAGCTTGGAGATCAGCTGTCAGCGGCTAGGCTCCGCCCCTCCCCACATTCCCCAACGCACAGTAAGCGCAAAGACCAGAGCCCCATCCTCCCATTCATAAGCAAGGCTGAGCCAGCCTGCTTCTCAGCTGTTCTGGTGAGAGCAGACAGGAGGGATACCTTTCGGCTTGCGAAGCTTCTGCGGACCAGGTAAGCTGCCCCAAAGCATAAGCCCTTGGATGGTGGGCAGGTGGAGGAGAAGGAAGCTTGAAAGCGTTGCCTCTCCTAAAGGCGAGGGGAGAGGACAGAGAAACAAAGGCAAAGAGGGAGAAAGCAACTCATCTCGCCAACTCTAGGCAGGTTTGCAAGGTGCTTTTGGGGAACGCGGTCCAGAAGTGATGCACTTGGGAGGAAAACGCCGGCCACCCACTGAGTCTGGGGGCTGCCGGTTCGGGGAGCGAATCGTGAAACGGGATCCAGAGAGAGAGAGAGAGATGACTTGTGGAATTGGGGCACGATGAGCTAGGCTTCTCAAGTGCAAGAGTGGTAGGTGCATGGGCGTTTATGCTCCAAGATCGCACTTGTGGCTATTTACTCCCAAAGAACGTCTACACTGATGCTGAGTCGGGGATGGGGAGGGACACGCTGGACGTACTTTTCTGTTCATTTAAACTGCTGGATATTCCACCCTCGGTAATCTGTTTCAAGAGCAGGCTATAGAAAGCTGCTTTGCACAGAGTCGGAGCACTGGTGCACCTAGCTCAGCATGCCTACACAGGCTGGCAGCAGCAGACCCCCCCCCCCCGGCAAGGGGTTTCTCCTAGCCCTACCTGAAGGTGCTGAGGATGGAAACTGAGACTTTCTGCATGCGACGCAGATGCTCTGTCTCTGTTGCTCTGCCGCTTCCCTAGAGAAGGTCCCACCCTCCACCCCAGCCTATTTGCCAAGAGGTTTCTTCGAGCGTATTTTGGTATGGTGCCTCCAAGTCTCCTACCTGGTGCTAGTGATATTGGAAAGTGTTACGTTCGCTCTTGGTATTGTGTAGTTGTTGGGGGGAGGGGGGGAGCAAGCGAAGAATTGGCCAGAATATATAGTTTCATCCGCTCTGGTTGGAAAGGAGGAGAAAACTAAAACAACAACAACAAATTGCCCTGTTCTTTTTAAAAAGCAGGCATCTTCGAGGCTTGCTTTTCCCCCTCTGCTCCTGCAAAAATCCCTCCGACGTTTTTGCAGAGGACAGCTGGTCAGAATGATCTGCTGTTAATTATTGATTTAAACGGTTACAGATCCTTTTCATTATGCGCTGCTCATTCAGAACTTTCCAAAGGAGGGTTTTTGTTTTGCTTTCACCAGGCCACATTGTGCTGGCCAGCTTTTTAATGTTGGGTAGAGATCCCATCACACACAAACACCTCCCCCCCCCCCCCGTTTTTTTAATACACAACGTATTATTTCGATGAGGGAGCTGTTTTAAAACCAAAACAATGTGGTTGTCCTTCACAGCCACCCTCTGGAGGTGGAGATAAATATTCCCGTTTTACAGAAGGGGAAAGTGAGGCATAGAGCCACCCACTGAGATTGGGGTCACATCCACTCTCTACATTTAAAGCACTTTATACCACTTTATCAGTCATGGCTCCCCCCTCCCACAAAAAATACCTTGGGAAATATAGTTTGTGATGGGTGTTGGGAACTGTAGTTCTGTGGGGGATAAACTACAGTCCACAGGATTCTTTGAGGAGGGGAAGCCATGACTGTTAACATAAATGTGCTTAAATTGTATGGTTTGGATGTGACCTAGGTTTGAGGTGGGATTTGAATTCTCATCTCTCAGATTCAAATCATAATAAGCACATAATGTTCTATTGTCTCATACCAGGAATGGGGAGCCTGTGGGCCTCCAGATATTGCTGAACTCCCATCAGCCCCAGCCAACAGGGAGGAATAGGGGGAGTTCTTGGCCAATGTACAACCCATAGAGTTTCTTTGTTCCAGGAGCTGTTGGCTTCTGATGCACTCCACTCTCTAATCGTGTGTGTATATGAAGGTGGGAGGTGCAAATACTACACACCATAAATTTAAAGTATGTTGCTTCCCCCAAATAACCCTGGGAATTGTAGTTTACCCCTGCGGCACTACAAATCCCAGCGCCCTTAACAAACTACAGTTCCCAGGATTCTTTGGGGAGAGACATGTGCTTTAAATGTACGGTGTGTATGCCAGTCAGAGGTTCAAACAGCGGGTCAATATTGATTGCCTACAACTCCCACAATCCTTGACCATTGGCCATGCTGGCTGGGGTTGATGGCAGATGTAGTCCAATGACATACAAAGGACTGTAGGTTCCCCCCACGCCTGCTGTACCTGTTTAAGACCAGGCAACATCAGAGGTTCAGGGGAAATGTATTAACTTTGCAATGCAAGGATCGAACCTGCAACCTTGGTGTTATCAGCACCACACTAGTTTAGCCCATGGGTAGGCAAACCAAGGCCCGGGGGCCAGATCCAGCCCAATCGCCTTCTCAATCTGGATGGTCTGGGAATCAGAGTGTTTTTACATGAGTAGAATGTGTCCTTTTATTTAAAATGCATCTCTGGGTTATTTGTGGGGCATAGGAATTTGTTCATATTTTTTTTCAAAATATAGTCCAGCCCCCCACAAGGTCTGAGGGACAGTGGACCGGCCCCCTGCTGAAAAAGTTTGCTGACCCCTGCAGTCTAGCCAACTGAGCTAAGTGGTGTTGTGTGGTGTCAGACTGTTAAGCAAATAATTGTGTAGCTCCTAAGCAGGGTTGACATATGTCCATAATTTCCTGGACATAGCCAGTATTCAGTCCTTGTAAACAGCGTCTGGGAAATCACTGAAATGTCTAGGAAAATCTGGGTGTACGGTAGCCGGTAATGTAGTTTTTGGCGATTTTCATTACAAATAGCTCAGAATTTTTTTGGGGGGTGGGGAGATGTCCCAATAAAAGCTCAACAACTCTGGGGGGAAACCCCCAGCTTTTGTGTCTGAATTTTCACTTTTTGAAATATGGCAACCCTACTCCTAAGCATCTACTTAGGTGTGGAAGGTTTGGACCCCCCAACTCAGTGGATATCTTTGTTTTATACCCACAAGACCATGTTCCATGGTCAGAAGGGTGATGGGGGTCATAGTCTGGCAACTTCCAGGGGGAAAACCCAGATAATACGTACAAAGAGAAAAGCAAACATTAACAGCAAAACTTTATCAATTCAACACATGTAGCTTTTGATAATAGAGTCATAAGAAAAATAACATACCAGGAGTGAATAAAATGGTTACCATTATAAAATTATAAACGCGGTATAAAAACACAATTTACGTTGTACACTGGGGGAAATAGGAAATGAGAAAAAATTCTTGCCTGTTTATAGATGCCGCCAAATAAAATCATATTTCAAAGGGATTTGCCACCCCTGTGACATATATTTAATAAATAACCACCAGACAGAGGTAAAATTGGAAAGATCAGTGTCACCCTTAGCCTCTTGAATATTGCATGTCAATTTCTCTGAGGTAGCAATGAACGTAACTTTTTTAAAAAGCAGGTATCTAGTCTTTCCAACCTTAAGCGATTCCTAATTGAGAGAGTTCCTAGCTAACCAGTGGCATACAAATGTTCAAAGTAAAACATATGCTTCTAGGAAACCATCACTCTAGCTATAAAAAGTACATTGAATAGTTAAGGTTAAATTAGTGTTCTAAGCAGCTAGATCTCAGTATTTTATAGACTGTGGTCCAGTGATTTGGGATTTTGTTTGTTGCTGGTCTAAACCACTGAGCCTAGGGCTTGCCTATTGGAAGGTCGGCAGTTCGAATCCCCGCAATGGGGTGAGCTCCCGTTGCTCAATCTCAGCTCCTGCCAGCCTAGCAGTTCGAAAGCACGTCAAAGTGCAAGTAGATAAATAGGTACCACTCTGGTGGGAAGGTAAACGGTGTTTCCGTGCGCTGCTCTGGTTTCGCCAGAAGTGGCTTAGTCATGCTGGCCACATGACCCAGAGAAACTGTCTGCGGACAAACACCGGCTCCCTCGGCCAGTAAAGCGAAGTGAGTGCCGCAACCCCAGAGTCATTTGCGACTGGACTTAACTGTCAGGGTTCCTGTACCTTTACCTTTAAAAATACATTCACTTTTCTCATTCTGTGGAATCAACAGAGCAACAGAAACACTCTTCATTTCCTTGTGGCAGATGCAAAGCTGATTTAGTGAAAACCTTCATTTTACCCTAGCTCTCATCGTATTTGATTCTCATTTTACCAGAGAGCTGTCGGTGAACTCCCAGCAACCATACTTTTTAAACAAAATGTTCTTGTTAGGCTCTTGGATCTGCAGTTTCCCAACCCCTGCTCTTAAGGAAGCCTGCCGAAGCTTCCTAGGAACTTCAGCCTTCCCCAAACAAATCTGCAGTAGTATGCCTCCCAACTCATGGCTCAGTAGCTTCTCGAATGCCTCCCACTAACTCCTAAGAGGCAGATAAAACAGGCCACAACCTGAAATGAGATACACCCAAGAAAGAGAACAAGTTCCAAGTCTCAGCATTCATTTAACTGTAAAATTGTAGAGCTGGAAGGGATCCCCGAGGGTCATCTAGTCCAACCCCATGCAATGCAGGAATCTTAACATGTGGTCTCCCATCCAATTTTAAACCTTACTGGACCCTGCTTAGCTTTGCAAATGTGCTAGCAGTTTTATTGCTGAGGCAGCAGTCTTCACCAGCTTGCACCAGCACCAGCTCCCATGAAAGATGGTCTAGGCCAGCCTTTCCCCAACCTGGTGCCCTGTTGGACTCCAACTCCCATCAGCACCCCCAGCCAGCAAGGCCAGTGATGACTGAAGTTTTAGTCCAACAACACTGGGAAGGCTGTAGGCACAATGGTCCAGGATGATGCCAATCTGTATAACCAGCCCTGTCCAGGATGTACCATACATATCATACTGTATATACCAGGAGTGGGAAACCTCTGGCCCTCAAGGTGTTGCTGAACTACAATTCCCATCACCCCCGCCAAAACAGCATGGCCCAGTGCCCGGGGATTATGGGTGTTGCAGTTCAGCAACATCTGGAGGGCTACAGCTCCCCACCCCCCTTTAGATACCCTGATTATATAGCAAGTTTTGCTTTTTATCAGAAACTCAGTCCAGGCCTTTGCTTTAGATGGAGAAAGAAAGCTGATTCTATTGCCTTGCCCCAGCCTTTATTAATAATCCTTACATCGACTGCAACTCCCATGAGTGGCATTTGGACATTGCTTTGGCATGTATTTCCAAGCCCCTTCATCTCAAGCTGAATATATATATATATATATTTCCCTTGGCGGCAAATCTGTGCATACTCATGGTGTCTGGTTCTTATCGCAACACCCAGGGCACCCAGGCACATAAACCGAGCCTAAAGCACACTCCATTAACACCTCCAAAAACAAGAGCAAGTCAAAGGCACCACGTTTAAATTGCAAATTCATGGATAATCAGCCTTGTCCTGCCTAGCACTTGCTGAAGAAAATGGCTACAAATCTGCAGCTCGCTCTACCTTGGGATCTGCATCATAAATAAAACCATCTTCATTTGCAGTAAGAGTTCCTTTAAAAATGGGTTGCCTGCAGACAAGCAGTGATGGGTTTGAGGGTATGCAGGGGTGCATTTTTTTATTTTGCTTCTTTTTAAGGCGAGGAGCCTGTCACCCTCCAGATATTGCTAGACTACAATTCCCATCATCCCTGGCCATGCAGGCGAATGCTGATGACAACTGGAGTCCCAACAACTGTGGAGCCACAATCTTCCCATTCCTGCCCAAAAGGGAGAGACCACGCAACCGGTGTGAGGGAACTTGTGGCCCTCCAAATGTTACTGGACTCCAAATCCCATCAGCCCCAGCCAGCATATTCAGAACTCATGGATGATAGGAGTTATAGTACACCAACATCTGGAAAGCCACCGGTTCCTTGCCTCTGCCAGCGCCCTAACAAAAAATTGTATATACATACACAAATTTGGCCATATTCTCGGCAAAGTCTCCTAGGCAGCTCAGTTTACCCGCTCCCTTCAAACCCTTATCTTCTTTACCTCAACAGTCAAGGAGAAAGGAGGCTTAATGGCTTAAAATCCTTTAGTACTTCTGGCCTCCTTTACTTAAGGAACTGCTTTATTTCCTCTTCAAGGCCAGCCTTTTAACTTTGGGGAATGTCTAAGGGAAATGGGGGGCCCCCTCTAATATATAATTAAAAGATGGTCAGGATTAACAAGTGTGTTTTGAAGAAGATGGATTCTGCATTTGTGCTGGGGCTGGTAGTTTAAATGAGGGAGAAGTCGACCTCAAGGCCAACAGGAAGCTGAGCCCTTCTGACCTGGAGGCCTCACTCCAAGCTCAGAGACACAGGGATGATTGTTAGCAAAACATCCAGGAAGCAAGCCTTCGCAGTAGACATGTCAAAGGCTCAGGCTTACCTGGAACTAACTCTCTCATGTGAAACCTCCCCACTTGTGAAGATCTCATTAAAATGGCCACCAATTTAGATGGCTTCTAAAAAGATTGGACAGTTCCCTGGCAGATAAAACCATCAATGGCTATTAGAGATGTACAAATGTGTCAGTTTGGTTTCCCTCACTTTCTCCAGTCTCCAGTTCTCCATGTCTGCAAGTCAGTTTGTAGGGAGGGGTTTAAGTCCTCATGAAAATGCATCAGCATTTCAATGACTTTTTCTCCTAATACAGTGGTACCTCAGGTTACATACGCTTCAGGTTACATACGCTTCAGGTTACAGACTCCGCTAACCCAGAAATATTACCTAAGGTTAAGAACCTTGCTTCAGGATGAGAACAGACATTGTGCTCTGGCAGCACGGCGGCAGCAGGAGGCCACATTAGCTAAAGTGGTGCTTCAGGTTAAGAACAGTTTCAGGTTAAGAACAGACCTCCAGAACGAATTAAGAACTTAACCCAAGGTACCACTGTATACACATTTTTGCAATTATAATGCAGTTTAAAATATTATTTTCACCAATACTTGGGGGTTCCCAATCTGTGGTCCCTGACCGTCATTCAAGCGGTCCATGGCATATCCGCATTATGTGTTTATATTGATTTTCAATTATCTTCTTCATGCTGCTTTTATTTCTTAGGTTATAATTTATTGTATTATGATTTGAGTTCTATGGAATGAGAAGTCTAAAAGAATAGAGTACAATAAAAAATAAAATAAGCAATAAAAATACAAGGGCAAATGATACAGCACCTAGCACCAGCGAATGGCAATTGCTACAACAGGTAGAAATATCATTAAGTGGTCCATAAGACCATCTTGGCCTTTGACACCTGTAATCGGTTTTAACTGTTGTGAATTCTAAAGTGTCGTAAACCATCTTGGGACCTGCTGTTGAAGGGCAGGTAATAAATTTAATCATCATCATTAACAACAACAATTTTCAAGTGGCCCATGGGTGAAAAAGTTTGGGAGCTGCCACAATAATAATCCCCATGTCTACGTACACTTCACTCCAGAATGTGCAATTCTGTACATGTTACTTGGCTGTTGAATGGCCCTCCCTGCAAAATTCAGAGAAGAGCAAATTTCAAAGGACAACTGTGTTTCAATTCGCATTTCTTCCAGAAAGTGTGGATTCGTTCAGTTTGCTTTTAAATTTGTCCCCCATCTCCAGCTGATAGGGAAGACGATGAGGAAAGGATTGAGATTCCTGCGCTGCAGGGGGTTGGACTAGATGACCCTCAGGGTCCCTTCCAACTCTACAATTCTATGATCCTATGACTACTGTACTCGGGTAATGCTTGTGGGCTTTCCAGAAGTGGCATCTGGTTGTCTTCAGCGAGAACAGGATGCTGGACTAGGTGGGCCTTATATAATAACAGGCGGGCCTTATATAATAATAGGCAACAGCCCTTATAATATAATGACAGCCACTTGCAATTATTATTTTTCAGTGCAAAAAATAAATTAAAAAAAAGGCGCCAGAAGCTTCAGAAATCCTCCAGGTCCACATGTGGTAGAAACATTGGACTCCCCCCCCCCCCAAAAGCCAACCCCCTTACTCTTTTCTCATTAAAGGGCTTGAGCATTGTTGGTAAATGTGGTTCCTTTTAAAAAAAAAAAAAATAGCAATCATTTTTTTAAGGCTGAGAGCTTCTATTCAGTGGGGAAATTGGAACTCATTTGCTGTTAGTTCTGCTGAGTGACTGTCCAGATGAGTTTATGAAGCCTGCAGAGAATTATCTACAGAGCGGCAGAAGCGCCCTGGCCGACCACGAGCGGGGAGAACCTTGGCTGCATTTCCCTGCTCCCCCGCCACTGTACTGTGATTTGCAGCCATGTATAAAACACTCTATAAAAATAATTGGCTGGTGATGGCCTTCCTCCTCCGGCCTTGCTAACAGAAAGGGCATCATTTATTCTGACACTGGCTAGTCCAGAGTACCGGGGTTCAAAACACTAGACTGGGTCCAGACTCGTGGACTCGGAAATGGCTTGAGTCCATTGATTTCAGTGGATCTGCCCCAAGTCTAAATTTAGGTGGAATCTGCTCATAATCTTTGATTAAAATGGCATTTAAAAATAAACAAACAGACAGCATATATAAGCACATTCCTGCCCCCTCCAGCCCAAGAATATTTGGAATTGTAGTTTGCTAAGAGTGCTAGGACTTATAGATTTGTGAGGAGTGAGCTACAGGTCCAGGGATTTGGGGCAGTGAACTCTAAATGCACGATGCACACAGGCGTTTTCTGAGCATTTTTATCATTATTTTGTTAACCTAACAGGGGTTTAAATGCTGAGAACTTAGACCAGGCATCCCCAAACTCGGCCCTCCAGATGTTTGGGACGACAAGCCCCATCATCCCTAGCTAACAGGACGAGTGGTCAGGGATGATGGGAATTGTAGTCCCAAAACATCTGGAGGGCCAAGTTTGAGGAAGCCTGACTTAGACACAAGTAAAAAGGTGAAATACCGAGACACCAAGATAATAACTGAGTCGGTCTGCCACCACCCCCATATTTCTTCCTCCCTGAGCTGGACAAGGCTCCCTCAACTCAATGAAGTGGCCAGTCACATAATCCATTTTGATATAGTGATTGTTGCAAGGGCTCGTTTAATGAGTACTGCTGCTTTGAGGTTTAATCTCTGAAGAAATTAAAACGAGTGACGTTTGCAGGGATTTAAAAACAACAACAAAAACCCAAAAGAGAGTGGTGCCCTGCCAGGCAGCAGGTGAAGTCCTGGAGTATCTTTTTGGACACACCATGGCAATCAAAGACGCAGCTGCCCTCGTTCTAGTTGGGCCTCTGAGTTCAAAACAGGCTTCAGTATCGCCTGCCCCAGGCTCCTGCACCAGATCCAAGAGGATGCTTTGTCCCTGCCTGGGCCCCCTGTAGAAAACCCATAATCTTAGCAAAGATGGGCATTTGCCCCTTCCCTTTGCAGTGACAAAGCAAGGCAGATAAGGCAAGTCCTGCTTCTCCCTTAGCTCTGAAAAAAAGAGCAGAGGATCCCAGTCAGAATCGTCTGAGCAGAATAAAAGCCTGACTAGCCGAGTGGGGAGTAGGGCTGGGCAACATATTGTCCAAAACAGGTTTGAAGTCCATATGGTGTGGGGTATAAATAATGAATTATTTTATTTATTTATTTATTTATTGGTGGTGGTATAGGTTTCATACTTTTTGACCTGGCAGCATGTGGCGAATCATAATGTGTGTGCTATGCAAAAATCACAATGTGGGGGAAACCATGAAGCCAGCCAATGCCTCAACATAGCTCCATCCTTATTTCAGACATGTATCAGTGTATCGCGATGTTTCGCTGGTGATATATTGCAATGTTGAAAACCAGATATTGCCCAGCCCTCGTGGGGAATGGAGCGTCATGGAAGATGAGCCTATATCAAGCGGCTACTAAGGTTACCAGATTTTTTTTCAATGAATCCGGGGACACTTTTCAATTTCAATAGGAATGATAGGATTTTGTCTGGGGACTGATTTGTAAATCCGGGGACTGTCCCTGGGAAACAGGGATGTCTGGTAACCTTACTAACTAACATTGATGGCTATGTTCTCCTTCCACTGCAGTGTGCTGGGAATCACAAGTGGGGAAAGAGGGTCGTTGCGCTCTGATCCTGTTTGCAGCCTTCCCATAGGGGCATCTTGCTTGCCCTCTGTGAGAACAGGATGCTGGACTAGACGGGCCGTGGGCCTGAACTAGCACAGCTCCTCTTATGCTCCTATCAACCTGGGCCTAGCCCAGTGCTCTAACCACTATGCAACACTGCCCAGAACCATCCCAGCTTGCAGTGTGCAACCATAGAGGATCACATGCTAGAGCGGCCTCTCAGTTCATGCAGGGAGACATGCAATGTACACCCTGGAAACGCTGCCCCCCCCCCGCAAACCTTCTGCTTAGTGCTGAGATTTCTCATTGCCAGGCAGGCTGGTGTAAAAACACTGCCATAAAAAAATAAAAACTAAGGGGTAATAGGGAGATGTCTTGTACAGTCATTAGGGAGGACACAAAGAGATGGAATGAAACAAGTAGTATCAGATCTTGTCACTTAAATTGGTATTTAGCAGCAGGAGGGTAATGATGTCAGAGGGGGGGTTGCTTTATGTTTCTAACCGTTTTTACTCTAGAGGCTTATTACTACAGTCTTTGGATGTATCAGCCTGCCTTGTGCAGAATTGGACCCATCAATCCAGACTGGCCCAGTACACAGAATGCTGTGCCTGCGGCAGATCTCAAAGGCTTCCAGACAGACGCTGGGCCCTGGGCCTCAGTTCATATCTATCGATACCCACACACCATGCCTTGGGGACGAACTAGAGCCATCCATTCAGGCTACTGGTGGTCAGATGGGGAACCTCTGGCCAGATTAGGCTTGTGGGACTGTTTTCTCCAAACAACATCCCTCTGTCCCACATCTGATGCCATATAGATGATGTCAACACAACTGGTTGGTGCTTACAGAAAGCCTGATTGGCTGTTGTGGTTATATCAAGTGATTGACAGGTGGGCGGCCCAGCCCACTTGTCAAAATGGCCCATAGGTGGTGGGAGAAATTGCTCGGGATCCAGTTTAGAATCCGTTTTAGATTCTGGTTTACCAAGCAGAGATACAACTTGGTCTAGTCCTTAGAGATCATCCAGGGAGGTGGCAACTTTATGTCTGTCACACCACTTCAGACCTAATTGTGGAGGTCCATGTAGCTGAATATTCCACCAAACAAAATCAAGATTCTCTGCCTATGGGAAGCTAGCATGTCAGGGTGAAGGCCTTCCCATTGGCAAGCTAGTTGTCTATGTGCAGGGAGATTACACACACACACACACACACACACACACACACACACACACAATCCCAGGGAGCATTCTGTCATGAAATACTGCCTCCTGTCTGCAGCCTGCTGCATCACAGGCTGCCTACCTCATTGGAAGCTTGTAAGAACAAGACCTAACTTTTAATTTTTTAAAAAACCTACAACTCTAGCTACAAACATCCAACATGCAATGCAAGGTTTGCCCAACCTCGTGTCAAGAAGAGCTTCAATACCTAAATAGGGGAACTGTGTGTTTTTCAATTGAAATATCTGTATATTCTTCAAAGAAAGACAATGTGGTTTACACTTGATAAATTTACCATACACAACTTTTTAGAAGTCATGAGTCAAAGGGAAAAACGGAAAGCCCAAAGTAATCAGGAGCAGACCTTGGTAATATGGAGCCCTGAGCGAGGACAAAATTTGGGACAATTTTTCTTATTTTCACAATCATTCCTTTTGGTACAGTTGCTTTTTATGGATCTTCTCAGTAGGTACCCATATAAATATATGTTTTATTATTATTTCGTGCCCCCTTGACTCACGGCCCTGTGTGGGAGAACTGCCTGCAGTGCCCTAAATCCAGCACTGAATTAATCCCACCCAACAGCCTTTCACGTTTAGGGTGATTGGCTGAGTTAAATGCTGATGTCACAAAGGAAGCTTTTCAGATGCTTGAAGCAATTTGAAGTTATGTTCAGTTCAGTAAGCAGTGACTGAATAGGTTAGCAGCCTTTCGGTGGGACAAGACATATAGAAAACTTCATGGTGGAACCTGGCTTCCATGAAAGGACGAAAAAGGTAGTGACGTCATCTTATTTTGCGTTTTTGATAAAACACACAAACAGAACATTGGGAAATCCAGTCAACCATAGATTTCCCTTTAACGTGGGGCCTTGCAAAGAAAATTTTGCATTGGGGTGCTAGGAGAGGGGAACCAGAAAATGTAACGACAGGGAGGAAAGAAAAGCCTAGAAGCGAAATGTTCTGGAGAGAAACTTTTTTTTTAAAAAAATAATATTCCTGAGGACTAGAAACATGGTTGTTTTAAAAACAAAACTATAATGGAGAGCTGTGATGCTTCCCACTGTATCACTACAGTGGTACCTCGGGTTACATATGCTTCAGGTTACATATGCTTCAGACTCCGCTAACCCAGAAATAGTGCTTCAGGTTAAGAACTTTGCTTCAGGTTGAGAACAGAAATCGTGCTCCGGCGGCGCAGTGGCAGCAGGAAGCCCCATTAGCTAAAGTGGTGCTTCAGGTTAAGAACAGTTTCAGGTTAAGTACAGACCTCTGGAACGAATTAAGTACTTAACCCGAGGTACCACTGTAGTGATGGCGAATCCAGAGGCCCTCCAGATATTGATAGACTATCCCTAACCCCAGTTTGCCCCAGATCTGCATAACATTTGGTCAGGGATGATAGGAGCTGTACCCTAAGAACTTCAGCTTCCCCATCCATCCACCATTCCGAGCTTGCATAGCACCGAACCAACTGAAGCTGTTTTTCAGAAACACCACCCAGTTCCTTACTCCCTCCCCACCCCAAACCCCACACACTTCTTTCCTTTGAAAACTGGCCAACACAGTCTCTTATTATTAGGATTTAAATAACATGCTCTTGCTTTTAAACTTTGAGCTTAGTGGAGAGTTAATGAGATGTTGCATTTTCCATGGGCTTTAGATAATTTTAGAATTTTGTGCAGTTGGGCTTTTACGGTTGGGTGTATTTTCAAAGACATCACAGACCGCTTGAAGCAGTTCTTTGCCTCAAGCGGCATATTTAACAAACAGCTAAGCACATAAGCCCGCTCACTCTCGAATACACCTTCTGGGGTGGGATTTTTGCACTGCAATTAAATGTAAGTGCATAAAATGATCATGCTGGAGCCCACCAAGTCTGTTCTCATAATGGCCTCTCAGATTATTCAATAATTTAAGTAAGCCATGATTGTTACCCTCAGTCCTCCTCCTGGTTGACCTTTCTTGTAAGAATTATTCCTATTTTTTGGTATATTACAATTGCATCTTGCCTGTCCTCCACGGAACTCAAGAACACATCGTGCTGCCCTCACAACAACCCTGTGAGGTAGATCAGGCTTGCGAGGTGGTCCCTAGCGCAAGGTCACCCGATGAGCTTCTTGACAGAGAGGGGATTTCGACCTGCATATCCCTGAACCTAGTTTGACACTCTCAACCACAATTCCAGGGGTGGGGAATCTGTGGTCCTCCAGATGGTGTTGGACTCCAACTCCCATCAGCCTTAATCAGCATAGCCAGTGGTCAGGGATGATGGGAGTTGTAGTAAAAAAACAACAACCTGGAGGGTCGCTGGTCCCTTGCATTCTTCAACACTACAACACACCAAGCTCCTATGACTGAGATCATGAACTTGAGGCACTTGGAACATTGAAATCAGAATTGTACGTATGCTTTAGACTCAGAACATGGGAGCACAGGAAACTGCCTTCTACAGAGTCATACCATTGGTCCATCTAGCTCAGTACTGTCTACACCAGTGATGGCCAAATTTGGCCCTCCAGATGTTTTTGGGACTACAACTCCCATCATCCCTACCTAACAGGACCAGTGGTCAGGGATGATGGGAGTTGTAGTCCCAAAACAGCTGGAGGGCCGAGTTTGGCCACAACTGGTCTACACTGACTGGCAGCAGCTTTCTAGGGTTCCAGGCAGGGTCCTCTCCCAGCCCTGCCTGGAGATGATGTGGATTTAAAATCAAACCTTCAGCATGCGAGACAGATGCTCTACTACTGTGTTATACAGCCCTCACTCCCACTCCAAATCTCCAAGTGTGTTTCCTTATGTAGCCAAATTAGCACCATTCAGGCCTAAGAGGGAAACTCCAAGCTTTGCAGAAGTGTAAAAATATTTAGGGTAAAATAAACCCAAGGGAGAGAAAATGCAAAAACAACTCAGTGCGAGAATTGAGGATGTTCCCTGGGCACAGAATGAACCGGCTGACTGTTTTGCAGGGGAGGAAATCGGATGTGGGAGGAGGGAAGAAATGGAGTAGCTCAGGAAAGGGCACAATTGACTGGCTGGCATCCTGAACAGAAGCACTCCGCACTGCAACATTTGGTTGCAGATCCCACTGGTCACGAGTCACTGCCAATATTTGCCATTAGCTTGGGCGTGAGTCAGGTTCTTAAGTCTTCCCACTTTGAAGCCAGCGCATATTTATTAACGACAAATTTGTGGCTTGGCTCTAAGCACCAGCAAAAAGCCACTCAAAAAAGGAAGAAAGAACAAACTTCAAAAGGGCAGGGAAATATCAAGGAAGCTCTTAACAAAGCTGACTCCCGTCTGGAAAAGCTGAGCTGTGAATAAACACACACAAGCCTTGAATTTGACTTTAAAAATAAAGCGCTTAGCACGGTGCTCTGGCTTTGCCTCCTCTCACCTTGGCGGTAAGCGTGTCACTCAGGCCAACTTGATCTGAGGCCAAAGCGACCTGACCTGCTTAGCCAGGGCTTGCAACTATGCAGGGGGTTCATTTTGTGACCAAGACAATTCACAGTTTGTGCCCCTTTTCGTTCAGATCCTGTGCTCAGCAATCACAACTCTGCAGCAACCTTGTATTATCCATTGTAATGATCAGGCTGTTCCTCAATGTTTTTACTCTGCTCTTTCAGCAAATAAGGTGCTAGGCTTTTAAAATAGGCAGTGAGTAAATGCAGTATAATGCAGAAGGATGATGACCAGCACAAACATTGGCCTGAAATAGCCAGGTGCTTCTTATGTTTTTAAGACAGAGAAAACAATTGATGTACACATGCATGGAAGAGTTTTCTCTCACTCGACAGTTGGCTCAGATGAACACAGCTCTCCCCACTGTCCTTCGCAGCAGTCTTACCCTGCCAGACTAGAGAGAGCTGTTTCTTTCCACCCTCCTGCGCTTTTGGAAGCAAGCAAACCTTGAAAAAAAATGCTTGGATGGTGCAAAGCTGTGGTGTGAATTAATTAGCCAAGTGTTTCCAGTTAGGTTTTATTCCTTTTTTTGCTTTTTCAGCATCACAGCTGCAAACGCCAACCATTTCCACCCCGACTCCCTGATCCTCGCCCTCCATTCACACCCAATACAAAGGAGGGAGGAGAACAAATCTAATAAGCAAAGTATAGAAAATACGGTACAGAAAACGCCAAGCCTCCCACACTAAAGCCACAGCTTGGTTTATTTTAATTCCGCCAGCACTGTCTCGTGAGATTCCAAGGAACTATCAATGTGAGGGAAAATATGTTTCGAGGTGTCCTGTTGGCATTATTAATTACATTTTATCCTGCCCTTCCTATAGGGAGCTCAGGATTATGTACGTAGTTCTCCTCTCTCTCTCTCTCTCTCTCTCTCTCTCTCTCTTTCCTCACAACAACCTGACAAGGTAGGGGATGGCCAAGAGATGCAACACAGCTTTATGGCTCCGTGGGGATTTGAACCCAAGTCACTAATAACTGCACCTTGCTAGTTTTTTCAGCGGCCACAGTGGCATCTGCAAAAGCATGATGGAACTGTTTTTGCAAGCGTCGCTGCTTGACAGTGCTCACAAACCTCGCTTTCAGCCAAGCTGCATCATTACACCTGGCGTAGGGCAGGTAAACATGGCAGGGCCGAAACAGCTTCGTCAAAAGCCTAATTTGGCCCGCAGACCAGAGGTTTCGCACTGCGGTTTGATATATTGGAGGACGGCTGCCAAAACGAGGGCCCAGTGAGATCAAAGTTTCAGCATCAGGGCAGCCAAAGATGCGCATGTTGCACTAATGATGCACTCGTTAAGAGAGGTAGTGAAGAATGGGGTCTTGGCCCTGAATGACTCTATTGAAAGGCCTCTGGAGCTAGAGAAACCTCCCTTTAAACGCTCCCCTGCCAACTCTTTTGTTGCGTTCGAATTAAAATTCCACACCGTCAGGCAAACACAGCCACACACCATAGTGGATTTATCAGTGTTTGCTGCGATGAGGGTGGGTTTTTTTGTTTATTTTTGGCCTAGCGAGGCGCTTTGTGCCTGAGGTGATTATTAAACCAAGCGTGTTAAAATGACAACCTCAGAGGAACACAATGCCTTGCTGCTCTTATTTATTTGGCAGCTTTTACACACACAATTAATTTAACCTTGCAAATAGCCGCCTCCCTTTTGTCGGCATCTAGGATGCTGCTGAGGCTCCAGGCAGTCCACCTGACACGGTTTGACATCTGCTGTGGGACCCCCGCCCCCAAAAATGACCTGCTGGATCTAGCAGCTGCCATTTATAAATTTCCCACAATGCCTTGGAGTCTACAACTGCCATGTTAAATGGAGGCTGGGGTTGTGGGGGTTGACTTTGCCAAAGCTCCCACCCCAATCACATCTTGATCTTCTCCCCCCAAAATGGTACATGAGGGGTACCCTAGAGTTACCCCAGCCCCAAAGTAAATGCTTCCTTACCTCATAATGAAAGTCCAGGCAGAAGAGGCAAAAGGCAGTGGTGTAATTTTCAGTACAGCAACCAAGCAGCCAAACTGAGGGTGCCTGGAGGACATTAAAATTAGTATTTGGGGCCAGAGGTTGTAGCTCTTTCCACCCCCAAGCAAGGAACTATGGGAGTTGTAGTCCAGTGAACAACAGGCAGGCCAATAAAACTACACTTCCCAAGGGTCTTTGCAAGCAGGCTTGTCTGTTAACCCTCATTTATAGGGCCTGGGTTTTTTTGCATACATTATAGGGTTGCTATATTTCAGAAAGCAAAAACCAGGACACCCCAAAATTGAGCCAAATGTCTCTGGCTTGCAAATGTAGCCATGGGTCTGAAATGGTCGGCAACCTCTACCCTAAATCAGCATTATTTTATTTAACTGTTTATTCTGCTGTTCTTCCAAGGTGCTCAGAGGCAGCACACATGGTCCCGCCCCACATTTAACTGGGCTCCTTTGGGTAGGAAGAGCTGGGCAGAAACCAAAGAAATAAAACAATAAAACTTGTATTGGCAGCTGTGCCACGTTTAACCTTTCGGAGCTCCTAGCTTTCCGGCATGTACAGACATGTTTTTGTAAAGCTGTTGTTCCTTGGCGTTTTTGCAGGTGAAGTAACAACGCAAGCAGAGCTCCGCCACCTTGCCAAGACAGGAATTCTAATCTGGGTTTTGCGCACCTGGAATGGAAGCCTGAGGACCTCCTAGGACCCTGCTCATGACCTCCCGAAGGCACTACACTTTGCCACGAACTCTAATGACTCCTCGCCTGTATTCCGAAGGGGCGCTGGGCGGCATTGCCCAAATCACCCCCTTCCTGTACATCAGTAAGGGAAGCGTGGCCTCCAACAGGCAGCTCCTCCTGGCCCGCGGGATCACATGCATCGTCAACGCCACCATCGAGCTCCCCAATTTCAACTTCCCCGAGTTTGAGTACGTCAAAGTGCCTGTAGCTGACATGCCAAACGCCCCCATCTCCTTGTACTTTGACAGCGTGGCCGACAAGATCCAGAGCGTGGCACGGAAGCACGGCGTGACCCTGGTCCACTGCGCGGCTGGCGTGAGCCGCTCGGCCACTCTCTGCATCGCCTACCTTATGAAATACCAGAATGTCACCTTGTTGGAGGCCTACAACTGGGTGAAGTCCAGGCGCCCGGTCATCCACCCCAATGTGGGCTTCTGGAGGCAGCTCATAGACTATGAGCGGGAGCTGTACGGGAGGAACACCGTTAAAATGGTACAGACTCCGTACGGCATCATGCCAGATGTTTACATGAGGGAGAGAAGAACCTTCGTGCCTTACTGGGGGATCTGAAGGGAGTCGGCAAGGAGCAGAAAGAATGAGGTCTTTCAAACCAGTCGCGGTGGAGAGAGTTAACCGTCTCTCCTTGAGGTCCACTTCTTCGGTTCCTTTGTGAGACAGCATTTTTATTTCCAGAGCACTAAACCAGCAACCCCCATAATCTGGGGGGGCCTTAATCCTAACGTCCCGTGGAGTGAATGTTGCAGCTACTTTGGTGAAGATGTACAGCATCCACAAAACGAAACCGCAAGCCCAGTTCGACAATTTACATAAATGAAGCCAAGCACACAAAAAACGGCGGAAGACGTGACCCAAATATTGTCTGTGAATGTGGTAGCTTCTTCTTTTTCTTCTCCTGTATCCCTCCCTTGTTACACCAGCTTGTTGGCCAAAAAAATAAGCCTCATCAGGAGAAGAGTGGACCTTTCCTTTTTCCAGAGGAAAGATTACTCTTTAATGTTGGGTTAAAAAAAAAATTACATGGTCAACATCCGAACCCAGAGAAATACTATGCCCTTGAAATTTTATTTTAAAAGTTTTTGAAAGATTTATCCAGAAAGGTTTTCCATCCCTTTTGGGGGAACTTACAACTAATGTTTGGGGGGGGGGGAAGAATATTAACCAGACAATCCGCCACAAATAAAATAATTTGGACAACTAAGGTGTCCTGTTTATTTTTCTCCCTTACCTGCTCAACATCAGGGTTTTTTGGTCTGAATCCTTAAAATTAATCTGGAACATCCAGATTAATCCTCCTTGGCACAGTATTTGAAAAGAATTAAGCAATACCATAAAATGCCCCAGCAATATATAAGGGTGACTCTCAGCATCCTTTTTATTGTGCATTCATGATTATTTGTGATCATGACGGTATCACTGCAGTTACACGTCATCACCCTCTCAATCCCGTTTGTGCCTGCAAAAGTTTCGAGGCAGGTATACAGCTTTTGTTTCAAACTGGTACAAGCCCCCATCGCTTCTTGCTGAAATCCTGCAGCTTTCCAAAGCACAAGTATCCCGTGAGATGGGGGGTGGTTCCACTTTTATTGTGGACCGCCTCTTCCAGTGCCAGTACTGCAGTCACATAGGGAAAGCGTCACAGGACATCCAGGCCCAGGAAGAGCTTGCCTGAGGCCCAGGGAGCAGGGGCTTGTTCTTAGCACGACAGGGGAAGTCTTGCCAAGACACCCCAACCAGCGTAGTCCTCCAAGGCCCAGGGCAAGTGGTTGTCCCCCACCCCACTGCACAGGTCTGAGGACAACTTAGAAGGCAGAATCGTGAGTGGATAGTCTAGTATAAATCCACCACAAATGCACGTTGTTAACAGGTTGCAGAAGGCACCCGCACATGGGTCACATTGGAAATGGACAGAGCTTCGGGAGCTTCATCACGGTCACAGTTTACTATGCCAGATAGTCAAGCTAACAAGGAGAAGTCAGATCTGCCAGAAGCCAAGTCGCTAAGAGGCCCGCACTTCGGCTCGCCTCCTGCAGATCAGCCTGCTTGCTGCTGTCAACACTTGCGCAGTACCAGCTGCTAAGCTCAAAAGCCACCCTCTGAACCTTTTCATCCCCATGCTGGCAGAGCTGTTTCTAAATGTACTTTCGAATCAGCATCAAGCCTGGCTGCCTAAATAGTGCTTGAGAGCTGATGAAAACTGGGGAAAAAGCACCTCTGTTTCCAGCCAGCATTTGAAGTAGGGTTCTACTAGTGTTGCCAGAGCTGCAGATCAGGGTCTCCAGCTTTGCCTGGTCCCTTCCAAGTGGCACACACACGGCTTGAGACTCCAGGTGGGCAAAATGTAATTAAGAAATATGAAGAACACTCTGCATGAGGCTTGCAAGCTCAAGCCCGGCAGCAACTGGCTGCAAATTGTTAGCTCAGACACTGCCCTTCTCTGCTCCCCTCTCCCAATTAACCTCCGTCTCCAGGGCCCACCTCCGTGCCATCACTAGGGATTGCCACTAGGTTTCGGGTTGGGGCCCTGAAATCTCAGGGTTTGGGATGCTCCTGGCCTAGCAGCAGCCCCTTGGCCCTGCAACAGTCACACTTAGCAGCGCAAGGGCCAGATTCCCTCCTGGACAACTTACTGGGGGGCCACGTGTCAACAGAGGGAGATAACAGAGGCAAGTGGGCGGTGCCATGGATGTGAATACTTTTACAGGAGGCTATTTTCTACACACACTCTCTCTCCACCTTCCCTCTAGACAAGCAAGAAGCATTATCCGACAATGCCAAGGTTGCAGGTTCGATTCCTGCAAGGGACAGCTGCATTCTTGCACTGAGTTAGATGATCCTTAGGGTCCCTCCCAACTCTGATTCTATGACACTTCCCAGCCAATGAAAAACACTCGAGGGTTCAAAGCAGGGCTGTTGATGGATGTGGCAAGGGAAGGATGTGTGTCCTGGGGTGTATCACCAGGGCCACATTGGGCCCTTGGGCTATGGCTTCAAGTGAGGAGTATATCACAGCAGGAATACTTAGCCTTTGAGGCAGATGCCTGGTATGATTAGACTTCAAGTTACACCCACACCATGCATTTAAAGCCCTCTTTTACTGCTTCAAGTCACAGCTTCCCCCAGAGAATCCTGGGGACTGTAGTTTGTGGAGGGTGCTGGTAATCCCAGCTCTAGAACAAGCTAGTTTCCAGGATTCTTCAGGGTAGGGGAGTCACAACTTTTAAAATGATACCAGAATGCTTTCAATGTATGGCATGGTTGTGACCTTAAGAGTGTTTTCTGAAATTCCGCACTGGAACCAGACCACCTGCTTTTGATCTGTACACTTCAGTGGTTTCTCTCTCCCATCATCATTAAGCAAGATTCTAGTCCTCATGTGTGCTAAGATTCATACAAATCAGAGTTTCCCCCTTCTTCCTTCTCCTCTTTTCACTGGGTCTTCAGATGCTGGTGGACTACATCAGCCTTGATCAGTGGAGTCACCTGGCTGAGGTTTATGGGAGTTGTAGTCCAGCAGCATCTGGGACCCCAAAGTCAACAAAGACTAACTACTCCAGCATCTCATTTCCATCCAGATTCTTTTAGGGAGTTTATGAAAACAGTGTTCCTCCTCTGTTGCTTGACCCATTACCAGGTATTCTGGAGATACACTGCCTCTGCAGCTGCAGGCTCCACTTTCCTCAACACGCCTGTTAGATCCATCCTCCATCAATTTGTTCAGTCTCTTCTCCTTTAACATCTTGTGGGAATGTCAAGTGAAGGGCTGTAACTCAGTGGCAGACAGACCGTGTGCCTGACATGTCCAGGTACAGCTGGGAAAGTACCATGTGGAAACCTGCTGCCAGTCTGCAATTAGCCCTCTCTTTCAGAACCATGAGGATTAGAATCTTATATTCATTTAGGGCTGCCATTCAGTGGTAGGGCACCTGCGCTGTGGGCAAGTAGGTCCTAGGTTCAATCCTTGGCATCTCCAGGTAGGGCTGGGGAAATAAACCCACCCAAAATCCTGGAGAGCCGCAGCCAGCGTCAACAATACTGAACTGGATGGAACCAGTGGAGCCAGTACAGAAGACCTTCTTCCCTCTGGTGTATCCTGAACCTGCTACTACCGGCAGTCCATTTGGCTAAGTGTCTCTGAGCTCTAACAGGATGAAAAACATGCGAGCTGAGCATCAGTGAAGGTTCGTTTTTATTTTTATTAAGCTTCAAATAACCTTTTTTTTCGGAAGTAAAAGGAAATAAAAAGAAAACAAGAGTGCTTTATTGAAGATCAGGAAATTTCACAGGGATCAATAAAACGAGTTTGTACACCACTGCGAGAGCAGACAGACACTGGGAATTAAAAACAGGACCACTCACACTCTCTCTCAAAAGGTTTTTTTTTTATAAAATCGGCAACAGCACACACCGCAAAGTAAAACAAGACCTTAGATCACAGTCGAGTCAACCACAAAACCACTTTGGAGGCAGCCAAGATGTTAAAAGATCTCTCTCTCCTCCTGAAGCAGCCCTTTTAAAGCTGCATCGCCTCTCCTTTTGGGTACCATCCAAAGAGCTGAATAAGACCAATTTAAAAAAAAGACCGAAGGGGGGCGGAATCATATACTGTACATCTATATAAGTTAGTGTAGCAATACAACAGCAGCTTTATTTTATCTTAATTTCAGAAAGGGGTATCATTTTGCTATGCCACTCCAATCACTGATATGCAATTAATCAGACTTCATCCGTGGAATGGGGTTTTGATTCATTTTATTCCCTTTATTAGTTGTGGCCTGGTTTGCCGTAGCAGAGCAGTTCTCCCCACCTCCTCCTCCGAAACGTGAAACGAAAGCAGAATTGCCGGGTTTTCTAGAGCCTTTAGTGAATACGGCCCCAATCCAAGGCAGATTATCGACTGAATAGAAAGGATTTGCCTTTCGCTGCAACTAATGCTGACACATAGATTTCAATGGGGACTAAGTGTGACTCACTTCCCCCTGAGTAGGGGCTCTATATTGGCTCCTGCGCTGTACTTTCTACAGGGTGGGCAACTCAGCTGCATCAGATCCTTCCATGTGACTGCCCAGGTATGACACTGAATGGGTGGGGAGCTTTTTGAAGGTTGCACATCTCAACAGAGAGTGAGAAATCAGGATACCGGAAGCTCCCAGTGGTGGATGCTGTGTGGGGGCGGGGAGAGACCCCCCATTTTGCCTGCCATAATCCAAAAGACCACGCTGGGCTCCTGCTGTCAGAGGAATGGCATTGCCTTATTTGCCTGCCTTGGACTGCAGGGCTGGTAATCTATGTTGGGCAGGCTAAAGCCATCTTGTTGAAGCACAAATATGGCTTCTGAGTTGCTTGATTTACCTGTGGTTCTCTTGGCTTTACAATTCCCACCAGCCAGGATGCCCAAAGTTCAGGGATGATGGGGAGCTGCAGTCCAATGACATATGGAGGACCTCAACTTACCCCATCCCTAACGTGGATGGACCTGACCATAGGTTTGGGCTCCGCTGCCCAACCTCACTCTCCACCCCTGGCCCCACTTTTCAACATCAAACGCATCAACGGACATTTCTAAACCGTATGTTGATAGCGTGTTTCTACCACTTTAAGAGGCACGGCTTCCCCCAAGGAATCATGGGATCTGTAGTTTTCACACCGCAGAGCTACAATTCCCAGCATCCTCGGCAAACTAGAAGTGGCAGGACTCTTTGCAGGAAGCCACGTGCTCTGAACATGTGGCTGTGACTTTAGAGCCATTTTTCAAGGGACTGAGCTTCTGGAACACAGTCAAGGAAGGAACAGGCAGACACACAAGGGCTGTGAAACATTTTGAAACAGGTTTAAGGAAAAGGGAAACCTGCAGCTAAGATGCATGCAAAAAGACAGAACACAGTTCACAAGCAGAGACCCCACCCTACAAAAAACAAAAGCCCCCCCCCATCTGTATATTTAGAAATGAACAAAATGTCGCACAACCGTTAGCATTTTGCTTCACCCAAGAAAGAAAATGTGCGGGTTTTGTTTTTTTGTTTTTTAAAGAGAAATGAAGTCAAAAGGCTAGAAAGATGGAAAGACCAGCTTATGAAAACCTTCCTCGTAGTTGCCAACCCGCACTCAAAGCACGGCTGCGAGGCAGAGAGAAGCAGAACCTTATACAATGAAGCCTCGGAAAAACACCGTAACCTTGGATACAGTTTCCAAGGACACCGGGGCCCTTGGCTAACAGGATCACAGCGCAGGGGATGGATGAACACAACGCCAGTCTTCCGAATGAGTTGGATACACTATAGCAGAAGAAGCCCATTCCAGGCTCCTCCATCTTCAACACAACCAGCCTTCATCAGTGAAAAACAAACATTGCTCACGTCGCAAAAACACAAAGAAAGGTGTTTCGTTTGTGTATTGTTATTTTCTCCCCCTTTCCGCGAATGTTCCTTTGGTGGACTATACAAGGCACTGTGACTGACAGAAGCCAGGAGATTATTTTCCCTTCCCAGATCCGTCGTGAGCCTTAAACACAGGCACAGTTCAATAAGCTCTGCCGTAATTTGACCTGAAGAGCTGCCTTTGCTTCCCGCTGACTGATCTTTCTCTCTCTCAATCCTCGGCCTGTCTGAATACAGGCTAAAGAGCAATCTGAGAGAAAAATTAGCACATAAAAAATTGACATCCTCCTTGGATGAGGGGCACTTTTGCCCCCAGTGCTTGAATACTCAGGTTTGCGGTTGAGGCTCTCCAACAACTTGTGGGATGATGTTTCGTTGCTTAGTCTCACTGGAACTGCTAATAAAAAAACCCCAACTCCTCCGTTATGTGCAGATCGGTCTGATTCAGCAACATGCATGAGATCATTCCCATGGTTCAAATTTAGGCATGTCAGGCTTGCTGATGCGCCTGAGCCATAGAAGACCTGCGGTGGGGTCTTAGTAGCTGAATGCCAGGGGGGAAGTTCAGAGGACGCTGCTTCTCCCAGGGAAGCACTATGCAGAGAGTGTGCACTTTTCTCTATGGAAAGATACAGGATGAAAGATAAAGCAGATCACTCTTTTTGCCACATTATCATTGGTGCTCAAGATATTAAGTATCCCACTGCACCACTGATGCGAGAGCCAAGTTTAGTGTCTTCTGACAACACCCCCAAGTTTGATCCCATTAGCACTTATGACTCCCAAACACTAACATTTTTGGGTGTGATTAAAGGCACCAAAACATAATTTCCTTATGAGCAGCTATTTACTGAATCCACTGGAGTCCTGACTACGGTTTGGCCAACCACGCAAGACTGGATTGAAAGGGTGCATCCACCCAAAACGAGGCAGCTCATTGTTCCATGGAAGCGAAACACCCAAGGGAATATATAACCATCTGATGAGCTGTTTCCTTCCTGCAGCTCCTGCTCTCTGCCCTACGGCGCTTTTCAGATTTCTAAAGCCGGGAGAAATTTGGTGGCCAGGCTCCTTCCCTCCTCGCTGAAGCATCAGGATGGGAAAAAGTTGGAATGTGCTGGAAATTCTTTGCAGCTGTTAAAGGAGACCTAAGCTGCGCCTCCAGTTGTCAGGCTGTGCTTTCGGTGGATCTGGTCCTCAGCTAGAGAGGAAACTCACCAGAATGCGATATGTATAAACAAGCTGGCCACAAGCTGGGAGAAATCAAAAGCTCACAGCGGGCATACGCAGCAACCAGCTCCCAACTGTGCCTTTGGTTGCCCCACACCTGACATCCACATTACGCACCAGGTGTGGGGAAGGTGGGGTTTCTGGGGAAGGGGAAACTGGGACCCCTAATTCAGCCTGTGGGCCAGAGGTCCCCCACCCTGCAGTCCTAAGCGCTGCCAATGGTGGAATGGGGGAATAACTTCAACAGTAGTGGATCATGAAGCACAGCACACTGGGAGATGGGACATCACTAGGCCAGTCCCCACCAACCTCCAACCAAGGGAGCAGCATCAGGTTGCCAATCCAAGTGAAGGGAGAGATCAAAAGCTCACAGCGGGCAAGTCTCTAAAAAAAGAGAGAGGCACGAGCATTAATTGTTTAATGCAGGCATAGGCAAACTCCGGCCCTCCAGATGTTTGGGACTACAATTCCCATCATCCCTGGCCACTGGTCCTGTAAGCTAGGGATGATGGGAGTTGTAGTCCCAAAACATCTGGAGGGTGAGTTTGCCTATACCTGGTTTAATGGTATAATCATGCTGCTTGCTTCGTTTAAGCCTAATTAAACAGCTCCCCGCCCGCCTTCGGTTTCAGCGAGGTGGTTTGCAGTCTGGAGGTACTGAAGAAAGGGAATGGGGAAAGAAAGAAAAGCCCATTTTGCTCCACTGCGTTCTCTGCACCATTGCCCTCTCGAAGCCGCAAAACGATACGACCCGCTTGCTCAAAAGAGGAAAGTGGCCACCTCCCCCAGCCACCCTCAAATTGTCAGCGTACCACAAAGAGGGTGCGTTTGAGAAACGGCCATTTAATCGATATAAGCCGGTTATACCCTTTGGAGGCTCTCACTCTCTCTGCAAACTTAATGGAGTCGCAAACAGTGGTAATGCCCTTTAGAAGAAGCAAAAAGAAACCCCCCACAATTTCACACTTTGAGAGCCCTCCACCATTCCGCATGTCTATTTTTATTCCACACTGCCAAATTTGACAGCTGATTCATTCTAGGGAGAGGTCTCGAGGCTGTAAAGATCAGCTGCTTTCAAAGTGCCGGGGGGGGGGGGCTTCTTTAAGGGCAGACTCGCAGATTTAAAACAAAGCCAACACACGTTTAAAACGCACGACTCTACACCCCAATGAATCCTGGGAACTGTAGCTTCCCCCTTGCAGCGCTACAGTGCTCAGCACCCTTCACAAACCAGTCTACTTGGGGGAAGTCACGTGCTTCAAGTGTGCACCAGATTTGCTTGAAATCTACGGCGTGGATCTGCCCAATTGTTTCCTGCCTGTGCCCCAAAACTCAGTAATGGTAGTTTTGTCTGAGAAAACCTGCAAGCAATTCTGGGCTGACATGCTTAAAGCCAAGAGTGCCTTGTCAGTGGGGTGGGGTAGGGGGAAGGAGGTGGGGAGAAGGGGACCCCTGGCACTTAAACCTGGTTTTGGAAGCTCACCAGGTACATATGAGGTGAGAAGTGAGAAACTATTCAAGACCTTGCTCAGAAAACAAGAACCACCCAACAAGGATCCCGAGCCAGCCCTGTATCCTTCTGACTTTGTCATCGTAGGGGCTCTAAGCCACTTGAAACAGAGGTTATCACCTCTGTTTGCCAAAATTTGCCAAAATTTGAAGGGCAGACTGTGCTGGTCAAACGCCACTTGAGAAACACAGTTTGTGCCTCAGTGCAATCCACGCCTCCACCCCACCCACAAATCAGTGGATATTTCCAAATGCTTGAGAAGTCCATCACAGGGAATTTGCAGATTTAAAAAACATAGTGGCTTTCACCCTTTTGGAAGAGAACAGCTAGTCTAAAAACAAACGTTTTATATATACACACTTGAACCCAGTCTTCCCCCAAGCTGGAGACGTCCGGGTGCAGCAGACTACAACTCCCAGCCCGCAGCCAGCATGGCCATGGATCTGTAGCCCAGAACGTCTGGAGCACTCCAGCCTAGGGATGACTGCCCTAAGCGCTAGCTCAGAACAGTTTCCACATCTACTGACAGCCCTCCCCACCCCACCCCCACTGCCCCTCCAGTGTATTCTTCCCCTATCGAGACCAAGCCGAAGGTGAAGGAACAAAGTCCGCTTAAAGTAGGTCAGGCAAAATGAGGCCCGGGGGTTTGGGCTCAACGCAGTTGATCCAGAAGTTGGCGCAGCTGGCGTGATACTGGTGCCCTCCGTAAGCAAGTTTGAAATTGTCCGTTTCCGAGTTAAAGGCCTGCGGGGAAGAAGAGGGGAAACAAACAAACAGCACAGTTAGGAACCACCGGGATGCTCCCATGTGCTGAAACATTGCGCCACGGAGAGAGGTCTGGATGCCGGCGACGCACAGGCACACATTGACAGCCAACAAACACATTCAGTCTCTTTGTGGAGCTTCCTTACAGCTTGCAAGCCATCGCCATCAAACCATGGCCACAGCTCTGGGATAAACCAGCAACAGAGGGTCCTCAATCTCCAATTTGTGCGATCGAAAAGAGCATTTAAAGACAGCTCTTTTAAAGAAGTGGGAAGAGAAAGAGGCTGGTTGAAGGCAGAATCTATTTTGTTTGTTTATGGCACGGTGCTCCTTCCATCTCAGGCAAGGCAGGAGGCTATAAGACAAGGAGTGAGAGGAACCTTAGGCCTGCGGCCCTCTAAGCCTCTTTACCTGGCCTTCAGGACCCTCTCTAGGCCACACCCCTCACTGGCCTTGCTTCACACCCAGACCACTTGCTTTCCTGGCTGCAAATGTGTCCTTGATCGTGCCTCTCGCTTGCCTGGATGCAGAGATGGCATGTAGACCCTGGGCTGCTGTACAAAGGTAGAATTTGGACTGAAAAGCACTGCCTGCCCTTCCTAGAAAGAGAAGGGACCTTTTGGATGGCTGCATCCCAGCAGGGGAATGTTCCCCTTGCCCCAAAATTCATGTGAAATCCAGCCAGCCTGCCAAATCGTGTGATATTATATCATGGGAGAAAGCACGGCAGAACCCTGAACCGGGGGCACTCCCATTAGGAGGCAAGGGAGACGCACTGCAAGGTTTTGCCGGCTTAAATCTAGCGTGGGAAACCACAAAGGAGCTGAAATGCACCTGAGAGCAGTTTCCGACTTGGGCGTTGCTGGCAAGCCGCTTTTCAAGGAAGCAGCCCACACACACAAACACCCTAGGGCTGATTTGTCAATGGCTGAGCAAGCACGTGGAGTACTTTGGGAAGAGTGCTGCTTTTGGGGGAGTGGAAGAAATGCACTTGTTTTCTCGCTGGTCTGAAGTCGCAGCTATTCACTGCTCAGATATCCAGAATGCAAAACACTTCCATGACTTTAAGAGATTCTATGTAATCGTGTGAGAAACAGCTGTAGGAGTATAATAAGGTGACTGTACACCAGCTTTGAAAACAACCCCTAACTTTGCACAGACCCACTTGTGTGGATAAAAATAAATGAAGTATCCTTGGGTAAAGCCCCTTAATTTGTTGCAAATGATGGAGCCCAGCTAGTCTTTGCTCCCATGGAGGAATCGTGGAGCACACAGAACCCCACACCTTGAAAAACACGCAGGAGCTAGGAGAAGCAGTCATCAGGCTGAACTAGACCCCCCCACAAACTTGAAAGAGAAGGTGACCCCCACAGACCTCCCCAACCATCAAAACCTGAAAAGTTTTTAACATCTTCATGCACAGTGGGGATGGACGGCACAAGCCCCTCCTGCCACAAACACGCAAGGCGAGATAGGTAGGAGCCAACGACACAGACAACTCTTTCTGCCACACCACAACACAGACCACCACAAAAAAGCAGATCTATTCACAAAGCAACAGGCATGCCGACACGAGAAAGACTCGGTTTCTGCGCAGCACTAAGCGAAACCATGGATTAGTGGGAATGTGCAAGAATGCAGGCTCCCCGAGAGGAGAGTGTCCCTTCTTCGATCCTCCTCTGTCCCAGCTTTAGGCTCAGCGCATCATCTGGACCCGGGCTTGCCGTTCATCTCCTCACGAGTGGTGAAGTCTAGAACTAACTTTGATCAGAGCTTGCGGTTTGTCTAGAGTGAGACAAGCCATGAAACTGGGTTCAGATGACACACTTGGACAAACCGTGGTTTATCAGGCAGCAGCAGGACCACAGGACGGAACAAAGCAGCTACTTGTCTCCTTTCTGGAAGGCCCACATGCTTGCAGGCTTGCACTAAGCATTCAGTTTGAACCAGGCCCTTTAGGGGAACGGACTCGAGTGCGAGTTAGTTGATTAAAATTGAGAGGTTAGAGAGAGGGAGAGGCACAGAAATTGTTAATTGGAGACAAACGGAGGAGGGTGGCAACGGTCCCTGCTACCACCTTGCTTAGGGCAAACATTAAAAGGAAATATATATATATAGCTTTCACGGGTCCGTACTTCTCTAGGAGGTTCCTCCGGAGGCTTCTCTTCTTTCTGAAAACAACGTCGAAACCAGAAAAGGGTCAAAACATAATCGCCAAAAGAGGGGAGCTGGCTGCCAACCAAACTCGCTCCTGTTTTAAGAGTCCCCATCCCGCTCCACACAGCGGGGTTTTTAGAGCTGCTCCAATATATCCCACTGACAATCTGAGTTTCTGAAGGCTGTGGGGCTTGTCTCTTACGAAGAAAGAAGATACGAGGCTCCAAGCCGGCTGCAGGGGACTCCTGACTCCAGAGTCAACCCTCCAGTTGCCTAGGAAATAAGTTACAAGTAATCGGGAGCACCTGTGACCCGACAGGTACTGTCAGACTGCAACGCCCATCACTGGAGGGCATCACAGTGTTGACTCTTGCCCTATAAAACAATGCCGGGTAACTTGAGATTCTCTGGACGTTGCCCAGCTGCAGTTCTCATCCTTCCTGGCTGCTGGCCATGCCAGCTGGGGCTAACAAGAGTTTGAGTCTCATATCTGGAAGGCCACTACACTTTTATTTGAGGAAGACTGTGTTGCCTTGCTGGGTGGATCCACACAGGCCCAGGGACTCGTATCTCTTACTTCCCAACTTTGCGGGCTCCACTAAGGCTGCCTGGGGTCTCCACCCGAGCTGGAAGCAGCCGCAGCAGCAACAACATGCATTCGGACGGGCGGCAGAGGGTGTTTCGGAAGGAACTCAGCTCTGCCCGCGATGCGGCTTTCTACAAAAGCTACTTGCGATGAGGTCGCTGGATGCTCCGGGTGCTTGTTAAAATTAGTGGAGCAAATGCAAGGGTGGAAGGCAGCAAATGCAAACGGGTTGAGATAGGTGGGGAGATGTAAAAAAAAACCGATGACGACACAGCCTCTACTTACTTTGCTTCGAGAATTTACATTCAAGAGGCACACCCCACAAGCCAGTTCTTGGGCGTTTTTGATTCCCGGGCGAAGCATACAGGAGGAAAAATCGAGCGAGTTTTCGTCAGGCTGTAGGAGGAACAACAGAGGTCGGAATCAGTATATTGCTCATAAGTACCTATCTTCTGCCTTGTTCTAAGTTATCTTCCATGGTCTCTTCTAGCTTCCAACTTCTTCTAAGCTGCCTTCTACCTTTTAATCCATGAATAGGCAAAGTAAAGCCCACGGGCCAGATCCAGTCCAATTGCCTTCTGGATCCAGCCCGCAGACGGTCCGAGAATCGCCGTGTGGATCGCCAGTGCGTGCGTTCTTTCCCCCTCCCTCACATGGTGGCGGCGCCACCTCCTCCCTCCCTCCTCCTGGCTTCTCCCCGCCCTGCCTAGAGGAGGAAGGGAGCTGGGCTTTGCTGGTGCCAGCAGCAGCAGCAGCAGCAGCAGCAGCAGCACTCGAGCGGCCGCCAATTTAAGCAGCCCCTCTCCAGAGCCCTTTCACATGCTGCTCATTGTCCCGCTGCTGCCACCACCACCAGCCCCTGCCACTCACAAGACACAGGTAAGCAACCACCGGGGCGTGTGGTGCTCTTGCATCATTTCCCCCCCAAAATATAGTCCAGCCCCAGACAAGGTCTGAGGGACAGTGGACCGGCCCCCTGCTGAAAATGTTTGCTGACCCCTCTTCTAATCTGTTCTCTACCTTCTATCTTCCATGCTATCTTGGTTCACAGAAACACAGTCTACTTTTTGTCCATCTAGCCTTGGCTGCATCACCATCACCATCATTATTAAATTTCTGTCTCATGTTTTCACCCAAAGCAGCTCAGCACAGCAAACAATTAAAAAATAAAAGAACCATTGAGAAACAAAAGATTATTTACAGCAATCAAAAAGCATTAAGCACATCTAAACAATCCGTATCTCCAACGGCACTCAGAGTCTGAACACTGGGAGCAGAGCAAAATATGCCTAAGTGGGCCCACCACAAGAGACGTACCACACAAAAGGCCTTACCGTTAAAGCAGCAAGCGACATGAAACTGATCAGGTTGTTCCACACTTTGTCAATGTCCTTCAGTAGTAGCTGGAGCTTCTCGCTACAGACGGCTGTGGCTTTGATGCCCAGCTCTACCCGTTTGGTGACTCTATAAACCTCGACAACCCCTGTTGAGAGATCAAAGGTGAGGGTGGAGAGGTCACAGGAGGCATGGCAACTCTCAGACGGCAGGAGTGAGGAACCAAAATGAATGTGGCCCTCCAGGCTTCTATCTCTGGCCCTCAGAATTCTCCCCGGGCCACACACCCTTGTATGCTTTTATGTAACTTAGTTGCAAACCACTTTGACTTTGGTTGTTGAAATAGATGTCTATAAACATTTTTTAAATAAATAAATAAAACAAGAGCATCAGAATCTCACACAGCGCATCAACTTCAGAGAAATCTAAAGGGTAGATGGAGGTAGGGGAAAAAACAAAAACAAATGAGGTTTCAGAAAGTGGGAAAATACTTTTCTCCTTCTGCTTAAAAAAAAGGAGGCACATCCCAAGCAGAGCTGTAGGGTGTATTTGCTCCCTGTTTTAATTCCTCATCTTCATGAGATGCGGTAAAATCCATACCTAATAAGTACTCCATGCCTTGCGCGGAGTGGATCACTTCGGTGCAGACTGAGGAGCTGCTGATTCCGTTCAGGGTGTCGTTTGCCTTCTTGATGACCTAACACACAAGAGACGTTTGTTCGTTCTTGCTGAACTCAGGACAGTGTTCATAGCATCCCCATGGAGCCTCCAGCCCAGGCCTGCTTATCTCCAAAATATCTGCCACATCCGTGCATTCACATTATGCCAGAGAAGAGGAACTTCAGGCTGCATGTGGCCCTGGAGGTCTCGCCGTCTGGCCCTTGGAAACCTCCCCAGACCACCCCCTGCAGCAGCCCTGCTTCCCAACCCAGGTGGTTTTGCCTGGCTGGAGTGCGTCCCTGAACTTTGGCAATGCCTCTTGCTTGTCTGATTGGTGGAGGAAAGAGGGGTGTGTGGAATGGGTGTAGAAACTAGCCAACTGTACAAAGGCAAAAATTTGCATTTGTTGCTCCACCCACTGTTGCCTCTGGCTCCACCCAGAGGTTTGCAGCCCAATCACAAATGCATGTTTTGTTAGACAAGAACAGAGTTAGTACACGGAGAGTCCTTAAACTTCCTAGAGAGAACCCTCTCTCTGTGTGGCCACTTCCGTTGCCTCCTCTGGGCAGGAATTCTGTAACAGTTCCTTTCACGTCTGAGGAGACTTTCTCCATTCACCTTGCTTCCAAGACAAGCAAATGTGTCTCTGGGGGTTCCAGACACAGGTACCCTATTTTGAGACCACCAATTTTTATTCTGCTGTAATATTAGAAATATTTTTCTGCAAACTACTTTGCTGTATTTTCTGCCTGCACTGAAATGTAAGTAAACCTTTTTGTTTATCTTACTAAAAAACAGGTGGTTCATTCTCCGCAATGGGGGTGAAAAGGAAGGAAGGTCAGAAGACCACAAACAAAAAGGGATAAAAAATGGTATAACTGCTTTATTCCTACGCTTCAGAAAGCTGCAAAACATCCAAGTGTTTTTCCTCTGCTAGAAAGCCTGCTTATTTTTGCATTTCTCCCACACATGTGGGATAGGAGGTTTAAATTTTAATCTATAGATTTAATCCTCCACCCATTTTCACACGTAAATTATTCCTCTCCACCCCAGCAGATGGTGGTTTCCCACTGCGGTGAGATGTACAGTCGTACCTTGGTAGTCAAACACCTTGACAGGCGAACATTTTGGCTCCCAAATGTCGCAAACCCGGAAGTGATTTTTCCAGTTTGCGAACGTTCTTTGGAACCCGAACATCCGTTGCAGCTTCCGCAGCTTCTGATTGGCTGCAGGGGCTTCCTGCAGCCAATCGGAAGCCACGCCTTGGTTCCCGAACATTTTGGAAGTCGAACGGACTTCCGGTACGGATTCCGTTTGACTTCTGAGGTACCACTGTACTGTAGTTCTAATTAAATGATAGTAACTCTTTTCTATCTGTGCATTTATGCATAGGCGCTGGCGCATGCACACAGTATCAAAACCTATGACCATTCCACATGAGGTATACAAAGGAGAAGGATGTTATTTTGACGTACTTACCTGGAGAGCACTTTCTAAACATCTCTGCCATTCATAGGCATATCTCTCACTTTCCTGGGTGGAAAAGAAGAAGCAGAATTCCACAGGTTTCAAAAATAAACAAATAAATCAGAACTAGTAATGACTGCCTTATAAGTGATTCCCCTCCCCTGCTACACAGAGGTAGCAAAAAGCAAGGAAAGCTCCCAGAAAGATACAGGTGGTTTTCATGTGGAGATTGGGAAGTGGTCCATCAATGTAATATACCCAAGCCCACACTGGTTGGAGGATATAGAAAGATGGAGAGAGTTTCCTTTGAGGAAGGGCCATAGCTCAGTGGTATAGCCTTTTCTTTGCATGCCGAAGGTCATAGGTTCAATCCTTGGCATCTCCAAGTAGGGGTGGGAAGGTCCCCTTGCCTGAAACCCTGGAAAGCCGCTGCCAGTCAGTGCAGACAGTATTGATCTAGATGGACCCAATGGTCTGACTCAGCATAAGGCAGTTTCCTATGTTTCTGTATTTCTAACCTAGGCGAAATACATCCTGCATGCCAGGATGGCAGGGATGAAAAGCTCCAAAGCAGCACTATCTGAACACCACCACCAAAGAACCTTGCAGGGGGCTGGACTAGACAGCCCTCAGGGGGCACCTTCCAACTCTAGAATTCTATGATTCTACACGTTCAGCAATATTGTGGCATAGTCCTTTCTGGGATTCTACCACTTTGCACAGCAAGAAGGGGAAATCTCAACTCCAATATGCTCCCTCTCTATTAAAACACAACTCCCTTAGTATAGAAAACTCAGGAAGAGGAGAATGTAATTATCTTTTTTCCCCACAAGCAAAAAGTTTTGTTTATAATGTCTGAGAATGTACCACACCTGCAGTCTCTAGTGGTAACGTCCAGGAAATTCTATTCTGTGATTCCTACACGTATGTTCAGCTGTTAAAAGAGGATAAGGTAAAGGTAAAGCGACCCCTGACCATTAGGTCCAGTCGTGACCGACTCTGGGGTTGCAGTGCTCATCTCGCTCTATAGGCCGAGGGAGCCGGCGTACAGCTTCCTGGTCATGTGGCCAGCATGACTAAGCCGCTTCTGGCAAACCAGAACAGTGCACTGAAACACCATTTACCTTCCCGCCGGAGTGGTACCTATTTATCTACTTGTGCTTTGAGGTGCTTTCGAACTGCTAGGTTGGCAGGAGCAGGGACCGAGAAACGGGAGTTCACCCCGTCAGCGGATTCGAACCGCCGACCTTCTGATCGGCAAGCCCTAGGCTCTGTGGTTTAACCCACAGCGCCACCCAGGTCCCTAAAAGAGGATAGGCCTCCCGGAATTCCTCTCTGACAATCTCTCCTTACCTCCACTTCCCCCGTGAGATCTTTGTACTTGTCTCGGATGACGGGCAGGGCTGGCTTCTCACTGAGGGTATTTGACCGATCTCGAAACGGCTGCTCCGGAGGTGGCAAAGGTGAGGAGCGGCTGATCTCTCTGTCGCCCAAACTCAGGCTCCGTTTGTGAGATCCTGGAAAGAAACACAACACATGAAAGTCAGGGTTGTGTGTATGCCCCAGTTCTGAACAGAGCCTTAAGAATAAGAACCTCAAAAGAACTTTTTGACAGTAAGAACTGTCTGACAGTGGAACGGACTCCCAAAAGAGGTGGTGGACTCTCATCCTTGGAGGCTTTTAAGCAGAGGTTAACCGGCTATCTGTCACATATGATTTAGCTGAGATTCCTGCATTACTGGGGGTTGGACTAGATGACCCTTCTAACTTTACAATTTTATTATTCTATGAAAAAGAAGAAGAAAAGACCTTGGCCTCGTTCACACGTAACACTAAGCAATAGTTTGTTCAACTATGTTTTATTAAACCATGGCTTAGCATTATGTGAGAACCCTGCTCAGTGGCTTTACTATGGTTTGTTTACTGCCAAAAAATCGTTACCCGAAGCCATGGTTTGCTACTGTGTTACAAAGTTTGATTTGTTTTAAATATGGTTTGGTGTTATATGTGAAGCCAGCACCCTTCCTTAACCATGCTTTGTTTGACCGCCCCTCCCCAGATGCTAACCAAGGTACAAAGACATGAGGCAAGAGCGATAGCAGCTAGAAAATAAACCAAACTTTGGAGAAAGAAGACAGAGTTTGTTGGCTCATCTGTGGGACAACTCATGACTGAGTTATGATTTGTTAAACGAACCATGGCTTAGTGTTCTGTGCAAACCAGGTCAATATGAATGTTGCACTGAGAGGCAGAACACAGATCCGTGAAAATCAAAACTTCAGTTAAAAATAATAGCAAGTTACTTGCCCTAAAGTGTTAAAGAATTGCTTGATACTATGCAGGCTAGGAAGATCAGAGGCCAAATGTAGTTTGCAAATACTTTCCTAAAAAGCAGCTCTGCTGAATCAGAACAAGGGCTTATGCAGTTCTGCATCTTGCTTCTCCAGGATGTTCCGCATGCAAAGCAGATGCTCTAGCAGGGAGCAAGGCCCCTTCTTTGGCTGGGGCTGATGGGAGCTGTAGTCCAGAACAACTGGAGGCCAATGTAGGCACTCACCTTGAACAGAGAGGTCGAACGTTGCAAGCTCACTCTTGATCATTTCTTCACTCGATTTCACCTTCCCTTGGGAAGTTGCCAGTAAGAAGTCAAATTTGCTGATTTTGGGCTTCTCGCTCTGAAACTCTCCAAAGTCATCTGTGCCTTCTTTGGCTGCTTCTACGGAGAGGCCAGCTGAGTCAGCCTCTTGGGGCGTGCCTACAGCTGGGCTTCCAGAGGTCTCTGCCAAAGGCCTTGCAAACTCCCCAAAGCCTTCAACGTCATCGTCACTCAGGTCCGCAGACTGAGGGTCAGGTTCTTTGAAGTTAGCAAAAGGTGAGAACTTCACGTCCTGGAGAGCATCCTCACTTGCAAAGGTGGTGACTTTGGAAACAGTGGTCAAGGTGATGTTCTCCGAGCTGCCAAACAGAGTCTCTTTCTTCTGGAGGATGGAGGTGGCCAAGGAGGAGCCACTTCCTGGAGGAAAGGGGAAGGGGAGGGACTTCCTGCTTTGGTAGGCGTCGTCTTTGTCAGACCAATCATAGCTTGGGAAGCCACTCAGAGTGGAGCCGTTGCTGAAGCTTCCAAAGGTGGTCCCTTTCAAGTCATCGAGATCTAGAAAGGGAGAGACAGAGAAAAAGAGAAGGAGAAGACCCAACCATTAGAAGCAGTAGTGACCAGTGTTTTCAGCAAACAGTGACACAAGTCAAATCCAAAGATGGTGCCATTTTGGAGAACACTAGAGTATGTCAAAAACTGGCAGCTCCCATCTGTACCTACTGACCTGTGAAACCTGCTCTATGATCCTCTGCCATCATAAGTACAGTGTCTGAGCTCAAAGATCAGGGCTCAAAGATTGTTGTTCTTGTAAATCCACAGCTACAGAACAAGGGAAGCTGGCCCGACTCCATCTTTACCTGACCTTCAGCAGACAGCTAAGACATACCCTTTCTAGAAGGCTTTCCTAACCACTGCGTTTCAACGCAGCACTAGGCTGTTCTTATTTTGCTTCAGGAATAAGAGACACTGTGGCCTTCCAGTTGTTGTTGGACTCCAGTGAAGGCTGGTACATTAAGGCAAATGGGGCATTGCCCCACGTAGCTCAGTCTGCCTCCAGCCAGGCCTCACCTGCCTTCCTTCTTAAATACAGCTGGTTCACAGTGTCGCAGTGCCCATTAGATTCCTCCTCTTTAGCCTCAGTGCCCACCCTTGTACAACTCAGCAGGCAGGAGGAGGTAGGAGGCAAAACTGGAATTAGTTAGCCCTGTCTCCCACTGGCTCTGGCTTCACCTATTTGGGGCTCCCTGCTGTGTGCCCCACCAGTTCCAATGAACACCAGCCCTTCCACAGCATGACCAGTCTGGGTTGATGGGAGCTGGGGGTCTAGCAGTATCTGAAGGACCACAGCTTCCCCATCCCAAGGCAGGAGAGCCTGGGAGGACCCTTCTCTGCCCCAAGACTTTGGAGGCCCACTGCCCGTCAGAGTAGACAAGACTGGGAAGAGGTTTATGGTGGGGATGGGGAACGTGTGATCCCTTCCCAGATGTTGCTGGACTCCAAGTCAACTGGTGAGCAGACCAGGGATGCTGAGCGCAGCAATATCTTGAAGGCCACATGTTCCTCACCTCTGCTTTACATGTTTGACTCATTACTGAAAAGCCACAACCCAACCCTGCGGATGCCAAAATGCTAGGTGTGGGTTTTCTTTTAAAACAAACTTTCTCTGATACCAGAAGCAGCCTACAGCCATCAGGACTAGACGCCATTGATAGTCTCTTCTCCCCTATAAAGCCATCGCTACTTCTTGGCAGGCTCATGTTGCATTAAAACTTAAGTTTCATTCTGGATTTCTGGCAACGGGGCTGAAACACGAGCAGAGCTTCCCTGCCTTAGAAAACTGGAATGGGCGGTGGGTGGGAATAAGGCTTCTACCCACACACCCTGGAACACATCCCCAAAGGCATCAACACTCACCTGGTTAGTGTGCGACTGAAGCTGGCACAAACTACGGTTCATTTCTGTAGTGGGACCTACCCTGTGGAATGCTCTGCCAACTGAGGTTCACCAGGCCATCTCTATACTGCAACCTTCCGCAAGCTGGATGTTTGGGACTACAACTCCCACCATTCCTAGGCAGTCGTAGTCCAAAACATCTGGCAGGACCCAGGTTGGCTAAGGCCACTTTACCGTTTCAGGAGGCCAGCAAAAACCTGGTGGCTTTAAATGGACTGGTCATCGCCCTTGTTGAAAGGCTGCTTGTTAGTGTGGCAGCAGCCTCACTTTGGAGCTCCCCTGCCTAGTGATATCAGGCAGGCCACTTTGCTGTACTCTTTCCAGTACTCTTGCTGAAAATGTTTCTGTTTAGGCAAGACTACCCAGATATGTAGGGACGCGGGTGGTGCTGTGGGTTAAACCACAGAGCCAAGGACTTGCTGATCAGAAGGTCAGCGGTTCGAATCCGTGCGACGGGGTGAGCTCCCATTCCTCGGTCCCTGCTCCTGCCAACCTAGCAGTTCGAAAGCACCTCAAAGTGCAAGTAGATAAATAGGTACCGCTCCGGCGGGAAGGTAAACGGCGTTTCCGTGCGCTGCTCTGGTTCGCCAGAAGCGGCCTAGTCATGCTGGCCACATGACCTGGAAGCTGTACGTCGGCTCCCTCGGCCAATAAAGCGAGATGAGCGCTGCAACCCTAGAGTCGGTCACGACTGGACCTAATGGTCAGGGGTCCCTTTACCCTTACCTTTACCCAGATATGTAGAGTGTTGACATTTGTTTTAATCTGCTTTTAATCATTGATATTACGCATCCTTTGAAGATTTTATATAATGGGTTTCAACCCTTTTTACTGACAATTTCATTGCTTTATCCTTTTGAACCTCTTTGAAGCTTTCTTACAATGGAGTGGTGCATAAATCTCGTGAAATAAATAACACGGGTGTTGTTAGGCGTGGTTCTTTTCTTAAATTGTTAGCCATCTTGGATTCCTTTGGGGAACTAAACCACTTTAAATGAAACGTTGGTGGCCCTTTTTAAAGCTGCCCCTTTTACAAGCTTTCCCCACAATTCTTTGAGCGCGCACGGCAAAGCTCATCTCCACTCAGTTCTTTGGTGTGTTGGCCTTGCGGATAATCCAGTCATCGCCCTCAAATCTTCCACCCTTTGGAAACTGCACCAGGCTGCCTTAAGGCCTGATCACAGGTACAGCCACAAAATATGCATGGTATGCCCTACCTGCCCCCTCGCTAAGTAAATGGTGCTGATCCATGAGAGTCTTTTCCGACCCTAGCCAGTGGAGCAAATGCTGTAAGGAAATAAGAGCACACCTGTTGGATCAGATTAGAGACCCAGCATCCTGCTCTCACAGCAATCAACCAGATGCTTCAATGGGAAACCACAAAGCAGGACCTGAGCATGGCAGGACTCTCTCCACCTGCGATACCCGGCAACTGGATATAAATTGTAGGCATCATGGCTAAGGGCCCACATACTAGACATTCAAAGCACATGGCTTTCCCCGCAAGGATCATGGGAACTGTAGTTCACCTCACACAGAGCTATGATTCAACAAACTTCAGTTCCCAGGATTCTTTGGGGGACGTCATGGGCTTTAGACATGCAGTGTGTACACAGTAGCTGTGTCTACTGCCCAGCATGCACAAGGTCCCAGGTTCAAGCCTCGGCATCTCCAGGTAGAGCTAGGAATGGCCCCTACTGGAAAATCTGGAAAGCTGCTGTGAATCAGTGTAAACAATACTAAAAGCTAGAGAGCCAACGGTCAGACTAGATGTGAGGCAGCCCTTCTTATGTTCCCCCATACCTGGAAAGAAGCCTTCATCTGCAGATTATTACAGTGGTACCTCTGGTTACGTACTTAATTCATTCCGGAGGTCCATCCTTAACCTGAAACTGTTCTTAACCTGAAGCACCACTTTAGCTAATGGGGCCTCCCACTGCTGCCGCGCGATTTCTGTTCTCATCCTGAAGCAAAGTTCTTAACCCGAGGTCCTATTTCTGGGTTAGCGGAGTTTGTAACCTGAAGCGTCTGTAACCCGAGGTACCACTGTACTTTCATGGGAACCCCCCCTCTAGTTGGCTGGGGGGCAGGGGAAGAATGTTATCTCTAGTAGCGAACAGTGGAGCTCCAGAAGAACGGGAGCTGAAGTGGGCCACAGAGAAGTAGGATTTGGGAGAACTCTGAGGTTTGCAGAAGGATGACATCATCTTGAAAACAGACCCTAAGGGGGCACAAAAGCCCTCCAAAAAAAAATATACACCAATGAGGACTAAGCATGCTCAGAACCCAAAGAAAACAGAGTGCCAGTTGGAAAGGAAGGGAGAAAATGGAGTTGGCACAGAGAGGCAAGCGGGACAGAATGCCTTGCTTCAGCAACTCAATAGTTTTGTGGAGGAAGGCTGGATGGTGCAACTCCTCCTGTTTACAGCGAAAAGGCAAGCAAGAGGTGGCATGGCAGAAATATGCACGGCTGAGAGAAAGTGGACAGAGAAAAGTTTTCCTCCCTCTCTCGTAACACTATGACTTGTGGATATCCAAGGAAGATGACTGTCCGGAGGTTCAGGGCAGATCCAGCAGGGCTTGTGCGTCTAAGAAGGGAGGACATAGCTATCACCCTTCATGAATTGTTATCCTTGGCCCTATAATGCCCTAGAAACTGTGCCCAAGCTCTTGAGCCTGAGCAACGTGTCTCTCAGCCACAAACAGAGCTCTTGTCCATCACTGTGTACTGGATGAGAACAATGCATGTTTGTCGCACTATGTGTGGTAACTGGCTTCCAATATCAGGGTGTCTGTGTTACCGACAACTCTTCTGTGAATGGCCAGCAACAATGACATAATAATTGCTATCTCAGAAAACCGATGAATTCACTTCACATATCTCATGAAGTGCAGTCTAGTCCCCAAAAGCTTATGTTGTAATAACTCTGTTGTTCTTGCAGCAACAGACTAATGCAGCTACCCCTCTGGAAGATTTTAAGAGAGAGAGAGACGTTTGAAGTGGAAGGGGATACAATTGCTTTAAACTTTTAAGGGCTTAATTTTTTTAAAATTTCTTTTGCTGATGGCAACCAGATGCATTTCTGGACTCTTTAAAAAAGTGGGGAGGGGGAAGAAAAACCACACATGCTCAGACTTTCAAAATATGCCAAGATAAATATTTATTTAACACAGCAGGACTTACAGATCGCAAAAGAGAACGCTATACAGGAGCTCGTAAGGGCAGTCATCAGAATCAAAGCATGCAGGTCAGTCTTTTTGCAGAAGAGAGAGATATCTAAGCAGATTCGAAAAGGCACATTCACACAAGGAAATGTCGAGTTCAAATAAAGGTATCAGAGGGGGAGGAAAACTGACAGCAAAAATTGGGGGATCTGTGGCCCAATTTCAATTTATGAAGATTCCTCTCCCCTACCCCCAATAAGCACCAAGGTGTGGTGGGGGTAGGAGAGAAGGACTATCGGCCTGCAGGTTCAAGAAATTATGCAATCTTCCATTAAATTTGCAGGCGAGGGTATTTGCCCTGGCTGCATTATTCAAAGACAGGGAAGGATTGGGAAAGAAAAAGACCCCAACACCAAACAATTCAAATTGACAAGAGAATTGGAGGGGAGGGAAAGGGTTAAAATTTGGCAAAGAAAGCAGCAGCAGTAGCCTGGTTGAAATTAACATGCAGCAAGGGCTTAGAAAGTTCAAAGTTTGTCAGAGGTTAAACCCCCCCCCCCAATTGAAATCTAGCCACATTTTTCATATTGGCTGCCTTCTGCACAAGGAATCATATAGCAAAGTTTAAAGAGACAGTATCCCCTTGAAAGCATTTGGAAAAGAAGTCTCTCTGCTTCACCCCAACCTAGAGAAGTTAAGGCAATTTGGCTGAAAGGGGACAGACTCTGACATCTCCCCCCACCCCCACAACTGGCCTAACATTCATCCCTTCTTGTCACTATAACTCATCACTGCCTCTAAATTCCTAGGTCCTTCTCTTTGCTGTGCCAAAACTGAAACATTCAGATAAATTCAGTTCTACATACATGCTCACTTTTTTGACAGGAACCTCTCTTGTGGAGGAGCCCCTTCTGAAGACAACACAAAGTTAAGCGCCCAACGGCTGACCAGCCATTTCTCCTAAATCAAGGAATAAATATATAAAAGGGATACTGTCCCTTTCTGACATTTCAGTTTACAGACCAACAGGAATCAAAAGTCTACTTAAAGTATGTAAACTTCAAATAAAGTTATATAGACACTTGAACATTATCAATTCAGAGCTTGAAATGCTTCAGAACATATATACACACGCATATGGAAACGCCAGAGCACAAAAAAAGTTGATTTAACAAACAAGAATTGAGAGAATGATGTAAGAGACTTCAGACAAGGACCAAATAATAATAATAATAATAATAATAATTTAAAAAAGTGTCTGGACCAGAGCAGATGTAATACTTCCTGCCATTTTACTATGTTTAAGGGATCACCCTCTGGTCGTACAGCTTAATGCAGCCATTTTGCGTGTTTCAGTCTTCCCTTATCCCAAGTGAAGATACAAGCCATGCAGCTGCACTTAACCACAGTTTCTTGTTACACATAAACCAGGAAACTCTGGTCAAGGGCTCCCAAACAAGCCAGGATTCTGAAACTAATTTAAAATCAAGGCTCCATATCCTAAGTTGCCTGGAAGCCTTTGGGTGAAACAGCCAAGTCAGACCTGAGAGCAGACCTGCTGAAATGAACAGACATGGTTTTAAATAGCTTTACTCTGGAAATAATCCACACCGGGTGTCATCCATTAACCATAATTTCTCAGTCTGGAAATAAAGGGGAAGCCAGCAGGTTCCCAGCTCATCTCTCCACTTGCATAAAGGAAGGAGCAAAAGGGCTGTGCAGCTCTCATTACAGCTGCAACGGAGTTAACCGTGGGAAATGCTAATCAGGGTTGACTCCCAACAGAGACTAGCCGTCAACTCTAAGTGGCAGCAAGGATGGTTAGCTTTGATGCAGCTGTAAGAGTGAACCATAGTTATGAATGGTGGGAACTCAAGTGCCAGAAGGGAGTCTCTGTGATCCATTGCTGAGCCATGACTGAGGTTAGGGCATAGGAAGCATTAGGACTGAACCGGCCCCCTTGAGGAATACATTGGAGTTGGCACTAGAAAGTAAGCTTCCATTGCAGTCTTGGAAAAGACAAAGCAAAAACAAACCAACAAAAACACCCTGTCAGCCTCCTGATTATCAACACTTAAAAAGTTTAACACACTTTGCATCAAAGAACATGATCTGCTTAACCCAGCATTTGGACCCAAGATCCATCTCTCAACACAAATCAAACGGCAAGTGTCTATCACTGAATTGCTATGGACACCAAACTCACCTCTGGGAAACGAGCCACATATAAAGATACTGACACGATAAGATTAGAAAAATAGTAGGAAAAAAGTGCTTTTGGAAAAACCCAAAGTAAAAACTTCCAAGAACACACATTTTGTAGGTGCCAGGGAACTGAGCGACCCAACAGGCCTTATACCCATGCATTTTAACATACAAAAAATGTTTTCATTCTTCACCAAGAAGAATTATTTCCTGATATTTTGCACCCTGTTAGAGGAATTCTCCATAGCTAAAGCCACCAACAGTCCCTCCCTGCCTTCAACACTTAAAAAAATGATTGTAATATGGTAAATTGCTGCTCTACCCAATATTGGGGGAGGGGGGAGAGGGAATTTTAGTTCATGTGAAAATAAGTGATGCTTGCAGCAATAGCCTTCCTGCCACAAATAATACCAACGCTGAATAATTTTTTGTTTCGGAATACTGTCATTTCTCTCCTGTTTTTAAAGGCCACAAAAAGCTTAGTTCATTGTTTTCCCACTCTTGTTTTTACAGGCTTAAAAAAAGCACAAACCAAAAACAGGGCACGTGTGTGACGTTTTAACGAGCTGCAACCAAACTGGATTTCTATGCTTTCACTCTAATTTCATAAAGGAAATCTAAAAAGGAAAGGGAAAAAAGGGAGGAGGATTCCTACTATAAACGGTCAACACAAGATCCCCTTGGCTTTTGGAAAGCTTGCAAACGCATGAGCACCCACCATGATTCGGCAGCCAAAGTCAGAACCTTGCGAGGCGGACCAGCCAAAAGGGCCTTCCCATCTATACACCATGGAGCTCAGTGGGAAGAGGCTCACACCATTCGCTTTTGCTAGGTAGTTACAGTCACCTGATGCTTAATGCAGAGTTATGGGACAATTTCTATGGGGAAGTGTCTTCCACTGTACCAGTGGATCCAGATTCGCAACACAAGGTGGCGTCCCATTTTTACAAAAAGTCAATTATTTACACAGAGACAGATAGGCTCCGTAAAGTCACAATGTGGGCATCAAGTATAGATTCTGATGCCGATACACACCACTGGGAACCTCCCCTTGCAGACTAAGGGTAGATCCACACTATGCATTTAAAGCACGTTTAAAGGGCATGACTTCCCTGCCCCAAAGAATCCTGGGGACTGTAGTTTCTCCTGACAGACCTACAGTTCCTAGTGCCCTTAAACTACAGGTTCCAGGATTCTTTGGGGAGGTGATATGCTTTGCATGTGTGTTGGACGTGCTTTAAATGCGTGGCGTGGATCTGCCCTGAAGAAAATGTGTTGTGGCGAAAGCATTCTGACCTTACAAAAGCCACAGACATCTTTGGACCCAAGTACGGACCTTCGTGTACAAAAACAGAACGTAAAGCAGCAATCCTGACCAAAGAGGCCTCCCCGTTCTGAGCACTGATCAGAGTTCTCCATTAGCCTTTTATTCTTCCCCTGCCAAGGGGTCGTCCATGCCCGGCAACTTGTGCAAATACAACGTGGCAGCTATACTGTTTGAAGATTATGAGGGTGCAAAGACTGCATGAGGCAGAATTTCAGAATACAGGTGGAGGGGCTGGGAATGGAAATTCACAGTACAGACACAGGGCCTGAAGAAGATGCTAACACTGGTTATGCCTTAAACTGAGAGTAAAATAATAATAAAAAAGTATGACTCCCTCACTTTGCGGCCGTGGTTTAGCAGTACCTTATCAATGTTGCTAACCATGGTTAAGGTTAACCTGTGCTTCAGTTTGATCAGGACTTGTAACCACTGCTTCAAGTGGGTATCAAATCCTAGCTGAACTGAAATGCCACATAACTTGAGCCTCAGTGCTAAGGTATCGCTTCAATGTAGTTAAGGCAGCAAGAGGGAGTTCGCCACCCCCACCCCCTGAAAAAAAGACTGGGGAAGGATTTGAGGCTAACTTGCCATCTTATAAGAGGGAGCTGGTATTACGTCTGCAGTGAGCCTTGGAGATGCACACCAAACTTCTTGAGAGATGTGCCACATTCACTCTGACATTGCAACCTTACAGATCTTCAGAGATGAATGAGGTCTCCAAGAGCAGACGGGTCTCTTTCCAAAGACGAGCAACCCTTGGCACAGTGGGAGGGGGCAAAGGCTAACTTGCAAATTAGTTAGATAACACCTATGGAGTAGTGAGGCAGCCTCTCGTTGGCAGCAGTCTTGTCTCGGGCGCTCTCAGAGAATGGCGCCATGAACACAAGAGGTCCCCCCCCCTTGGAATTGGGGCTGCTAAGAGGGTGTTGGCAATACTACGCGGCACAGGATCCACCTCAAATCATCCAAATCGAAAAATTACGTCGGACGACAACAAAGAAAAATGTGTAATACTGCTTGGTTAAGAGATTAGCAGCTTGCCAAAGAACACAAGTTTAGAGGACCGGCACGTAATACTGAAATTCAGCTTGGGGAGCAACACTTTTAGACATTTCCATTGCCTTTCGTTACCAGAGCAATCTAACTAGTTCCTCACCTGCGGCTGGCGGATGCTGACCACTAACGGTTGGCAAATCCAAAGAGCTATCAGACATGACATGCTTAAGGTCTCCTCCCACGTCCGCCAGCTTCATGTCAAACTGGACAGAGAGCGCATCTTCAGAGTCTTCCTTGCCCACGCTGCTGCCCCCGATGGACGGGAGGTCCAGAGACTTGACCGAAGCAGAGTCCTCTTTCGCATGCTTGAAAGCTGCCAGTTTGTCGACCAGGGATTTCTCGGAACTGGAGGAAAACTTGTTCGAGTGGAAGTCGGCAAAGTCGTCCTCGCTTTTCACGGACGAAGGGGTGTGGTCTTTCAGTTCTTCAAAGCCTATGCCAGGGCCGTCCAGAGACAGCTGTTTGAAGATGTCGTATTTGGTGGAGGCGGGGGCCGAGCTCTGACCGCTCTTCAGAGTGTTGGCCAAGGAGCCAGCGGGAGGAATGGGGCTGGCCTCTTGCTTGAGTGAAGAGCCGGCGCTGTTATTGAAAGCCATGAAGTCTGCAAATTCATCCTGAGTGGCGGCCGAGGTACAATTCGACAACCCCGCAAAGAGATTGAAGTCGGCAAAGTCGTCGGGCGGGATTGAGCTGTTGCCAGGTGCCGGCAGAGTCGCAGGAACGGCAGAAGCCGGAGGTGGTGGTGCAGGGAAAGACGGCTGCTGGGGCGAGTTGTAGGCGGGTGGAAAGGGGAGAGGTCTGTTCTCGCCGGCAGGGGCCAAGGAAAACAGATCCAGGTCCGCCAGGTTCAGAGAAGGTTTTCCTTGCGGCGGCAGCGGCTGCTTCGACTGTGCAGGTAGAGAAGGGAAAGGCGGAGGGAAAGGTTTGTCTTTCATCGGCGGGTCTAGCGGAGAGATGCTGTCGGCGGTTTTGAAATCCGTGAAGCCGTCATCTTCTCCGGCAGACTTGAACTCTGCAAAGCTGTCTCCTGAAGAGCAAGGGAAAGGAGGAAAACGTCAGTAGGATTCTCGAGAGCGACATATGTGACTCTCTCAGCTGAGCAATAAACGTATTAATTCGCACAAATGCTCAAAATGGCTTACGGGTAATTTGTTTGTTTTGTTCACTTTCCATCTCAGTTCTTCCCAAGGGCTCAAGGCAAATAGTGTGTGTGTGTGTGTGTGTGTGTGTGTGTGTGTTGGCAGGCAGCAAGCACAAGCCAGTCAAAATCAAGCATTTTAAAGTCCTATAGATTTCAACAGGGGAGATTTAGAATTCTACTGAAGATGACCATTCAAACCAATGGGACATCTTTGATCAATACATTTTCTTCTTTTCACATATATTTTCATTCCTGAAGTATTCTGTGATTTCCTGTATTGGGGATAATTTAATTTATCTTGGGTCTTTCTTTCATACGCTGGAATTATGAACAGAAGTATAGTCTGCATTTAATTCAGGCATTACAGCCTTTCAGTAGGAAGAATTTTTCACATGTTTTTCCTGTTTTTTTGTAAGGCAGACTTATTCCCCAATTTTGAATAATACACCAAAAAGACCACCCATTTCTGAAAAGAACTTCTCTGCTAAGTGGAAATTCCCTGCACACAGGGGAGCAGAGTGGGTTACAATGATAACAAAAAAACTAGCCTGCCCCAAGAGAAATTTTGAGCAAAACTACTGTCTCAAATACCAATGAAGTGATGTATGCATGGGTAGCCCACATGATGCCCTGAACTGTCATGCTAGCTAGTTGGAGTCCAACAAATATCCGAGAGGGGGGTGTCACAGGTTAGCTACCCCTAATGTAAAGTAATTAGAAGAAATACAGTCCCACGCAGGCCATGTTCACATGCGATCAACTCTCAGTTTAGAAAGTCAAGGTGTGTACACACTTTGTGTAGCTGTTTTGTTCTCACTTCATTCTTCCCTTCACATGAATGAACCAACAAACGAGCGAGCCCCAGTTAACTATAGTTTCCTGTTACATCCAGACCAGGAAACCATGGTCGATGGCTTCCAAACCTCCATAATTTGAAGCTGTGACTTAAAGTTGGTTTCCAAATCCTGGCTTGTTTGGAAGACATGAACCATAGTTTCCTCATTGACGTGTAACAGGCAATAATGGTCAACTGCAGCTTCCTGGCTTGTTTCGATCTACATGTGAAGAGCAAAGCAGCTTTGTGCAGGTTCCTGAAGTCTATGCATCTCTCAACTTATTAAACAGAGATTTTTATCATGGGTATGCGGCCAGTGGGATACGGCTAAATTGTGCTGTGGTCGTTTGGTTATTGAGAAGGGGTTTCCTAGAAGTCTGGGTAATTTGTTTGGGGTGGGGAAGAAAATCAGCTGCTATCACTGTTTCATAGGTGGGCACAAATGCTTTCTACATAACTAAAAAGCTGTGATTATACATGCTTAATTGTATTAGCCCATCAACAGTATTGTAATGAGCCTTGATAAAAGAAGAATACAGCTTGTCTAGATTACAAAACTGTAATTATGTGCTGAAAGAACTGACGCAAATGGCCTTCGTTTGCATAATTTATACAAGTCAAAGAACTAGATTTTCTTTGAGGCAGAAATGCACCCCTCTCCCTGGCAGTGTAGCGGACCCATAGCTCTTAAGGCACTATTCAGAAGCAACAGCCCATCTGGTGGCAAAGTGAGATAAGCTTCAAATTCAATTTAAGCATTTCATTTATTTATTATATAGTGAATCAAATCGATCGATCAATCAATCAATCAATCAATCAATCACCTGATGCCATTCCCCGAGTGTCCCTGATTTCACAAGTTAGGTGGGCAGCTCTTATCGGGGTGGGGGAGAAATCCGATTCAGTTTTCACTTAAAGGCAGATCTACCTCATTTAGACTCTCCGAAACAACACATGACTCAAAATGCAGGTAAGCTTTCAAAATTCACACTGCTCTGAATTTTGCAATGCGCTTACCCAGCCAAGTAACGTGTGAAAGAGTGGTCGGGTAAAGTGTGTATAAAAATGCTGACATTGGTGAAAATTAACTTACAAAATGCATCGTATATGGGGAGATCGCTTTGCAAAAATGTGTATTTTAGGCAAAGCTGTATACTAGAATCTGCACTAAAATTCCTATGAATCATCATGAGGACTTAAAGAAAACACACGCAGCACACACAGTGCAAACTCATGCAGAAACGTGGAGAGCTGAACTTAAGATTGCAAAAAACAGAACCTGAGAGAAACAAACATGGACGAACTTGCCTATCCCTAAGTTATCATCTGGGGGTGCCTCAATGCATTCATTTCCTCCTCAGGCAACTTCATGGGGTGCCATCATTGCTACCATTTCTAAGCCCATCACTTTCCTCATGAACTTTAAATGATCAATATCAACCCCTCAAAGCCGTTTCCCCAATAGCGGTACTTCTTTTTACCAGCATTGCTTAATTGTTTTTTATTCTGCTTGGAGTTAATTATTTAGAGCCAATGTTTTGTACTGTCTTGGTTGGCGATGTAATGCTATCTCTTGGGGAAATAATAGTAAAAAAGAATAAAAAACCCAGTTTCTCTAAACAGCTTGTCTCCTGTTCCCAAGGTTGGTGGTGGCCAGCCTTCCTTTCTTAAGCTAACTCCACGTTAACGAATTAGGAAGGCAAGTAGATGGTTCCTTAGTGGGAGATAGATGTTGGAAAACGTCTTATCTACAAAAAGCTTAAGACATAGTAAATCAGCTTGCCTGAGGTCCTACAGAACTTCTTGCTGGTTTTGCTGCAGCAAACTAGCATGAACGTCCCTCTGGAAGTTATTAGAAGATGGTTTCTTGATACACAAATATCTCTGAAATGGAGTTTGGGGGAGATGATACCACTCCAGATAAGGACAGCAGGCAGTGGTATCTATGTATTTTTGCAGTAACCACAGGAGCAGAGGGCTTTTTTGGAGTGGAGAGGGGTTTCAACAAGGAGAAACGGAGCCAAGTTATAGGCTGGAAGCTACTTTGGCTTATCTGATGTGGACCAGAGAAGTCTGCTGCTTGCTAGGTGTGTAGCTGCCCATTCCACAACTTATATGCTAACAGGAAGCTGAGCATCCAATCCTGGCACCCAAAGAAATGTGAGTGTGTCTGAACGGGCATGTTCAAAGTCAGAAAGGCTGAACCTGTGCGAACAAGAACTGAGCAAGAAGAGCAAACAGTCTCTTGTGCAGTCTGGATTCTTGTAGGGATATTTTCTGAAGCCTTTATCACATACGCTCTTGGTCATGCTTGGGCACAACAGACGGCCTGGAAGCATGATGCTGGAAATCCCTGCCCTACTTCAACTTTCTCCAGTTATCACCTGTGTACATGTTGTTACCTTAGAACAGGATGCTTAGGAATGCAGGAAGCTGCCTTATACCGGGTCAGACCACAGCCACATCTATCTCAGTACTGCTTACACGGACTGGCAGTGGTTCTCCTGGGTTCCTGGCAGAGGATATTCCCAGCTATATTTGGAGATGCCAGGAATTGAACCTTGGACCTTCTGCCTGCAGGGTGGGGGCTCTAGACACTGAGCTACAGCCCCTCTCTTAAGACACCAGAGCTGCCTTACACAGAGCTAGACCACATAGTTGGCCCCATTGAATTCACTTAATTTTGATTAACCCCTTCACCAGCAGGACATATTTACACAGAAGCTGCTGTTAAAATATGTCTACATTACTTGAAAGGTAATGCAATGCAAAACTTCTATCTATATCTACTCACACACACACAGAGAGAGGTTTTGCTTTATCATATTTCAAATCACCGTCACCATGAAAACAGAAAACCCAGTTAAGTCAGTTTCACAAATGCTGCCATAAGTCAACAGAAAGAGCAAACCAGCGCTTCAGGCCAGTTTAAACTGTGGCAAAGATCGGCAAAATGGGGTAGCAACAGTCACCTGACTTCCAGTTGCCTGTGACACTACTGCATACAAGGATGGAGAGGAGGGGCAAGGGAGTGGTGAGGCTGGTATAGTGCAAACACTCCAGCAGAGCCAATCCAGAACTCCAACTGGTACATTGGCTCTGCACCAACCTTGCGCCTCCCAGGATGCAACAGAGACGTGGGTGTTTGGAGGTGAGCAATGCTGCTCCACCAGCCACTACTAAGGAAAAAGCTACTGAGGTCACATCAAACAGAACTCCTGTTACGCGGACCTGGTTCTTTCAGGTGGTGTAAACTCCAGCTTTCCCAGACGGGGAGAAAAGCACCTTTGTGAAACTGACATCAACCCAAACCGAGGCAAGGTACAGCAAAACTCAACTTACTGGTGGGCTGCAAGCTTTTCCGTTAGAAATGTAAGCTGGTGAAAGGGTTAAAAGTGAAAAGAGGGCAATTCAAAACCAACTTCTCTTTCTCTGAAATACTGGACGGGCTCAGACGTTTTTCATGCCGAGCCAATGCCTTGCTTGGTGCAACACTCCAGCCTGATTAAGGGTGCTGGGGATCTCAAAAAGGATGCCACGATTTTGTGACTTTTGTTGTTGTTGACCTTAATAAAGGTATTTTTGCAACTGTCGACTTTTTGAGTGATATGCCAGGCAGCTTCACAGATAAAATATTCTGTACTTCCTTCAGGGAGAGGCTCCCTAGGAAGTCTCCGGTCTCGGTGCTGACAAGGGCTGAAGTCCTGCTTAGTTTTAAAAATGTTAATGGCATTCCAAGTCTCCAAAGCAGTTGCCTCCAATTTTCACTTGTTACACTGAGACGATGGAAAGCTTGCGCTACAGTCCAGTTATTGAGAAACTGAGACTCGTAATGCGTTTCCCCTGGCCTCAGATTATTGAAATGCACACAGCATCTGATGAAGCAGCCTGTAGCCCACTGAGTTAATTAGCCATAGCATATTTGCCAGTCTTTTGAAAAAGGTGCTTTTAAAAAAAGGACTCTAGTCCATTTTGATCCAGGAAACTGCATCTTTCCCAGAAAATGTAACTACGCCGCCCTTGGGGACCTTATGGAAATGAGCTTTCCTGGAAACAGCCATAAGAAAGCTGTACTTTTCTGCAGTTATATAAAATGGCAATAAACTGAGAAGGAAGAAGGCTCATTGCAGCATTTTCCCACAGCCTGAAAGAGCGGAGAAAGAAATGCCTAGCTTTGAAAAGCAGCTGCATATTAACGGGCATTTAAGCCAGAACTTACACTCGCTTCCTAACAGCTGGGATTGATGGAGGTTGCAGTCCAACAACTGAGGCAGCACGAAGGTTGCTTCAATTACTTAAAGTAGGGTAGCCCCCAACCTCTGAGTCCACTGACCCCCTTGATGAGCTTGCCACTGACCCCAACCCAACTTCTTAGAAATGTAAATGAGACAAAGTCAAGGAATATTAAAGGCAGCTTCCTTTTATGCCTTTGCATCTTTGTGGGGGAGTGAAAGAGGGGTGTTAGAATTGAGACACTGTAGAAAAAAAGTTTAAAAAGTGAAACTCTGCACCTCTAGGCCCCATTGACCGTGTGTGTGTGTGTGTGTGTGTGTGTGAGAGAGAGAGAGAGAGAGAGAGAGAGAGAGAGATGGGGTGGGAAGAGAGGGAGTGAATATTCACCACTTTGGGAACCCTGGTTTAAATAAATGTCTACATACACAGTATTAATGCCATGAGATTCGTGTTGGTAGGATATTTGCCAAACCTACAGAGACGCTTTAAACAACCTGAAAAAGAAGCACAGAGTCAACAAGGCAAAGATATCAAGGTTTGCAAATCTGGCACACTTACCTAAGGGCTTACTCTCAGGCTGCTGCTCCAGCACTCGAAAAGCACTGTACTTGTCTCCATAATCTATTGTGGGTATAATTATTTTTTTTTAAAAAAGGAAAATTCAGTCACAATATAGTTAAATTAAGGCTGGAATAAAAGACACACACACATATCATCATCACAAGTTAAAAATTGGCACATTACGTAAAGTGTTTGTGTGACTGTCTTTAGATCAGCCGCTAAAGAAAGAATTCTTTCTGAGATGTGTTCTTGGGCACTTCTTGAGAAAAATCAGTTGCTTTCTCCTTTACTTTTCCTGGTGATCAACATGCCTCTCCCTCCCCCCCTTTGTTTCCCAGTCCTACCTCGCAGCCTAGGCATTTTGTAGTAGCAGTTGGAAGCAGGAATTATGCTGCTCAGGAATCTCAACGGAAGGGTCATATTTCAGTGGCAGAGCATCTGCTTTACATGCAAAAGCTCTTCTGTTCCACGCTCAGCCTCTCCAGGTAAGGCTAGGAAAGACCCAGGTCAGAAACTCTGGAGAGCTGCTGCCAGCCAGGGCAGACAATACTGAGCCAGACTCAATGTAAGGCCGCTCCCTAAGTAATTGAGTCCCACTGTGCTCAGTTGCGGCTTATTCCCAGTTATTCCATCCTCCCTCCAAAGGGCTGTCTGTTCTAGTTTAAAGAACTCTAAAGAGGAAGAGCAGGAGGGGCCTTAAAGTCGCCCATCAACAGTTAGTATCCGGAAAAGACTCAGCAGGCACAGAGTCTAAGTTCTTCATCACATCGCTAAGCGATAGGGCGTTTTCATTTCAATTTTAGTCACCGTGTCTACATCTGCATCTGTGCATAGCAATCAGCAATTGCAGGTTTGGTGCAAACCGGTGTCCCCCGTACAACAATCAATAGTCCTTGCACATAGAAATCAAGGATTTCAAGGGCAAGGGCTTAAGCTTAGTGTTTATTACAATTATAGCCTACCTTTCTTCCAAGGAGCTTAAGGTGGTGTACAAAGCTCCCCCCCCCCCCATTTCATCCTCACAACAACCCTGTGAGGTAGGCTAGGCTGAGAGGCCCAAAGGTCACCCAGTGGGAATCTGAACCCTCGTCTGCTGGGTCCTAGTCCAGCACTTTGACCACGACATCACACTGGATGCAGATTTACACCAAGGTTATCCGTATATCCCACCTCTCCTCTAAGGAGCTCAAGGTGGCCTACATGGATCTCACTCTCTCCATATTAGCCTGAGACATGATAGCTTCACGCTTGGATCTGGTGCATGAGGAGGGAAAGGTAAACCTGGTGAATGGGGAAAGGCAGGGCCGGCCCACTCATGAGGTCAGGGAAGGTGGCTGCCTCAAGCGCAGCAGACCCCAATGTTGCTGTTTCTTTCCCCCCCTTGTTCCTGATGTACATCTCCACTCACCCCTCCTTCCCTGGTGGGGACCGGGGCAAGGGGCTACTTTTTTTTGTTCGCCTCGGACACCAAAATGTCTTGGGCCACCCATGGGGAAAGGAGAAGTGTTCTCAGCACCTCCACAACCCTTCCTAGACGAGTGATCAACCCATTAAAGGTCATAACAAAGAGGAGTGCACCAATACGTTAGACAGCTGCTTTTTTTTACCTCCAAGCGAAGCTGTGCTTTCTGTAGCCTTGTCGGTGGCAATCCCTTTGAAAACGGCGTACTTATCCACAGCGGGCGGCACCTTCGCGCCGGAGAGCGGGATCAGCATCGGAGGGGCGCTGCATAAAAAAGCAAGGGAAGGGGAAAATGTGAGGAGAGGGCTGGGCACAAAGGGCCTTGCTCCCGCAGAGACCGGCTCAGTTGTCAGAGAAGACGTTCTCAAGCTTTGCATTAGGGTGGAAAGGGAGTCAAAGGATGGGCTGGGAGAGATCTTAATGCAAGAACAGCTTCTGGTGGCCTGAGAGGGCACTTCGGCTTGTGGCAGAGCACAGGGTAGGACTTCTACAGCAATGGGGGAGAAACCTCAGACTCTCCAGGTCTCTCTATCTGGCTCTCAGAACTCTCCCAGGCCTGAACTCTCCCTGGCCCCCCGCTTCACATTTGAACCGAGATAATGCCTCTTACCAGTAGGGAGGGAGGATAGACGGGGGGTGGGGTGTCAACTAGCCTACTGTAATATTTACATCCTTTGCCCCTCCCACTTTTGCCTCTGGCCCCGCCTACCACTGGCATGTGACCTCCCAGGAAGCTGGTCCAGAAGGCACTGTGGCCTTTGGGCTGGAAAAGGTTCCCTACCCCCATTCAAGGGTGAAGAAAACCACACACACACACACACACACACACACACACGCAATGCTGAAATTTATGCCGCAAGATTTCCCGACGATATTTTTAGGGTAAGAGAGGGGAGGAAAAAAATCAGTAACAAGCTGTGTGGTGTTCCCCCACCCCTTTACCACCTACATAGATTTTGCTCTGAATTGACAGTCCCTATCTTAAGCCGAAAATCATCCGTTTGAGTTTAAAAGGGAGGGCAGAGCAATTAGACGGGCACAAAAAAAAATCCAGGCAAAAAGGAAGAGGATGGAGATTTCTGGCCCACCCAGGACCTGTATTCTTGCATCCTTTTCTCATACACCTGTTCCCTCTGTCATCCACCACCACCCCTGCTCATTTTGGATAAATCCACCATTTCCTCTCTTATCTTTATTTATTTGAACAATTTATATACAGCTTAATGACAACCGTCTCTAAGTGGTGTACAAGAACCCACAACACAGATAGATAAAAATCAATCAAAACTATAAAATCAGACTTTCAACAGGGAGGGTGGAAGGCAATGTACAAAATTCAATAGAAACAGCTAAAAAGCAGTTAAATACACATTGATCTAGTTGATTAAGCATCCAAACACTGCAGCTCCCATGCAAATCTATGTTTTGTTGTGGTGGGAAAAAGCAAAGCCACCCCGGATTAGCTTCACCACACGACTCACATATTTTATCTCCCTGCTGACAGCTTGGAACAGCATCCTCGACATTAAAACAACTCATGCTTTTGTTTAACCTGAAATCCACGCCACCAAATCGAAAATATGGATTTCTGTGGGATTCACAGATATAGGGGTTTTGTTTTGTTTTTGGAAAAAATGGACTGGGAGCAAGACTCTTTCAAATAAATCTCCTTATCAGTGGCCTACAAGCCGAGCGGTTCACAGATGCATGCTAATGGGGACCCATGAAGCCTGCAGAAGGGGGAAGAGAGAGGGACTACACAAATAAAGAGAGCAAGAGGTAACATTTATGGAAATCTTATACAAGTTCACACCAGGTATCTAGCAGGATGCTGTGCGGCAAGTCTAATCACCAGCTGTCTGTAGAGCTGGAGACTCTCCCCCCCTCCACCCTCCAAAAATGTCTTTCAAACAATTAGACCAGCATATTAGACTGCAAACAGTTACGCCACTCCAGAGGGGAGGTGCAGTCACACGGGACAGAGACGCAGGTGAGGCTTTTCCAGGAAAAACAACCTCTCCCTTCCACAGCTACATATCTGCTGACTCACACTCCAATTAGACTGTCACGGGAGGACATTTTCTGTGCCAAAGATGAATGGCTGCAATGCATTCTACATATTTATATGTAGCGGCTTCTAAGTGTAAGAGGAAAAGTAATAGGCAATAAAAAGAAGGCTAGAATGGCTAAGTCATAATTGCTGTGTTTATGGTATAGGTCATTATACTGTGTTAAACGTAATTACTGTTACTTATTGCAGTAAGATCAGGAATTCATTTCAATGCAAGATACAGTGAATGAAACAGGGAGCTGTCTTATATCAAGTCCGACCATGGCTCCACCTACACTGACAGGCAGCTGCTCTCCAGGTTTGTCTCCCAGTCCTAATTGGAGATGCTAGAGATTGACCCTGGGACACTTGGGAGTGCAAAACAGATGCTCTACTACTGAGCCACAGATCTTCCCTGGGGTGGGGTGGGGGGGAGCAAGATTCCATTCATCACGGTTCTGAATTATACCTGCTCTCCAAGGTTTCAAATGGGTTCCCCCCCCTGGCCTTAGCTGGAGATGCTGGGGATTGAACCTGGGACTTTTTGCCTCCCAATCACATGATCACTGAACTATATTTGTTCCCCATTTACAAGAGAACTAAACCAGTGGCTCTTCTACAAAGCTTGGGCATGATTGGCCTAAAACGTAACTGGATCCGATTTAGAATGAGGCATGGACATAGTCCTGTTTCTATGTCTCCTAAGTGGGAAGATGTGAAAAGCTGTTTTTGTTTGTTTTTGACACACAAATATACACACACTTGCCAGCAAAAACCCCTACAGTAAAAGTACGTTTTTAAATCCTCTACCTGCTCTGCTGCTGTGCTGCACACGCCTTGCTTGATCCAGATGTTTCTCCCTGGAAATCTGTAAAGGTGTCATCAAGCCCTCCAGACTTAGAAGCGTCCTGGAAATCTTGGAAGTCGTCGTCATCCTGTTTGGCTGCCTAGATTAATATGAAATCATAAAGTCCCCTTTCAGGGTGACAGCAATCTTGTACCTAGCTGCTTTGCATTCTTTAAAACTAACACTACTATGCTATGTATTTTGTTATTTATTGGCTACTCCTAAAGTTCCTAGGAGGCTTCCAATAGCAGAGATGCACACTTTTCCTTCTCTTCCCTTAAAACCAGAAGCATGCTTTGTTCCTACACCCCAGAAGATTTGCTTTCATAGTGCACAGCATAAAGAAGTGGGAGATGATGGCGCCGGGTCAAGTCTCCACTGAGTCTCTGCTGTGTAAGTAGGAGCTCTAATTATCAAATTACTCTGATAAAAAGGCTCAGCCTATGAAAATAACTGCCAACTTTTATCAGTAAAAGACTCCGGGAGCTGTCGGGTGGACTTTCAAATCTCCCCTCCCTTTTGAAGCCACTTACATCAACTTTGAACTCCCCCCTTGCAAAGCCCTTAAAACTGTGGGCTGGATAAAGTAGCCCTATTTATTTCTGAGTCCGAGCATGGTACAGTGGTACCTCGGGCTACATACGCTTCAGGTTACATACACTTCAGGTTACAGACGCCGCTAACCCAGAAATATTACCTCAGGTTAAGAACTCTGCTTCAGTAAGAGAACAGAAATTGTGCTCCGGCAGCACGGCAGCAGCAGGAGGCCCCACTAGCTAAAGTGGTGCTTCAGGTTAAGAACAGTTTCAAGTTAAGAACGGACCTCCAGAACGAATTAAGTACTTAACCAGAGGTACCACTGTACTTACAAGACAATGTTGCAAAGAACTGGGGATTTCACCCACAGAACCTGTAACAACTGCCCCAAAGAAAAAACAGGCCAAAATTTCAACATACTTTCAACCCAAGGCTAATGAAGCAAATAATCCAGGAAACCTCCATGCTCATGAGAGGTCTGTTGATCACACCTGGATTGGAAGGAGAACGAAGCGTCGGCTCCCAGAGGAGGGTGTTTGCAGAGCTTCTGCATAAGTCACTGTTCAAAGCACAGCTCTTTCCCATGTCAGTGACTCATGCAGAGAGTCCTTCCAAGGAGTACAGAATCATAGAATCATAAAGTTGGAAGGGACCATAAGAGTCATCTAGGCCAACCCCCTGCAATGCAGGAATCTTTTGCCCAACAAGGGGCTCGAACCCACAGCCCTGAGATTAAGAGTCTCGCACTCTACTGACTGAGCTATCCCAGCTAGCAGTAATTCCGCTGCATGTCTGCATCAAGAGTGACTGGGTGATCCTACCGCACTGCATACAGATGCACAGCAGAGGCAAACTGTAGTTAAACATAGCTGCATAAAACCCATTGAAATGAATGGGCATTATTAATTCATTTACTGAAACGCATTTATAAACTGCTTACTTTTTTAAAAAAAATCTAAGTTTTAAAAAACAAACAACATATTGTTAGAACATAAAACAAAAATAAAATAGAAGTATTTAAAAACAACCACCACAGGGCTGTATCCGACTAAGTTTCACTCAGAACTGACCCCTTGAAAGGAAAGAACCTAAGTCAATAGTACAGTGGTACCTCAGTTCTTGAACATCTCCGTTGGCAAACATTTCAGAACCCGAATGCCAAAAACCTGGAAGTAAATGCTTCCATTTTCGAACGCACCTCGGAAGTCAAATGGCTTCCGCTGCGTGTTTTTTCAATTTTCTCAACTGAATTTGCAGACAGCCCTTTGCGCCTCGGTTTTCAAACGTTTCGGAACTCAAACGGTCTTTCGGAATGGATTACGTTTGAGAACCGAGGTACCATTGTATCCTTTAACTTCAATGTGCCTACTCTGAGTAGGACCACCACTGACTACAACCCAATAAAATTTAAAAGAAAAGATGCACTTAAACACAATGAAAGCCATATAAAAACACTGTAATTTATATGGGTTCTAAGCTGCCTTGCATACAGTCATGCAGAGAAACGGCATGCGGGTTAAAAATGAAGCACAAATACTTAAAAACTGAAAGCAAAGAAACAGGATGTGAGAACGGCAACGGAGCATTGGAAGACACAAGATTTATCCACCCTGGAAGAATGGCAGATGAAGTTGATGGACTACATGGAATGGGCGGAAATGACTGGCAGAATCCGAGACCAGTGAGAAGAGTCGGTGGAAGAAGATTGGAAAAAGTTTAAAGACTATTTACAGAAATATTGTAAAATTAATGAATGTTAGAAAAATGTTGGAATGAAGTTATATGGCTTCAGTAGAAATGTTATAAGGAATTAAGTATAAATAGATTAATAGAGAATTAAAGGGAAAAATAAGGTTAAAATGTGTTACGATAATTATAGGATGGAAAGCAGAGGAAGATGGAAAGGAATTGCTGAAACAACTAAATAGAAGTGGAATACAAAAAGGGAGGTGTGAGGAGGTCATGGAAATAAGTGAATGAAAGATTGAAATTATTTGATGTGTTTTAAATTGTTTTTGTTTTGTTTTCTTAGTTTAAATTGTTTTTGTTTTGTTTTCTTAGTTTAAATTGTTTTTGTTAGTTTAGTGTTAGGTATTGTTTTTGTATTGTACTGTATTGTTTATTTTCTTTTTCTATGTATGTTCAAATTGTTGGAAAGTAATAAATATTATTTTTAAAAAAAAGAGAACAGCAACTGAGCATTAAAAGAAAGAGATGTTCACGCTCTGTTGCTTAAATATTGGCTGGAAAGGACAAGTTCTTGCTTAAACCCACTTCAAGAAGGATTCTCGCTTATTGCATGGCATACGCGGCACTGACCTGGCTTGGAGGGTAAGGCGGCATGAACCCGCTGGGCGCCGGCGCTGAAGGTCCCGCCACTGGTGCAGCCATGTTGATCCCCACCACGGCGGGCGTCATACTAAGAGGCATGGAGACGGGAGGCCCCGGCGGCATCATCGGCTGCTGGCTCACCGTGACAGGGATTGCCATCGGGAGCCCACTCAGTGTAGGGAGCGGGGCAGAGGGGAACTGGTTCAAACCGTCCGGGCTCATAGCCGGAAGGCCTCTCTGTAAGTGAAAAGAGGGGGCAGGGAAAGCATTAATAGACAGCAGCACTGTTTTTATAAGGCGCTATTAGAATGCGAAGCTAAAGATGAACAAGTAATATCTTCAATAATACATTGAGCAATGGATATTGGTCACAATACAGTGGTACCTCGGGTTAAGCATTTAATTCATTCTGGAGGTCCATTATTAACCTGAAACTGTTCTTAACCTGAAGCACCACTTTAGCTAATGGGGCCTCCTCCTGCTGCTGCTGCTGCCGTGCCGCCGGAGCACGATTTCTGTTCTCATCCTGAAGCAAAGTTCTTAACCCGAGGTACTATTTCTGGGTTAGCAGAGTCTGTAACCTGAAGCGTATGTAACCCGAGGTACCACTGTATTGAAATGTCGGCATGGGAGCGGTTGTGGAACACAGAATTAAAGTTTACATCAAGTTATGGTTTGAGGGGGAAATTTGTGAAAATGAGTTAAAGCAAAACTAGCAAAAATCGAAATCAAGTATTTGTTGGAAATGTAAAAATAAGGGAGGTATTTTTTCCCATGTGTGGTGGACTTGCAATAAGGTAAAAGCCTACTGAGAGATGGTATGTAATGAATTGAAAAAAAATGTTTGCAATAACCTCAATTAAGAAACCAGAGGCTTGGGGGGGGGATTATGGGATTAGAGTTACCTAGACAATATAAAAAATTATTTATGTATGTGACCACTGCTGCTCAAATGATTTCTCCAACTCCACTGAAATGATACAGGACTTTGTGTAATTTTCCACCAATGCCTGGGGTTGAAGCAACCCATTTGGAGACCGGCACATCACTGTAGCAAAGGGGGTGCAGAATCTGGCCAGCTTCTTGGATGCAGGATCGCTACAAGCTCTGTACCACAGCACGTCCTTTCCCGCTTGTCTAATAAGAGGTGCACAGAACCCACTCAAAATATGTGAGCTGACCTTCCCCCAGCTTTGCCTCCCAGTGTTTAGTCGCTCCTACCTGAGTTACGGCTATCATAGCCAGAACGGTATACAGCTCTTCTTTCGTAAGCTTCCCAGGAGTGGTGCGATTGGCCAAGGCCCATATTTGCCCCAGCGTCTCCCTGGGAAGTCCAGAAGACATCAGGATGGGATAAAGTTTGCCAGTGTCTATTCCAGTGGGCGTCATAGTGGTTTCTAGAATTTTCTTGTACAGATCTGCAAAGAAAAAAAGCCAGCCAAAAAAAGAAGAAGTTTGCATAATCAGGAGTTGCCAACATGTAAGAACCCAAATTAGAGACAAGATGGACTTCGACTTGGACACCATCAAATGCCAACCCTCCAGCTCCACTGTGGAGCTGGACAGCAAACAGAGCACGTACAGAATTCTACATGGAAGTATAATAATAATAATTAATTAATAATAATAATAATAATAATAATTTGTACCCTGCCCATCTGGCTGGGTTTCCCCAGCCACTCTGGGTGGCTTCCAACAAAGATTAAAAATACACTAAAATGTCACACATTAAAAACTACCCTAACAGGGCTGCCTTCAGATGTCTTCTAAATGCCAGATAGTTGTTTATCTCTTTGACATCTGAAGGGAGGGTGTTCCACAGGGCGGGTGCCACTACCAAGAAGGCCCTCTGCCTGGTTCCCTGTAGCTTTGCTTCTCGCAGTGAGGGAACCACCACAAGGCCCTCGGCACTGGACCTCAGTGTCTGGGCAGAACAATTCAGCGACATGTGTGATTTCGTGTGGCCTAGCAGTTAGAGTGTCAGGCTGAAACCTGGGTTCAAATCTCTACTCAGCCCTACAAAAGCCCACTGTGACCCCTTGGACCAGCCTTAGCTACTTCACAGGGTTGTTGTGAAAATAAAATGGCAGGATGGGGAGCGGAAGAGAACAGACCACCTGAATGAAGCTTACAGACCCTTTTCTAAATGTTTTCAGAAGGTTTTCAGTAGTTTTTTTACATGTATTAGCGATGTTCCTACTTTAAATGGTAGTGTTTTAACATTTTGATGCTCCCAGACTCCTTTGAGAGAAGGGTGGTATAAAAATCCAATAAATAAAATAAAATAAAAGTGAGACGCCCTTAGCAAGCCCAGTTTAAAATCTAGTGTTCCCTACTAAGCACTTAGCACAGACTCTATATACCAGTCCCCTCACCTGCAGAAAGGGCAAATCATCTTAAGAAATAAGCTGGTTTAATTACAAGTCATCCAGAATGGGAGGTGAGCTTGCATCACCTTTTCTAATACCTTCAAAGGCTATTCCTGCTCAGTTTCATCATTGCCATTAATATTACCTGGAACTAAATTATCATTGTAAATCCAGGGAGGCATCAGTTGCTGGATTGGATCCTGGGAAGGGAAGACTCCGACACCTAAAAGGCACACACACGAAAGGAAAACTATATTTAGGAAATATCTGCAGCGAAATGACTCATCTGGAACACTTCCGTCATCTTATTTCAAAGGAGGAATCGCCTCTCTTGCAAGCAGTCCGGAATAAAATGGCACGCTCAAAGAAATGAGGGAAGAGACTCTCCTTCTGCACACAAATCAAGCTTTAAACACTCTGTATATGCAACAGAGCCTCTCTACACAGAGCTCTTGGGAAGCATTTCTAGGACTGTTGGAATTTAAAAAAATAAATGCAATTCAGCTGAGCGCTGGTGGGACCAAGGACCACCTGAGCGCTGGCAAGGAGACCAGCCTTCTGAATCGAGGCCAATGACAGGCAGAGATAGAGCCAATGGCAGGTGAAGTCACCTGCTGACTTGTTGTAAGTAAGAAGGGAGGAAGACGGGGGCTGTCTGAGGTTGGTGGGGCAGAGTCCCATTTGCCCTTTTGGATAAGCCTCCATGGCAACTAGGCGGGGCTTTTCTATTTCTACAAATCGCCATAGTAAGAGCAATAGCTTTCCTTAGCCATACTAAGCTTTCTCCTGAAGAGGAGTGGAGGGGTAATGTTCTGGCCAGAGAAGTCAAAACACACATCTGGCCCTCGGAGCCTCCACTCCTGCAGCCGCAGAGTGCCAACTTCTGCAAACGCCTCTCCTTGGGAATCAAATGGAACTGAAGAGGCTGCTTGAGTGATGCCAGCAGCAAGTACTTGTATGGCCATCATCGTGGTGGTGGTGGAATCTAGCATCTGCAAAGAGCGATGGCCATGGAGTCCATCTCAAGTTCATTCCACACCACTGCCACTTCGTTTTATGCCTGTTCTTTAAGCAGGCAAAACCCTTCTTAATTTGTAGAGTCCGTTAAGTGCTATCACTGCTGTTAGAAGAGAGGCCATCTGAACAGCAATCCAGGCGGTGCGCAGAGAACTAAACGGAGAAGCGGAAATACTGGGACAGTTAATAATGGGTTCTATTGCTCAAATTACGTTTGTGTGAATTATTATAGAACATAGGCAGAGTCTGTCTAGCTCAGTATTGTCTGCACTGACTGGCAGCGGCTCCCCAGGGTTTCAGAAGGGGGTCTTTCTACTTGAGCTGCTGGGGGTTGAAACAGGGACGTTCTGCCCATGCTGCAGCACTGAGCTACATCTCTCCCCTTAATATTCCACTCCTCCTGGTGCTGCATTTAGTAGGAAGACAACAAGCTGCCTTATACCAAGTCATATTGTTGGTCTGCTTAGCCCTGTGTTGTCTACACTGACTGGCAGCTGCTCTCCAGGGTTTCAGACAGTGGGTATTCCCAGTCCTATCTGGAGATGCAAGGGACTGAACCTGGAACCTTCTGCATGCAAAAGCAGAAGCTCCACAACTGACCTATGTCCCTTCTATTACCTCCCCTTAAGTCTACACCATCCATCAACTTCATTCATGGTATTGGGATGCGTTTGTTGCTGTTTGAGGAGATGAGGTGTTTATTTCCCCCCCACTCCACAAGGTAAATGACAGCTAAAGACAAGAATCAGAAGAAAGCATGCATGATTGGAAGAACTTTTTTTCTGCAGGATCAAATCTTATTCAAAGAAGCTTGTTAGGTTTTGACCCTTACAGGTTACAAAGTTTGAAAAACAGAAGCAGAACTTGCGGACGTCACATGTTAAGTCAGGAGAATCGGCGCTTCGCTGTTATTATTCAAGCAGGGGTTCAGAGCAAAATCACCCGGCATTCGTGTTAAAGAGGTTAGCGTACGCTCTGCAAGACACAGATATGCTCACCACGCTCTTGGGCTGACAGGTTTTGTTCTGAAGCCTTGTTTGCCTTTGGACCGGGGCTGCCGCTCGGGAGCGCCCCTACGGGCTGCCAGTTACTGGCCCCTAACCTGGGATCAGGGCCGTTTGCAGCTGGAGCTGCGGCACTGAGCTCAGCGTCAGGAGTTTTAAGTTTGGTTTGTGCCTGCCCAAATTCACTCAACCCACAGGGTGGCAGGGGCTTCTCTTCCAAAGGAGGGCCTGGACAGATAAAAGGAGGAATTGTTGGCACTTGGTTAAATCTCAAGTTTGGAACTCCACCCCAATCCACACACAAAACACACCCGCCTCCACACACAAAAGGAGCGGTCGAGGTGCGGAAACAAGAATGGATGAGCAGCCCCACATATACCCAAGGCTGGTGCAGGTGTCATGTCTTCCTATATGTCATTTTATTCCTTTTCAACCAGCTCTCAACATTCCATGGCTACTGAGCATGCTCAGGCCTCATTCAGTTTCTTGGTAGGGGGAGTTGCCCCTAAGGTGTGTTTCAACCCACCCCCTCCCCCAAAAAACTAGAGGTTCTCTTGAGCATGCTGATACCTCCCTCTTCTTTCCAATAGCTCCATTTTAGCTTCGTATCTGTCGGCACTCACCACATGAGTTTGACACTAGAGGGAGTGATTATTATTTTTTAGATGTTACGTATGTAAGTCACGGCTCAAGAGGCATTCCTTCCTGTGACAAAAGAGGGGAGAATACCTCTTCTAAGAAAGCACCTGCCACTATGGATTTAGAAGTACTAACTTTCAAATTCTGCTGCCCAATTAATTGGGGGTGGGTACCTCTTAAATCGGGACGCGGGTGGCGCTGTGGGTTAAACCACAGAGCCTAGGACTTGCTGATCAGAAGGTCGGCGGTTCGAATCCTGGTGACGGGGTGAGCTCCCGTTGCTCGGTCCCTGCTCCTGCCAATCTAGCAGTTCGAAAGCACGTCAAAGTGCAAGTAGATAAATAGGTACTGCTCTGGCAGGAAGGTAAGCAGCGTTTCCGTGCACTGCTCTGGTTCGCCAGCAGCGGCTTAGTCATGCTGGCCACATGACCCAGAAGCTGTACGCCGGCTCCCTCGGCCAATAAAGCGAGATGAGTGCTGCAACCCCAGAGTCGGCCACGACTGGACCTAATGGTCAGGGGTCCCTTTACCTTTACCTCTTAAATCAATCAAAATATTTTAAAGCAACCTAGTAATACAACATCATGCATATTTGCTAGACACATGTTCCACTGCATGTAACAGGGCTTACTCCAGAGGACGTGTGCTCAGGATCACAGCCTTAATGTTGCAGCTCTAAGTCAAATCACTTGTTTTTGATTAGATGGAATTTACCAAGCACAGTTCCCATATTCAGAGCTGCTGGATTTTGTACCCCATCCCCTCCCAAACACCAAATATATGGCATGTTACCTGTTTTCTGAGTGTTTTGTGAAGCTGGAGAAGCAGAGAAATAAGGAACCTGCCCCCTGGGGCCGTGAAAGATGGAGGACACTGGAATCTGGGCTGGAGGGAGAGACTGGGCCACAACCTTCTCTGAAAGCCGTTGCCCAGCCTGGGAGGAAGGATGGCAAGACTGAAAAGGCTGGGAAGAGGTGGGAGGCACGAATGTCGGGGCGTTTTCGACAGGCCCCTGTATAAAGTCACTAAACTCGTCATCGTCAAGAAAGGCAGAGGTTTGGGAGACAGACACAGTAGAATGGGATGGCGTGGGATGATCTGCAAAATGGAATGAACACACACACATACGTACACACAAAATGGAAACCAATGAGGAAAACAAGGCTTTTTGCTAAGGATAATAAATAAATTTAGAGAGGGGGAGGGAGGGAGAGAAATGGCCATTTCTAATAAAGGCAGAGTGGGGTTGCTGGCAATGCTGACTCCATGCCAAGCGGTACTGCTCAGCTTTTCGTAAACTGCTGCGCTGAGGAACATTGCTGCATTGAGGAGGTCCTCCTGAGAGTTCCCCTGCCCTCAGACATTCAGGTGGTGGTGGTCCAGGAGAGTGTATTGTCTGTGGCAGCCCCTAGGTTGTGGAACTCCCTCCCCTTCAAAGGGCGTCTTACAACTTCACTATACAATCGTACCTTGGTTGTCGAACGGAATCCGTTCCGGAAGTCCGTTTGACTTCCAAAAACGTTCAACAACCAAGGCACGGCTTCCGATTGGCTGCAGGAGCTTCCTGCACTCAATCGGAAGCCGCGTCGGATGTTCAACTTCCAAAGAACATTCACAAACCGGAACACTCACTTCTGGGTTTGTGGCGTTCGGGAGCCAAAACGTTAGAGTCGCAAGGCGTTCAAGATCCAAGGTACGACTGTATAGGTTTTGCCGTTACGTTGAAGATGCACCTCTTTATCCTGGGATTTGCCACCTGAGACACATGTTGTTAGTACCCATCCTAATCTTGTGACTAAGTTTTAAAGCTGCTGCATTTGACCTGTGAAGGTGTATGGAATGGAGGCAGTAGTGACTGACGCTTATTGGGACTAGCAGGGTGGAAGGCAGGGAGTCCAGCAGTAGGTGGAGCCAATTAATTCTGGTTCCTTTCCCCTCTTAATAATAATAATAATAATAATCCTTCTCCCTGTTGAGTTTTATATGGGTGTTGCTATGATCCTGTCACAGTTAAGCACCCTTCAGTCCTGCTGATTTCAAAAGGAGAGGTTGAATCAGTGAGATTTATAAGTGCTTAACTCTGGTTTCAGTATGTCCTTAATGTATTAACAAATGAAGAAATGAATAAAATTATTATCAACTAGATAGATGCTAAATGGTTTTTATGACCCTTAAGCTGCATCTCATTATATCAGCCCTGCCCATGTGGCCTCCAGAGGTTTCTAGACTACATATCCTGTTGTTGTCATTAATTTATTTATACCCTGCCCTTTTTCCCTAATGGGACTCAAGATGGCTTACAGATAAAAATAAGTGCTAAAAACATAGAAAAAGCAATTACGCATTGACAAAATTTAAACTATATGCATGCGTTAAATCTATTTAAACCACACAAATCATTACAATTCAAAGAGCCCGACACCAGCCCTTTCATTAAAAGGAGTTGGCTTCCAAAAGCTTCTTGGAACAGGAAGGTGTTCACCTGCCAGTGAAAGGACAACAAGGAGAGAATCAGTCTCGCTTCGCTAGGGAGGGAGTTCCAAAGTCTGGGAGCAGCTGCCCAAAAGGCCCTCTCCCCCGCCCCCACCAAGTGTGCCTGTGAGAGTGGGAGGACCAAGTGTCATCCCTGACCATTGGCCAGGCTGGCTGGGACTGATGGGCACTGGAGTCCGGCAACACTAGGAGAGCACCAGCTCAGGGGTTTTCATTCTCCACATCTCTGATGAAAAACGTCATACCTGAGTTTTTAGGATGTGATGTCGGCGTGGGGTGCAGCTTCGCATCTCTGGAAAACCCATCCAGGTTCCCTTTAATAGCTTCCAGTGCATCGTCTCTGCTCTTCTCACCCATCTAAAAACAGAGACATTAGAGCGTAAGAAAAAGATGGCAGCTGTATCAGGCCAAAGGCCCCTCTAGCCAGTGGCCAACCAGTTGCCCCAAAGGAAAGCCTGCAAGCAGGACCCGAGTACGAGAGCACCGTCCCCTCCTGCGGTTTGCAGCAACTGGCATTCAGAAGCACCCTGCCTGACAGTGAAGACATGACCCGCGGTGAAACTCTTAACGGCATGTGAAAAATATGTTGTGAACACTTTTTCTTCCCCTAACAAAAGGCAGTTTTGCATCTCAGTGGCAACCTTTATCAAGAGGCCAACCGAAACAGTCAAACTAAAGCAGTTTTTTGTCCGGGAGAAGTTTATCATTTCATATCTTGCTTTTTGTTCAGCCTTGTACATTTCAATGCTCTGCACTGTTTCATTAAAAGGTTACATTTTCTATCAGCTGTGCTCATTTTCCCAGCTCAAGAGAAAGTATGTTAATTAATTCAAAATCTGACAGGGTGCTGCTGAAAACATCCCTTGTCAACAGACCTTTGGCTTCACGCTGCTTAAAAGCCGTAGCTTTTGTTTCTGCTCTTCAAACTGGCGCCTTTTTCTTTCCTCTTCGAAAAACTTTTGCTGGTGTTCATATCGTTTCCTGCAACGAGATTCAAGCCATGCCATTTTTTTAAAAAAAGGATTATTATTTAGGCCACATGTTTCACCACTATTTATTTTCCTGCTTTCCGCAGCTAAGTATTACATTTCTTAAACCAGAGGTAGGGAAACCTCTTCCACCTGAGGGCCACATTCCCTTCTGTGCAATCTTCTGAGGGCCATGTGCCCTTGGTGGGCAGGGCCAGAAGTAAAAGTGGGTGGAGCAACCCATGTAAATTTTACCTTTGTGTCCTAGGCTGGTTTCTATACGCACCAACATGACCCTTCCTCTTCTCTATCTAGGCAAGCAAGAGACATTGTTCAAAGACAACACCAGCCAAGTAAGCCCATTAATGGGGGGCTGCATTTGACCCCAGGCTTGCCTTAGGACAACAACACTGCCCAAGACCCAATCTTGTTCGTGGTACTCTTAATTTCCAAATTCAGATGTGATCTTCACAGCTGCCTGGCTGAAATGGGTTCTCATGATAATGCTCCTTGCTTGCTTGGTAGGAGAGGGGTGTTTGTGTGTGTTTAGAACCTTGTGGTTTCTGAAAAGTTGGAATGCAGCCTACTGTACAAAGGTCAGTCATCTCCTTTGCTCCGCCCACTTTTGCCACTGGCTCCACCCACCACTGGTATGTCAGCCCCATATGGTTGCCCAAAACGGAATGTTCTTCTTGGGCTCTAAAGGCACCCCGCCCCTAGCATAAGGCCCCTAACGACCCTTCTCATCTCCATCCCAACACTTGGGGGGGACAGCTAAGCATCACTTACTGTTGCTCTTCCACAAACTGCTTCCGCATGTCCTGGGTGTACTGAGGAGCTGCTGGGCGCATTCCTAAGAATGGAGCCTGCCCCATGTATGACATTCCAGCCGCTGGCATCGGGCCCAGATTCATGCCACCCTGGGAAGCAAATGAAACATATGGCATTCAATTATTTAATGTTAAAAATAAAAAAACCACCTTGCTAAGAGCAAGAAACATTGGGGGAAGCCAACCCAGGAATCTGGGAAAGGGATGAAGCTCAGTGAGAAAACACCTGCATGGTGTGCAGAAGGTTTCTGGTCCAATCTGCAATGGCCACGGGACCTGCTGCAACAAAACACTGCAATGGTGGAGGGTTCCTGCTTTACGGGAGTTCCAACCAGCCATGCAGACTTCCAATACAGCTCGTCCCATTCCATCCAACTCCCGTTTCAATTTTCTGTCACCACCGAGGATGCTTCGTCCTCGTTGCCCTCTAACATGCTTCCCCCAAGATTCTGTGCTCTCATTGGGGCTTGCTGTGTAAAGAGTTCCTCATCCCCTCCCCGTAACACCCAAGACACAAATAGGATGCTTGGTGGTGGCAGAGTGCCGGCACCAGCAGTTGACAAGGTGGGGCACTGACCCAAGGGCCACAGGGGCTTGAAAGGGCATCTTGCCAGCCCAACCTGGCTCCACTGCTGTTCACCAAATGCGCACGCTCTCTCTCTCTCCCCCTCCCTCTCTCTTTTAGCAGGAAGCTCATTTCTGAATAAGGGCTCAGCTCACCCATGGTGGCTGCCCTAGCAGTGTCTGAGTAGGACTATAAATCTACAGGCTGGGGCATTGCATTTGAGTAACTTCAAGATGGCAGGTGGCCACAATGGATAGCAGCCAAGCTTAGCTCCCATTCAAAAGCGCTCCCACCTGCCACAGCTTGGCACACCTGGGGGCAGGCAGTGAGCATGTGGCCCCATGCCAAAATGCCAAGGGCCCCCCAAAGTCTGACACTGGTTGTACTCAGATGATATTTGGAGAAGCCTCACAGGGTGGCTTTGGTGCAAGAGCAAGGATACTGTAGTGGTTCTAGGGGTTGCTCGTGCGTAAGCCGGTGCAAACACCTGGCTGGGTTGCCTGAGTGAACCTTTTCTGTCCGGACAGCCACTCACCCGTGGCTGTCTCAATCGCTGGCAGAATCCGTCAGTGGGCGTTTCTTAAACTTCTTCCAGCAAAGAAGCTCTTTGACGCCTAGTCTCCTCCTACTCTCTGCGCGAAAGCCTTCTGCGCAAGGAGGGCGTAGGCAGCGGAGGACCTCTACTCTCCCCGCTGGTCCCCGGCAAGGAGTCATGGGACCGCCTCGCCGCTTCCCCCATCTGCCCCCCTTCTCCACTGGTGCTACGCTGATTCTCTTCCCCAGAAGGTGGGCTGCCTCTCCCAATCCCGGGACGCTCTCTGGAATCCCTCTGGATTTTGCTCTCTCCCTCCGGCACTGATGGCAGTTCCCTGACAGATACGTATTAAAATATTTTATTTATGAGAAAGAAGCTTAGGAAGGGGAAGCCTGCCGGGCCGCTGCCTTCGGTTTCTCGCATAAATCAGCAAACTCCACTCCTCCTGATACAGATCAAAGCCCAAGAGCTTCCTGTTGACTAAGCACAAGTCTCAAACCTGCATGGTCATTGTTCCAGGAGGCATCTGAGAGCCGTAATTCATTCCAATCATGCCCTGCATGTTGGGCTGCATGACCGACACCATCGAGAAGCCTTGCTGTTGCATGGGAATCATACCTACACCAAGGCATGAAAGGTTTGGTTAGGATTCCCTGTTAGATCTAAATTTTATTAATCCACAACTACAAGCATAATTATCTGGGCCAAGGCAGGCCACCATCTGGCCCAACCATTATTTCAGTATTATTAATCAACTGATTATTTTTCTTGATTATTTAATGTCTAAATCACTTAATATATTAAAAAATATATCTAAGCAGTGTACATAAAAACTGAAAAAACAACAAATTAAACAAAATATTACAAAAATACAGCTACATATAAAAATGTTACATTAATACAAAGTGATATGAATATTAATTCATTTTCCTTCTGACACACCCTCCCTCTCAGCCTCTGGGTTCTCTCCCGGGGTCCGAACAAACTCTCAGCTCGCCCACAAAAGTCTCACAATGAGAAGAGTTCCTGGAAACAGCGGTTAGCACCCTGGGCACCCTGGTCTCTCACACTAGACTTGCTTTTTATGGGCAGACCCAGGGTGGATGGTACTTCCTCAGGCTGCCTACAGCTGTGTCCCATTCAGCTGCGCTCCCACATGCAGTTCCAGGTATAGCAGGTTTGGGTCCAGAGGGTGGGGAAGGGGGCCCCCCTCCACCCACAGCTCTTTCTTCCCCCACTGTCTCATCCTCCTCCAGCTGCTTTACTGTCCCATGGCAGGGCTTGGTTAAGGGGTTGGGGATGGGCTGCCAGATCACATACTCCTTCTGGGGATGGCTCCAGATTTAGGGGGGAGGCCCTGGACACAGTGCTTTCCAGCCGGTCCCCTTCTTCTGCCACCGGACCCAACATATGGGGGCTGTGGGTGGCTCCAGGCAATGCTAGGTTGCTGGGGCTAGCTGCCATTTTAATTTCACACATTCCCATTGAGGCAGGGTCATTCTTGGCACATTGTGGGAAAGTGGAGCGGCAGGCAGACCCAAGCCGCCCAGGGCAGGTACCAGAAGTGGGATCTGCCCCAAGTCTGCCAGGCAAGGATGCCATCCCGGGATCCCTTCCTCCAGCCCTTCCCCTCTCTGCAAGTCTTAGTCACGATTAAGAGCTACATCATTACAAGCCTTGATAATGGTTAATCTAACTGGGGATTCCATTAGGAAGAGCTCTGAAGCCAAATAATTAGAATTGACCTTGGTCAATGGCAGCACTGGCACATTCCTTAAGAACAGTTAACACCTCTGGGGAAAGCACCTGATATGTAACTCTGATTAAAGAGCTGTATCTGCACCAGTCCTGCATTGTCAGGTGTCCTGGCATCTCCCCAAGGAAGCCTTGGAGCTCTACATCTATGGAAGAGGAACCCAAAGATTTTTTTTACCCCAAGTTTCAACACCCTCATCTTGAGCATCACATTTCACATATTGGGAAGAGTCAGATCTTAAAACAACAACAACTCTGAGAGATATATTTAACACTTGCAGTTTTGAACCTCGTTCAGTTCTAGCAAAGAGTCCTCCAGATGGTATCGATTTCCCATCAGCCCTGGAAAGCTTGGGCCCAACCAATCAGGGATGATGGGAACTGGAGTCCAAGAACATCTTGGAAGGCTGCAAGTTCCCCTTCCCTGAGTAATAATATACCTTGCCTTTCCCTCCCATTAAAGTTTGAACTTTTACATACCCTGAGGACCAAGACCACCCGCAACAGGAAACATGAAGCTGAAACAGAAAGTGGTGAAAATCGTGAGTCTTCCATTTTGAGTAATAGTGCAAGCTCTAATGCAAAGCATTGCCTCAACTGTTTGGTAAATGAATTGTGGCTGGCAGCTCTCTCCTGTGTTGGAGCTGTCTGCAAACAGGGCAGTTTAGTGGAATTTCCTTTCTGTCCATCAGGACAAGTCACAATCCAGATTCAAAGCTGGGTTTCATCCTCATTTCCACATTCATATGTTCTATGAAAAGCAGTTTGTTTTACTGTTTCATTCCATAAAATGGAATTAGAGTAAAGAACTTTTAAAACAATAATAAAAGCATTTTACTCTCATTACATTTTATGGAACTGAACAGTAAAACACGCAGACACACACAGAGCATAAGCAAGCAGTATTCATCCAGGTATGAAAGAGGCATTGAGGGCAAATTCCAGCCAGGCAAAAGTGCTCTGGGCATGAAGGAGGACTACGTATGGGTGCGACCTGGGGAGAGTTCTGAGGGCCAGAGAGGCAGGCCTGCAGGGCCACAGTCAGCCCCTGAGCTTAACGTTCCTCCCGCTCCTGCTTGAAAAGCACACTAATGTAAGAAGAGTCACAACAGATCAGGTCCATTTAGCCCAGCCGTCCGGTTCCCACAATGGCCAAACCCAAAGCACCTGGATGCTCCTAAGCAGGACTTGAAAGAACGAAATCTGCCTCTTCCACTACTGCAACTCCTCAGTATTCAGAGGCTGAGGGCTACTCACAACTGATGAATAAGGAGGGGAAAAGTGGCCATTTAACACAGGCACACACCCTTTTTAATCTCCCTTTCACAAGGGACCATAACAAGCCCATTAAGTTGGGTTGAGGCATCTTCCATTCCAAGGAGTGTCTCAAGGAGATGTACCTGTGCATTTGGAGAGTCTTGTGGACGGATGTGATCCTGTTCCACTACAGGCAACTCCAGATTTGCACGGGGGTTTCATTCCGGGTCATCACATGCAACTGCGAAGCCCACATAAGCCTGCCCTACCCTGTTCCGCCCCCTTTTCCCGCCACTTCCGCGTTCGCAGTGATGCAAGCATGCACGGTCCCACGTGCTTTGAACAAACGCAACATGGTCGTTGCCTGTATACAGTTCTTTGCAGAGCCGCCTTGCGTGGGGGGAGTCAACAGGGCCGGAAGCAAGTCTTGCGATTGTGGTTTAAATTTTGAAATTGTGAAATGAATTGTTCGTTAGCAGTTTTTACTTCACAGGATCAGCTTGGAGTTCTGTAAGACATCCCAATATGTGGAGGGGAAACAACTGCCTCACAGTAAAGGCTTCCAGGGGACCAGCCCTTGCAAACCATGGTGCTCTTCAACAGGAAGGCTTCCTCTTCAAGCAGCCCCCCCCCCAGGTCTCTCTTTGTGGCCCTTGGGAACCACCCTAAGCTCTTTCTCAGCCATCCCTCTGCACCCCAGGGCCACAGCCTTCACCAGTCCTGCTTTGCACTCTCCTTGAGTGTTTTGCTTGGCTGGAAGGTGTCCTTGAACTCTGATAATGCTTCTGATAACGCTCTGATAGTGCCTGGATGCAAGACAGAACTAGCCTACTACAGTGGTACCTCGGGTTACAGACGCTTCAGGTTACATACGCTTCAGGTTACACTCCACTAACCCAGAAATATTACCTCGGGTTAAGAACTTTGCTTCAGGATGAGAACAGAAATCGTGCAGCAGCGGCGCAGCAGCAGCGGGAGGCCCCATTAGCTAAAGTGGTGCTTCAAGTTAAGAACAGACCTCCAGAACAAATTAAGTTCTTAACCCGAGGTACCACTGTATACCAAAGTAAGATTCAGATTCATTGCTCTGCTCACGTTTGCATCTGGCCCTGTCCACCCCTGGCATGCGGCCCCCAGAAGGTTGCTCAGAATGGAGCGTGGCCCTCCATCTGAAAGCGCTTTACTACCTCTGTGTTAAAGTCCCAGGACACTCTCTCCTGCCCTTAAAAACCAGCAGGTGCACACTGCTAAGAACAAAAGAATAAGGGCATTTGATGAACGCTTGCATTAATCATAAGGAACCCGCCACTGAGGTCAACATGCCCAATTTCAATCTACTGCTTGCTCAAACTGGTGCTAATTCAAACCTACATGTCACATTTAAACTCCCCTGCGGGAGTCACACATCTGCATCAGTGCTCCACACGCGTGACCCCCCCATCCTTCTGTGTCAGGATCCTACCACGAAAGAGGAGGAAGGGGGAGAAGGGGCAAAACCATGACTTGATCTGAGGGGCTCGTTGCCATTCCACACAGAAAGCAAAGAAAGGCCGAATCATTAAACATGCATGGCTTTCCAGAGAAGCAGTGACTTATTTATAAGCAGCTACAAAGGAGAAAACACACTCCTGCTAATTAGAGTCAGAGAGAAAAGAAGACACAAGACCAACATTTTCTCTGATGCTAAATCAGGAAGGGCCGTAGCTCAGTGGTGGAACATTTGCTTGGCATGCAGAAGCTTCCAGATTCAATCCCTGGCATCTCAAGGTAGGGCTGGGAGGAATCCCTGCCCGAAACCGTGGAGTGCCACTGCCAGTCAGTGTAGACAATACTGAGATAGATGGACCAATGGTCTGATTTAGCAGAGGGCAGCATCCTACGTTTGCTTATTTATAAAATATATTTATATACCGCCAATGTGCCAGGGACATTTTGCACCTGGCTTTCAATCACTTTTGACCATCTAGGGATCATTGGATCTGGACTGTTTTCACACACTAATATCCCAACCTGTAGTATTCTATCAGTTATATTTTATCTGCACCATCAGAATGAATTCTCGAATCCACACATTCAACTGGAAGAGATATACCAGTACCTCTGGTAAGAAGAAGAAATATTAACTTGAGTGGGTATAAACTCAACATTCTCTAAAGCCAACAGAACCTTTTACTTGTTCATCTACACATAACTGCCTGTCCCAGGGCAAGTTGAACTCCCAAAGGAATGTTTGTAGGCTCCAAGAATTATGCCTCTTTGAAGTTGGTGGAATTTTAAGCAGCCTAGCCAGGCACAGCACAGCACAGCAGCCATATTCTCTCTGGGAGAGTGGCTAACCGATATTGGGACTGCAATCCAAACCTTCAATCCATCAAGCTGGTTTAAAAACAAAAAATAAATAAAACTGGGAAGAGGGATGGACTGATAAAGCACTCTCATCATCTCAACTTTCCACTTGCTTTACATTAATCCCCCTCAAGTGCTGCACCAACCATACTCCGTAACAAGAAAACACTTAGCCTATACCCAACACACTTTTGTTTATCATTTAGATAAAGCCATACACTTATTTATGTAAATAAAAACAGAGAAGTATCTACCCCAAGAAGCTATCTAAAATAGGCAATGGGGAAGGTGGACAGGAATGTCATGCCTTTGTAACCTGTAGTTTAACCTCTTTTCAAGGAATATTGGTAGCAGAGGGGCTTGGGGTTTGACTTGAGCGCCAGCACAGGAGATGTAGCTGTGATTTCTGCATGGCAGGTGGTTGGACTAGATGACCCCGGGGGTCCTTCCAACTCTATGATTCTAAAATCACTCGCCCCCTTCCTCAAAGTTAGTATTTGCCCAGTAGGGAAAAAATACTGGCAGCCATAAGATACCCATATGTTTGGCTCCATGGGGCAAAAAGCAGTTTTACAACACAACTTTTAACAGGGAAATGGCTCCAGGGTCAGAAGAAAGGGTTAGATTCTCCCTTACCCAGCCTTGCAGTTATGATTGAAATTGCTCAGCCACTGCTATTAATAACTTTTAAAAACAATGGTAGCCCCTGATCGTGGCTGAGGATGCAACTTTGACATGGGAACTTCAAGTCTAACCTATCTCATACGGTTGTTGTTCAGGTGGGAGGGTGGGTGGGAAGCATACCCTGCGGGAAGAGATAAACTAATGTATAAGTAAGTGACATTACTGCACAATGGGTTCCTAAACATCCATTAAAATTACACAGGAGGGGAAAAGGATTATTAATAGAAAAAGGACTCTAGAATACCTATACCCTATCCTAAAACAAACCCAAGTTGTGTTCCTCTGCCTTGAAATTAAACATAAGTTTTTAAAAAATAAATTAAGAATTGAAATAATAAATTTCTGAAACCCAACCTTGAGCATTCCTCCCCCACTTTAAAAAAGTGGATAGTGGAATTCTGTACTTGTTATCCAAAAATGTAAACTTTTTTTAAAAAATGGACTCCTCACCCATTCTCTCTCTTTCTCAGTTTTATATAATTGATGGGGAGAGAGAACCTATTTTTCTCATCTATCTATAATTTACTAAGGGGAGGAATCTCACATTTTCTCTCTCTCTAATTCTCTCTTTCTAATTTAATAATAAATAAACTGATGAATGTTAAATGCCTAATAGACAGATATCTGCCCAATCTTTACATTCAGCCAGAAAGGCAACAATGAACACATGATGTTCACCTTTCTTCTAGAAGAAATAGGACACTCACAGGGTAAGCCTAACCATGTCTACTTAGAAGTAAGTTCTACTCAATTCTGTGGGGTTTACCCCCAGGTAAATGAGATTAGTATATCAATGTGTCTTGCAGCACCTACTGATTAATTAAATTTCCGAACCGTCCTTCATCCTAGATTATGGGACTCCTGACCTAGTATTATTAACCAGAAGCCTCAATATTTTGTTTCGTGTACCTGTGGTTGCAAGCGGGCCTCTTACCCATGTGGAGCTCAGTCAACTGGTTAGCAACCATTCACTGACTGTATGTTAAATACTGGGTGTTAAATACTTCTAATGCTGTTATGTTAAGGATCACCAACCGGATAAGGTATATAAGCCCATACAACACCTTCTTAGGTATCCATCAGAATGGCTTTACAGTATTTTAAGACGTCAAAAAATCCCCCTGCCCCAACCATTATCCATAAATATCTGAGAGAGAAAGCAGACTACGTACACACACATTTTGTGTACTGTATGCTACTGTATACTATGTGAGTGTTGCCTGTTGTAGGTTTGTGTGTTGCCTATGCTGAGTAAGACTCCACCCAATCAATCACATTTAAAGCATCTGAAAGAAAATATTTACGATAACATAGGCAAGCAGCTAACATACAGGCTGCGCATTGCCACTTCGCCTATACGTGCAAATATCTATAGCCTGTGCACTATATAGATAGATACACACACATATAAACGCACTCCTTTGGATGGAAGGGCGGGCTCTAAATTGAAGTAACCATGATGTACGTGTTAGGTATGATGTAGGTGCCTATCTTCTCCTTCCTCCTATGTATTCTCCTATATATTTAGGTTTAATTGGTGCGGGGTGCGGAATACCCCCCCCAAAGGCTTTAAAAGTCGCTCCAGGGAGCCAGAGGGATCCTTGAATAATCCGAGATGCCAAAGTCACCTGAGAAGCAGCGCGCCTCCCTTCCCGCCTCCCCTCCGGCCGCGGGATCCCCTCCTACCTGGCAGGCCCGGGGCTTCCTCCGGCGCCACCTGCTGCTCCCGGAGGCGGCCCGGCGGTGCCCGGCAGAGGAGCAGCGGCGGCGGCGGCCGAGGAGGTGCTGAGGGAACCGCCGCCGCCGGCTCCCTGGCCCGGCCGCAGCGCCATCTTGCTGCCCGGCGACTGAGGCAGGAGCCCGAAGCAGGGCCTCCCTCTCGGGCTCCTGTCAGCTGGGCCGCCGCCGCCGCCGCCACTTCCGGGGCAGAGCCTCCTCGCCTCGCCCCCGCCAGGCCCGGCCCACCGACTGGGCAGCGCCCGCCTTGAGGGGCGGGAAGGAGCGGGGTCTGGCCGCCCTCTTTTCTTCCCCCACAAAGTGGGGAAGTGAGGGGTCTTGTGAGGCGTAGGCAGTCACCCTATAGGCAGGTGCCTGGGTGCCCTCCAGGTGTGGGGAAGCTACTATTCACCCATCCCCACCGGCTGTGCCTTAACAATAATTTGATTTATTACTAGTCTTTTCATTATTATTACCTGTCTTGGGCATAGGGGTCTTGTGAGGCATAGGGAGAGTCACCCTATAGGCGGGGGGGGGGTCGCTGTAGGTGCCCTCCAGGTGTGGGGCAGGATGGAGGTTATTATTCATCCTAGAGGTCTCTTCATCTCCACCCACTCTGCTTTACCAATAATTAGATTTATTACTAGTCTTTTCATCATCATCATTATTACCTGATTCCATTTGCCTAAGCTGCCCTGAGTCCCCCCTCCCCCCCGGGGGGGGAAAGGAGGGGTATAAATAAATATACTTTTTAACCACCTTCTCTGCAGTCTCCTCAAGGCGCACACACTAGAGATAAGTTTTAACACATGCCAAAAAAAGCACTGACGATACATTGAAGAGTAAAACAAACTACAGTCAGTACCTGTAGGATCTCGATTTATATGCATATGTCAGTCAATACTCAGCACTATCTTCAGAAAGATGTATGCATGTGTTTTTTCTAGCTGTAGACCTAAAGCTCTTTGTAATCTATATAAAGATTAGAGATCTAACAACTATAAAGATTTAACGAGATGGGTGTATAGTTCTCAAATTCCTATGTGTATTAATCTCTATTAAATATACAAACAATTTTGACAGCTCATATACAGATCTAAATGAGCAAGTATCTATAGATAACGCAGGTGTAGATTTCTCAATATATTGCATGTTTTTCCCCCTGAGGTGTATGTAACGAGGCCTTAAATTAGATCCATTCAGATCAACAGACATGACCAACATTTTATGTGGACTATTGTATGACTTAGGTGGATAAAACCCCATTATTAAATTCATAAAAGAAATAGATGTTGAATTTTTAATAATAGGTGTGTGCCTGCAGAGGTGTTTCTCATTTTGCTACCCATCTCTGAGCCTTTGGAAGGATATTGGTAAAATATATATTTCTAGAATGGAGAAGGAAAGCATTCTTAGCAGTGTAGGGCAGGCCAAAAAGGTTCCACACCTCTGCTCTATAGAGACATCTCTCTCTCTCATTATGGTGTATCTTTCCCTTTGAAGAGCTTAACCCAAAAAAATTGCAACAAAAAAAGAAGACATATACATATTTAGGAACATAAGACACAAGGCATAACAAAACCATTTGGAGGCAGTTTATTGCGAAGACTTACAGATTTTATGGCCGGTGAACCTGTGTAAAGCATGTAAATTAGTGCAAGAGGAACACTCTTGGGTATTTCCATCTACAGGTCTTGTACTGTGGATTTAAAATTCACTTTCCCGTGTGTTATAAATTTGCAGCATCAAGCTTGCAACGACTGTCTTACACCTTATAGCAGTTACAGAACCTAATACTGTATAGCAAGCAGGAATGGGGAACCTGTGGTCTTCTGGATGCTGTTGGGAGTACATAGGAGTTGGAAACCCAACATCTGGAGGGATCCACAGGCTCCCTAGCCCTGCTTTATTTGCTAGACTGGGGTACAAGAGAAAGCAATCTGAAGGCATAAGTGGCAGGGCACCCCTTTGGCACTCCTGCCTTCCTTTACTGACATGGGAAGTCCCCCTCAGCACTCAGGGATGCAAGAACGTTTATCATCAGTGAAGGAAGATGAGCCATTTCTGCCATTGCGCTGTCCTCCTTGAAGCCTGGCAAAAAAATGTCACAGCACAGGATGGCCTGACCCCCTCCCCCCAAACAACGGCAGGAAAGGGCTTGCTTAGAAAATCTGCCAAAAAACATAACAGAGAGAGGCAAAATGCACCCCAATATAAAAAAACCTCTTTGTTCCATCAGTGGTCCGTGTAGCCTCCCAGATTCCTGCAAATAACATAGCATCCCTGCTTATTTTGAGCAATGCTTCAAAGCGCTGCATCAGTTTTCTGGAACAGTCTGTGCCTGAGATTTCTCAGTTTTGGCTTCCTTGGAATCTTTCTTCACTCCTTTCTGAGCAATTCTCCTAAAAGGGAAAAAAGTACCTTCATGTAACCAATTTAATAACAATCATCAGGCTCTTATAGCAGTCTACTAGCTGTCAACAAAGCAGATTGTGTAGAGTGGGGCCTACAGTTGTAGAGTGCGCTCTGCGCATGAAGATCCCAGGTTCAAATCCAGCTAAAAAGTGGCCTTGGGTTTTGCCAGGTAGAACGGGCAATGCTAGGCTAGATAGACTGATGGTTGTGTTCAGTCTAAGGTAATTTCTTATGTTCAATATTTCACTTCTGGCAGAGTTTAATACAGAGCAGGTGCTTATGTAACGCATATAAATATGAGCTACAGAGAACTGAAGCACTGTGCCTAGCTGCTAATAAACAAAAAAGCTGGCATGAGAAAACCTATTTAAAGGGTTTTGGGTTTTTTAAAAGCTAAGTAGAAAGGTGTGAATGTTAAAAGCAGTCAGACTTGAGGATTTACCATATTTTCCGCCCTATACAGTGGTACCTCGCAAGACGAATGCCTAGCAAGACAAAAAACTCGCTAGACGAAAGGGTTTTTTGTTTTTTGAGCTGCTTCGCAAGACGATTTCCCCTATGGGCTTGCTTCACAAGACGGAAACGTCTTGCAAGTTTGTTTCCTTTTTCTTAACACCGTTAATACAGTTGCGACTTGACTTTGAGGAGCAACTCATAGAACGCGGTGTGGTAGCCTTTTTTGAGGTTTTAAAGACTTTGGTGATTTTTGAAGCTTTTCCAAAACTTTCCCGACACCGTGCTTCGCAAGACGAAAAAAATTGCAAGACGACAAAACTCGCGGAACGAATTAATTTCGTCTTGCGAGGCACCACTGTAGGGAGCACCGGCCCATAGGGCGCACCTAGTTTTCAGGGGGGGAAATCAAGGAAAAAAATTCCCCCCACCCCTGCAGCTCTGGGAGCAGCGGACAGGTTGCACAACCTGTGCGCTACTCCAAGACCTTCTCCCTGCTTTTGCGGGGGGTGGCGGAATTCCGCGCGCAACTCCTGCGGGCTTTTCGACCAGGAGGGAGAAGGGACTGAAATGGCCAGTCAGTCCCTTCTCCCTCCTTGGGGAAAAGCCCCCAAGAGCGGCGCGCTCTTTAAGGGAATTCCCCCACCTCGTAGAAAAGCCCGCAGAAGCCGCGCAGCCTTTAAAGAGTGCGCGGCTTTTGCCTGCTTTTGCGGGAGATGGGGGGATTCCCCCATCTCCCGCCAAAGCCCACAGGATGGAGAAGGGACTGACTCGGCCAGTCAGTCCTTTCTCCCTCCTTGGGGAAAAGCCCCCAAGAGTGGCGCGCTCTTTAAAGGCAGCACGGCTCCTGCAGGCTTTTCGACCCGCTTGTGAGGCTGGCGGTGGGGGGAAGCGCTGCTTTCCCCCACCGCCAGCCTCAAAGAGCAGACTCTCCTGGCTTCAGTGAAAGCAACGCGAAGCCTCCGGAGCGCAGGCTTCGGAGGCTTCGTGTTGCTATCGCTGAAGCCAAGGAGCCTGCATTTGCCCCATAGGACGCATGTACATTTCCCCTTCATTTTTGGAGGGGAAACAGTGTGTCCTATATGGCGAAAAATACGGTATGTGAAAAGCACTAACTTGAATGAAGGGTTCACATGCCAAGAAAAGGGCACTTTCTGGGCTCCATTTGGTTCCTGTGTTGGCCAAATGTTCAGAGGGCAGAACTGTGTGGATGAGATTTGGTAGAACTGGCAGATGCTCTCCAGGCTTTCAGACAAGGGGACATTCCCAGTCCTACCTGGAGATGCCAGTGATTGAACCTGGCACCTTCTGCATGCAAAGCAGATGCTCTACCACTGAGCTACATAGGAATGTATGAAGCTGCCTTCCAGAATTGTCTACTCTGGCTGGCAGTGGCCCTCCAGAGTCTCAGGATGGAATGTCTTTCTGTCTCCTGCAACCTGATCCTGTTAACTGGAGATGCTGCTGAAATATGGTTCCTCCCCAAGATGGTTCTACCTTCTCTCCCACTGAAGCTCAGATCCGAAGACACATCCTCCTCTCTCTGTTTTCTTCCCAATTCTACATTCCACTGAATGTTACTGAAACACCCTTCTTATGCAACAACAACAAATGTTGGTAACTGCTCTTGGTCACTGATGTGCAGCTTGCAAGAATCAGCTTTACAAAGTCTCTTTCTCCCTGGTAGAGGGAAAAAGAACAGCAGGAGACTGTGTGGGAGCCAGATCTTGGAAGTGCTGTTTTTAAGCCTGAATCCCTTTTGAACACCAGAAGGCCATGTTCTCTCCAGCTAACTTAGGAGCAGAATCAAATTTCAGGGTAAAAAACTCACACCACCATCTCCAATCCAGTCAACGTAAGATCACATTGAGTAAAGGACAGGTGGACAGTACATAAGAGAGACATGGGTTAAGATGTTTGAGAGACTCTTGGCTTGTGCATTAACCCTGAAATTAAGCCATAATCAACAGCAGTTTGAGTATACGTGAGCATCCTCACTGTCAGAACGGAGCCCAGATGCCTCCCCACCTCCAAGAAATCTGAAGGGCTCTCCTCTCAAGGTCAAACACAGATCCCCTCTCTATGAGCAGCTGGATGGCTGCCATTCATTGAGATGCCCGGCAGGTTGGTGGCTTCAAGCCAGTTGTGCACAGATGTTAAGGAGAAAATATCCTGAGCTGAACTAGGAGGATAAAACAGCCCATCCATGCTCTGCTCATTCATTAAAAAATCCATAGGGACAAATCACTGTTGAAATTCTGTCCCTTGATTGCAAACTCTTCAACACAGAAATGTTGTATTACTTTGACAGGCATGTAGCAGTGGCTGATAGCAGTGGTAGTTCTAAACACTTGGAGGGCACCAGGTTGGGGAGCGGTTGTGTGGGGAATACTGAAGTAGATGGGTCCCACTAGGTATTAAGGCCCCATGTACACAATGCATTTAAAACATTAGGATAACACTTTCAACAGTCATGGCTTCCCCCAAAGAATCCTGGGAACTGTAGTTTGTTAAGGGTGCTAGAACTTCCTTCATATACCCAATAAATAAGCTACAATTCTCAGAGTGGTTTAACCACTAATCTCTCTTCCCAGGGAACTTTGGGCATTGTAGCTCTGAGGGGAACAGATGCTCAAATGGTCTGCTTCTACTTCGTTTACCTGGATAAATAGAACTGGTAATAACATTTCTCACACTCTTTTCCTCTGTCCTGCAGAACTGGTTAAGTGAAATTACACCTCTCCCCGCTCCCTTCAAAAAGCTTTTAACAAATAAAATTCAGCTTACTTTTTTCTCTTGGCTTTCCGGCGTAAGAACTGGGGAGATGTAAGAATGTGTTCCCTTTCCAAAGGCTTCTTAATCAGCTTTTTCTTTTGCTTGCTGCAAATGACATTGGGGCAAGGGGAGAGGGGGAAAGTAAAGGCGTTCAAGCAGCTGAAGGTGGTTCACACAGAGCACAGGCAGGCAGCTTAAGGTCCTTGCCACCCTTCTGTATTGCCCCTGCCTGGAGGGCTCAAAGCCACTCCCGCTGCCTAATTCTCAACCACTACCAAACGCTTCTACCTTCCCTCATTCCACTCTGACCATCACACTCATGCTCCCCTCCGCCCACCAAACTGCTCAACCTCCTACTGCATTTCCTCCTGATGTGTGTGTGTGAGAGAGAACAAGTGAGAGAATAAGCATGTCACCTCAGGCCAAAGGCTTCACTATGCATGCAGTTCACAGCCAAGAGCCAAAGTACCATGTCCCTGGACCAGCCGTCCAAGATCACTAGGACCAGAGCAGCCACAACTGACCAGAGCCCAACAGGTGTGGTTTTCAAGCAAAAAATAAATAAATGAGGGGGCAGGGTGTGGACTGGAAGAGAGGGGAAACAGAACTACTCCTGGCACTCTTCCACCATCGTTCTCCTATTTGGCTCGATCAAAATGCTCACTTACCTTTGAAGCTTGCGAAAATGTTTTATGTAGTCTGGCACAGGACAGCCAGCTCGCTGAATGACACTGGCAATACTGTAAGGAAAGAAAATGAGGGATGGCAGGGGTGCAGGGAGAGAGGAGAGAGTCAATAATTCGCTGCCAACTTCAGAAAGTTTCAGTCAGAGGAGCAAGAGCACCACTGTACAAAAACTTGATCTGGCAAAAGTTGATATTTGCAAAAGGTTACTGGGCCTCCAAATATCCCCAGTGTCAGCCCCCCACTATGTAAATACATCAACTATAAGGGAAGGGTCAGGGCTCAGTGGCTTTCATACAGAGGGTCCCAGGTTCAATCCTGGCATCTCCAAGAAGGGCTGGGAAAGACCTCTTGTCTGAAACTGGAGCCCCTGCCAATCAGTGTAGATACTATTAAGCTAGGCAGAGCAATGGTTTGAATCAGTAAGAGGCAGCTTCCTAAGTCCCTCTTGGGTTCAAAGGCACAGGAAAAGGGCACTTGACCACCCCCACTGTTCAAAGATGAAAAGAGGCTTTGGCAGAGGGGGGGCCCTGCCATTTATTATGAGTTTTGCTACAAGATTATCCTCTTTCCAAGTCAAGAGTAGGAGGGGAGAGCTGCTAAAGAGCTTCACCCAAAGCAACTGTAACTGCTCACAATGGGGGAAGAGCCCTTCACCAGGGAAGGAGCAGGCAGAACCAGTCAATGCCACAGGCTCTTCAGCCCTTACTATTAAAAAAGCAAAAGAAAACGAGTTGCCAAACAGGGACCAAAATTGCAACGGAAACAAGCAAGTGGCAAAAAGTCACAGCAGCAGTAGCAGTGAGCAAGGGAGGTACCTTCGCAATAACGGCTTGTCGTCTTCAGTGAAGAAGGTGATTGCTTTTCCAGTGTGCCCTGCTCTTCCTGTGCGGCCTGTGGAGGAGGAGGAAAGGAACATATAAGCAAATCTACCTTTTGAGCACATGCCAGCATAGAATAAACATTATAAAGGGGGTTCAACTCCCAGCAGCTCCAGCCAACATGACTGAGAACCCTTTAGGTGTCACTCAGGGGCCCAAGATTCAGCAAGCATTGCCTGCACACTTTCAAGAGTATCGCTCCAGCTGAGAAAACAACAAACTTACCCTTCTCATATCTAGCTAGCTATCTATCTATCTAGCTAGCTATCTGTCTGTCTATCTATCTGTGTGTTTTTAACTGCAAGACACCAAAGACTGATTGTCCGGACCCCACCTGTGCAAGGTATGGCTTGTGCTATTGTTCTCCCCATAAGGTGAGCCCTGTGGGATCAGGCCAAAGGCCCATCTGCTCCAACACCTGATCTCACAGTGGCCAACCAGATGCCTCTTCTGGGAAGCCCACAAGGAGGACCTCCCAACCTTTAGCGGGAGTAGACAGAAGTCTGAAATAACCAAGAGCCGTGTGATGGAAATGCGCAGCCCACACTCACCGATCCGGTGGATGTATTCCACAGCGCTACTCGGGAAGTCGAAATTAATAACCATGTTCACTCCTTTGAAGTCGATGCCTCTTGCCAACAGAGCAGTACAGATAAGGACCCAAATCTTCCCCGCTCTGAAACTGTGGACGACACTATCTCTCTAGGGGAAACAGAAACGTGTATCAGTGGTTTTCCCTGCCTCCAGCTTCACAAAAGCCACAATTACACTGCGGCTTCTATAACTCCAAGCTGGCAACACAGAATTGCTCAAGCTGCATCAGTTCCTGGGTGCGGGTTCCTTCCCTGACACCTGCTTCTAAACATGTCAAGGAAAACGGAGGAACAATCTAGCGGCTCAGACTTGCCTTCCGCGTTCAGCAGCGTTTCTCCTACCTGCTGTTGGGTCCTGTCTGCGTGAATGACGTCCACGTTGATGCCTTCATAAATGAGCTCATGGAAAAGCTCTTTTGCCCGTTCAATGGACTGGACAAATACCAAGACAGGTGGTGTGAAGCCCTGCAAAGAGAAAGAGGGAAGGAGGGGGGGAAAGAAAGCTTGGTGGCTGATCACGTGCGAAAAGGGCCTGGTAGCATTTTTGAGATAGTCAGCCATGATCAGCCTTCCCCACCCTGGCGGCTGCCAGCTGTTTCGGGCAACGGCTCCAATTGGCCTCTGCCAGCACAAGCTTCACAAAGATACCCAGCAAAAATGGCCTAAGTATTTCTGTGCCAGGGAGTTTGTAATCAAAGCACAGAATGTAAACAGTGATTCAACCCCGGGGATCTTAGGCATATGAGCAGTGCACAGGTGGGCTGCTTCATTCTCTTTCTCCCTGCATACCTGTGCTGGCGAGGGATGATGGGATTTGTAGTCTGAAACATCTGGAGGGCCAAAAGTTGGGGGAAATCTGATCACAAAAGTCAGGAGACCCAAGCCCAGGGGTAGCAGGCACCAAACAACTCATGCCACGAAGCCCTATCTATGTTTAATTGGAAGCCCCACTTGTTCCAATGGATTGCATTGGGTGTTAGTCAAACTGGGAAGTGCAGCTTGTTAAGAGCGCTGAGAGCTGTTGGGAGAACACTATTCCGTTTGGACAGCTGCAATCCCTAGTTTTCTAGGAAGGAGGACTGGCCGCCAAACTACTCTGGGAAACAACCTTTTTCACAAGGCCCCTCATCGCTAGCAGTTTCCCCGTCTCCGATCCAACGAACAAGAGCTCCTGATCCACTGTCTCAGCCGCAGCATTCCTGAAATCAAAGAACAGGTAGGCATTGTCAAGGCTTGAAGATGGACTGGGATTAAAGTTATTTCAAAAGGAAATGTCAGAGTGAGAAAACTACCAACAGAATGGGTGTTAACCAGAGGTGGGGCTGAGGGCCATATGGTGGGCAGGGCCAGAAAACAACTTTTCCTCCAGAAGGCTAGTTTTCACACGCACACTTGCAAACCCTTCTCTGTCCTCTATCCAGGCAAGCAAAAGGTACTATCAGTTCAACGACACATTCCCAGCCAGGCAAAATCACTGAAGGATGGTGCAAAGCAGGGCTGGTAAGGGGTGTGGCCTAAGGAGAGCTCTGAGGGCTAGACAGAGACCTGGAGGGCCACATTTGATGCTTAGGCCCCAAGTTCCCCACCAGCCCGCTGCAAGCTTTTTGCAGATGAGAAAGCTTCGGAAACACAGAACACTTTATACTAGCTTGCAGCCAAGGCCCCCAGATTGATGGGGCTCACTGGACAGTTCTTTCCTTTCCTTAAAGCTGTCACAGGATGAGGGAAACCTCAGCACGGGTGACTTATTTAGAGCAGTTCTGCTCCATCCACGCAGCCCCAAGAAAGAAAGAAAGCACTCTTCACACTTCCTCCTCTCTCACCCACCCAGTCCTGTGTAAAGAACAGCACTGGACTTTTTGCAACCTGGGGGGTTTGCAGTATGAGCTGAGAGACAGCTTTAAGTACTCCTTCCTAATTCCACAGTTAATGCACAGTACTCCTTAACACACTTTCCGGCCAACCCTAAAACTTGGCAAGGCAACACCAAAAAGTCAGAGGTCCCTAAAGTTTCCACTATGTGCTGAAGAGGCAAGCAGACTCTTCAGGATAAACCGCTTGCCTCTTCAGCATCACAAGAGACTGTAAAAAGTACGCAATGACAGTGAATGGAACCAAATGGAATGAATCAGGTCCCAGAAGGGGAAGACAGCAGCCAAAGGGACTTTTCAAGTGTCCTCTTCCTTCATGACAGCTTTAAGGCAAAAATACTCAAATGCTCCACAAAGCTCAAGGAAGTGTGACAAAAATCAACCAGCTTCTCTAGCTAGAAACAGGAATGTGAGAACATTGAGAGAGAAAGGGGCAACGCTCAATCTTCCACACTTGCCTTGCTCCAATAGAGACAGACACTATGTTGTCTAGGTTGAGTTTGCACCACTGCTCTACGTCGTGGGCGAAGGTTGCACTGAACATGGCTCTCTTGACAATGTGGGAGGTGCACGCCAGGAAGATGGTGGCAAGCTGGTCTCGGAAGCCCGTCTTCCCATCTTCAAATAACTTGTCCGACTCGTCCACCACCAGCCACTCAACCCTACGGCAAAGCAGAAGGCGGACATTTGCAGTTTAGAGGGGAGAAAGATGAACAAGTCTTACACAGCCAGTAGGATCAGACACAGGGCACACCCTTTCCCAGATGGCCTTGCTAAGAATGAATCCTTGAAGTGGTTTCACCCCTGGCTAGTATTAAAGTGAGGTATATAAACTTACATTTACAGTCCACTTTTTCTCCAAGGAGCTCAGGGTGGTGCCAGAGGCTGGACTCAGAAATTTTAGTGCATGTGTCAAACATGCTGGTAGACTGAAGGAACTTATTTTAAATGAGAGCTCTGTTTTTTTACCTGGTCAAATCTATTGCTGGAGGGTCTTGTTTCAGAAGATAGACAAGTCTGTTCGGAGTAGTCACCAGAATATCTGCGGGGGGGCAGGGACGGGATGGGGGACATACACACAATTAGCCAGGCAGGGCAATGGAAGAGGGAGTGGATTGGAATCTGTGAACTCCAGTTTCTGTCCAAGTTACCAAATTTCTGAGATGACTTTGGCCCAAACTTTTTCACAGCCTCAGCAGCTTTATGGATCATGTGTATTCTGAAGCCGATACCTTCTGACAGCTTAAGCAGCTCTCGGTGTGTCTAAAATACAAAGGAATAATCATTTATTTTTAAAAATGAACATAAATGCCATTTTTTAAAAAAAGAAGCCAAGTATCTACACATTCAGAGTTATGTTCAAGGGCAGAATAATAACAATAAACAGCAAAGACAGACTGAAGGGCCCATATTTCAGCACAGATCCAAGGTTCAATCCAGCTTCTCCAACTCAAAAAACAAGATCACGTAGCAGATGATGGGAAAGACTTCTGCTAGAGACCCAGAATGGGCTGATGGCAATCAGAGTAGATAATGCTGGGCTAGATGGACAAATATACTGGAAGTCAGAACTACCACTGGTATCAGATGCAACTTTACAAATTTATGCTTGAGCGTGCTTTTTCCTCCTCCCTGCTATTCCTTTTTTCCTTGGATGACGTGTCTTTTAAAATTGTGAGCCTGAGTTTTTGAAAGTTGCTCTGAGAGCCCTTTCTTTGTCTAAACAGTGGCGTATAAATGTGTAATGTAAATAAGGAAAAGGCACTCCCCAACCCCAAGCAAAGTGAGTAGTCAGGGGCTAGAAAATAGGTATATGACCATTTAAAGCAACTCACTGTTCTCACCTATTAGTCAACACCTTACTTCCTGCCCACTTTTCCTTTGGGAAAGTTTACATGACAAGTGTACCACATGGGTGAAGCACTTCGCTGTTTAGCTTTCACAACCTGACAGCAAGCATTAAATGCACCTTCAAATCCAATTTAGGGCAAAAATACAATACAATATAATATAATAACATCGTCATACCTGATTGGCAAGCTCCCGTGTAGGGGATATTATCAGTGCTCTGAAACCTTTATTCATAGGTTGTTTCAGGTGTGCTAAAACAGGAACGCCGAAAGCCAATGTTTTCCCTGAGCCAGTGGGGGCACAGGCCAGAAGTTCACGACCCTGGTGGGGTGGAGGAGAAAAGGGAATGAGCCAAGGCTGGGTTAGGCAGCTGGTACAGCGCTGAAAGCCACAATGGGTGAAAAATGCACCACAGAAATGTTCAGTTCTCCCTGTCATTCATTGATAGTATAGAATATGCCCAAAAAGGACTTTGGGTAATAATTCAATCTGAGTTCATAACACGCCTGCAAAATAGGCGCTGTCCCCCCACCATTTTGCTGGTGGAGAAGTTAAACAAGGATAACTTAAGGAACGTCACAGACTACATCACCGTTTCACCTCAAAGTGAAAGATTAAACCAGGACGCACATGGAGCATGACAGGAATAGCCTGCATCTGAATTGGTGTGGGAGTCTGGAACCCTGCAGCTTCAATGTTCTGCATGATCTTCTGGTGGACGTTGTATTCCTTTGCAAGTTGCTCAAACGTAGCAATAGGTTCCGGAAGATCTGTTCCCTGAATGTAGATCTTGTGCTTATTTCTGAAGTGATTTACCTAGAAAATTCCAAGATGTACATGCTACATTAAAGTGGAAGTCATTATTTTTAAAATTTAAAAAGAAACCCCACATCTACATATTGCTTTGGTTGCCAGTCTTAATACTGCACTAAAGCACACAATTTTTGACATGTAAACTTTCAGCTTGGGGGGGGGGGGACCTAAACATGTCCTGCAATTATAAAATGCCAGTAACTAGTACAACTTTTGAAAATGCAAGCTTATTACTGCAGCAATCTTAGGGTTCCTGGGGATGCAGACTTGAAGTTCACTTGGCAAAACTTTTTTGAACCCTTTTAGAAATGTGACATCTCACCTGGTAGAAATCAATCCCTGCTTCTCATATGTTCTGAGATGAAATGATAGCCAGGATCCCTTGATCATGCTCTTAACTCGTGCTAACCTTCAAATTCAACCCTCAATCATTTAAGATGGAGATTAAAGCACATGCCATTTTTTTAGCAGACTTTATTTTTAATTAATTGGTTTCATTCACACACCACCTATCCCCTCCAAGGAACTCAAGGTGGTACACCCTGTTTTCCTCCCTGTTTCATTCTCACAACAACCCTGTGAGGTAGGTTAGACTGACAGAAAGAAGGCAACTGGACCAAGGTCACCCCAGAGCGTTTCATGGCTATCACTTGCTACTACTTCCAAACTGCTTGCAGGTAGCACACTAAAGAGAACCAACTCACCTTTTCTTGTCTAGCTTGTTCCAGTTTTGCTGCAGGGGGCTCCTTCTCCCCCTTGCTCCTTGGAGCGCTGAGCTTTGCTTCCAAAGTGGACATCCACAATATCCCCTCATTTTCAGTACCAAGATTTATGGGGGCTGCCTCTGAAAGTTTCAAGAACATCCATGTATATAAACCAGAACGAAAAGATGAAAACTAAATTGCTGTGTAATCACCACTTCAGACAGAGATGGGAAACTTTTTTTTGGCCCAGTGGGCCCGATCTTTTATCCACACCCACCCCTACAGGCCAACTTTGACAGGTAGTGATGATGTTGCCATTTGCCATTGTCATTTATAAGCCGCATTTTACCCAAATAAATCTGCGTTCAAAGTGGTTCACAGAAAAATCAAAATGTAAATAATAATAATTAGGTGAATGGAAGGTGGGTGTTCCCTCCCACCTGTCAAAGTTGACCCATGGGGGGGGGGCAGTTTGGCAAAGCAGCATCAAGAAAGATTGAACCCTGCCCACTCCTGCCCTATCGGCTGATTGACAGGCAGGTTTGGTTTCGGGGAAGTGGCCTTTTTACCCAAAGTGGCTGGGGCAACGCAGTCAGATGAGTGGGGTACAAATAAAAAAATTATTAGTAGTAGTATTACTGCTAGTGCAACACAAGTCAGCAACCACACAGACTCCTCCAAGCTACCTATTACAATAAAAGCACAACTCAGTACAGGTAAGCCCTGTGTACATCACAGGTAGAAGTAAAACAGGAGATCAGGATCCAAGAAAAATATACAATCAGCTTCTGAACCCAGCAAGAAAACATTATAAGCCACCAGAAGACCAGCGTTGTTCATTATACCTATGTTCTGTTGTGCTGTTTTTTAAGAAAATGTCCCTAAAATTGCTTGGAGTATATATGTGGAAGGCAATTCAGAGTTTAATCATACTAAAGTGTTACTCTGCTGCCACAACTGTGTACAAATGAGTTTGTATCACTTGACAACTGCCCATGCTTCCTGGATGCCTCATTGATTTAACAAGAATAAAAAAGAATGTATTATTTTTAGAAAGAACTGCCCACTCATTTACCTTGAGCCTTTTTCTTTTTGCCCCTCCCTTCCATGCTTTGCCCATCTCCTTTTCTCTTCTCTGCAGCCCTTGCCTTGCCCACCAATCTGGGTTCATTTCCTTTATTTTCAGGTTGTAATTCCAATGCTTCAGCTTGGGGTTCAAGAAGACAATTTCCTCCTCCACCATCATCGGAAGGATTGGGTGGTTTTTTGCTTTGGTTAGCAAAGAAGTCAAGCTCTCCCAGAATCTCCGATGCTCCAGCTTCTTTATCCTTAGTTCTGATCACCTGAAATCAAACAGATCCACAACATCCCTGTGGTTTAGAGTTCTTGTTTCCCCAGGAAGAACCAGGTACCAAGAACCCTGCCTGGTCACAAAAGCCAGCCAGGGCTCAAAAAACTTCATTTGCCATGCAGAGGACTTTTGAATGCAGAACACATCATTTCACCCTGCCGTAAAATAAATGGTGCTTCACCCCTGCTCCGTTACGCCACTGCTTTGCAAGAATAAGATGTGCAGCGTGATAAAAAAATACTTCCAAAGGCATAGCTGTGTGCGTCTCTTGGAATAAAAACAATCAAAGCGCTTGGTGGCATCTTAAAGACCACTGTGGAGTAAGACAAGATGGGGCAACTCAAGCCCACAGACCAAAAATGCCCCTTTGTGCCTCTCTATCTGACCTACAGAAGACTCCCCAGGCCCCACCCTTCATGAGCTCTACTTTACTGTCTCCTTAAGTGTTTTTGGCTGGCCAGAGACGTGCCCCTGAATTGTGAAAATGGCAGTTGCTTGAGGGTGGGGGGAGAGGTGTTCAGGCTTGTGTAGAAACTGGTTTAGCCAATACTTTTTTCTGGGGGGACGCAGGGGTATGCATATCCCTAAACATTTTGTGAATCTTTGCACTTTTGTCCATTTACTGTATTTATTTTCCCCGATTTGATCTATAAAATGGTGATTTTCTTGAGTCAAAATAAGAGTACCCCTAAACATTTTTTAAAGAAAAAAACACTGGGTTTAACCATATACTTGGTTGCATTTTACTTCCATTTACCCCACCCATTTTTTTCTTCTGGCCCTGCCCACTACTGTCATGTGGCCCCCAGAAGGTTGACAAGAAGCAAAATGCATGGGAAGCAAGTTCCCCACTCCTGGCAAAAGCTCTCAGCCCACTTTTGTCAGGGGCATGAAAATTAAACTGTCCGTAAATGAGAACGAGAGAATAAGACTAAAATAAAATAATAATAATAATAATAATAATAACAACGGAACCAAAGGCTCCTGGGGGTGAACGGAGCGTGGAACTAGGCCCAACCACGAAAGTGAAGCCAGGGATGGGGCTTCCAGGCAGGGGGAGGACTGCTGTCTTTTTGCCCCCCCCCCTTACCTTGAATCGCTCCGCGTCTCTCCTGAAGCGCTTCACGTCGAACTTGGCGCCGGCTCCGAGCTTTCGGAAGAGCTCGTGCGAATCCATGCTTCCCGTCAGGCACCGCGCGGCCCGGAAGGAAGTGCCCGCGTTGCTCGGCAACGGGGGACTCGAAGACCGGGCGGGAGGGGGCGAACCCGGAAGAAGAAACGGAAGTAAGGCGGAGCGGTTCCGGTCGTAGAACCATAGAGAGAGGGTAAAGAAGGTAGAGAGTCGCTTTTCTCTTTAAAGTTATAGAGATACGGGAGGAGAAGGTGAGCTACGGCTAGCCCTACGTTCCGGTTTCCATATGACGCCCTCACTTTGACTATATAAGCTCCTTTTGTGGTTTGGCATCTATCTGTACGCCTCGGGAGACGACGGAAGAGTGCGCCTTCCGGGGGTTAAGTCAAACCGCTGGCAAGTTACAGCACCTGTTTTGGCTTCAGAGACAAAGCTCCAGTAAAGTCAATAGAACTTTCTTCTGAGTGGGGTTTTATAGGCTTCTACAGAATAGACTTAACTTCCAGGTAAGTAGCCACTGGACTGCAGTCTTCAGATATCATCAAAATATTTGAACAAATTTTTTTAAGCAATAAAATTACGTTTCTAATAATATAAAAAAAATTAGAGGAGCCGCTCTACCCCAAAATATCTATGATATACAGTGTTACAGTTCTTTGCGTGGGTTCCCGGAAGTGTATTCATAGGTCCATGGTGACTTTATCTCTTTGGCGTCAGGCTGAGCCTCAGAGAAGAACGCCGCCTCGCGCGAGGCAGTCTTGGCTGCTCTTCCAGTGGCCACCGCTTGAGGGCACCCGAGGCACGCAGTGAGGACGAGCGCCTTCAGCTGCTTCGCACAACTGGCTGCCTCTGCTCAGAAGTGCTTTTGAGTTCAGTGGGGCTGATGCCCAGCTAAGTGTGGCTTTTGAAACCGGGGGGGGGGGGGAGAGATTTATTGTTTGTGCTTGTTATTATGGTGTGCACTTTTGTGTTTTTATATTGCAAACGGCCCTGTGATCCTTGGATGAAGGGTGGAAGAGAATTTTTAATAGTCATCTAAGTGGGGTTGGGTGTGCAGCCTTACTTATCCATATTAATGAGCCGGGATTCGTTTATAAAATACTTCACTTTTCCAGGTTCACCATCAATATCATTATCTACATATATGTTAGTTGCTTTTTGCACAAAAAAGATCTCCAAGGAGCTTTCAACTTATTTAAGAGCGTAGGTAAAAATACATATTATTATGAAAGCGCATGAACACAAAAACACATAATTATTGCTATTATTTTAAAATATGCAACATAACCTCACAAACAGCAGCTTTGGTAGCACAATGAATAGCAAAAACATCATTGTATTCTGTACAAAGCTTGTGGTTTGTTTGTTTACAAAATTTGCCTAAATTGCTTTACACTGAGTAGCACAATTATTATTGTGATTATTATGTTTTGGATTTCTTTGTATTTTACTCTGGAAGTTTTATTCGGAGGGGGGAAGCCAGCCTAGAAGTAAGATTCCTTTTTCCCTTCCAAGCCAAATCTCAGCCCACCTCAGTCGCCAGCCTTGTTGTCTATGGCAGGCCAGTAATACTGGCCTTTTACGTAAAGAGATGTGAGCACCTTAGAGACTGAATACAAGTATGGATTATTATCACCGTCGCGTCATTTGTGCGAAATTCACTGTCATCCACTGGGATTCTTTTTACTGCTTTGTGGGGTCCTAATAACATTACGGCTGTGCTCTGGCTTTTTGTGTGGTTCCCCACTAACCCAGCAACACAACTTTCATTTGTGTTTCTTCAGCAGTCATCGCAAGTAACAAACCAGACAATCCCAATTTGAAGCATTGTTCCTATTTATTACAGACAGAGCTCCCCAAATCCGGACACTCTATTAAGGGGGTGATGGAAAATAGATTATGAATGGAAGGATGCCCACCCCCACTTTTTTTTTTGGGGGGGGGAAACCAGCTGACGATGAGGGAATATTCCGGGATTCCCTTCCACTCTTTGTCCCGCTGAATAGATTTTATTGGTTGAGTGATGGATCCTCCCTGCGCTTCTGAGATGATTTATAGATCTTTGTTACACAAATGCCCCTTCTCTTCTTCCTTACCCCTCACAACGGCCATTAGTCACCGCCGTCTAAATGAAGATCAGGCAAGTGAGAGCCAGCTAATGACCCTAGCGGAATTCGTTTGGAGTGTCCTTTCTTTGTTTTCTGTATAAAGAAAATAGAAGGGGGTAGCAAGGAATCATTGCAATGGAAAAGAGGGGGAAAAAAGTTGTGAGGAAAACTGTTTTCTGGGTGCCGTGCCCACCCAGGGCCTTCTTATCAGTGTTCTGGGCCCCCTCCCAACACACAAACACGCACAGAAAAGTCAAAAGGTTGGCCGTAAAGGGCACCATTAATCAGAAAGTCCCAGACTGTAAGGGAGGGAAACGGCAATGGCATTTTTCATCAGGCCGGACGGTTATTAAAAGCAGCCAACGTAACAGGGGCTGATAACATCCTTAAAACTTTGCATCAAAGTGACTAACACCTGTTTTGATAACGGTACGCATTTGTGGGTCTGGAAACCAAGCCTTGTGAGGAACGGCTGAGGGAGTGTTTAGCCTGGAGAAGACGGAGAGGTGATAGGAGAGCCATCCTTGTACAGTGGTACCTTGGGTTAAGAACTTAATTCATTCCAGAGGTCTGTTCTTAACCTGAAACTATTCTTAACCTAAAGCACCACTTTAGCGAAAGGGGTCTCCTGCTGCAGCTGCGCTGCCACCACATGATTTCTGTTCTCATCCTGAAGCAAAGTTCTTAACCTGAGGTACTATTTCTGGGTTAACGGGGTCTGTAACCAGAAGGGTCTGTAACCTGAGGTACCACTGTATATCTGAGGGGCTTTCATGTGGGTGATGGAAGCAAGCTTGTTTACTACGGCTCCAGAGGATAGGACCCAAACCAATGGATTCAAATGATGGGAAAGGAGATTACGACTAAACATTAGGAAGAACTTTCTGGCGGTAAGAGCTGTTCGACAGCGGAATGGACTCCCTTGGAAGATGGTGGACTCTCCTTCGCTGGAGGTTTCAAAACAGAGTATGGATGGTCATCTGTCAATGAGTCTATGGCTGTGATTCCTTCCTTGCAAGGGGTTGGACTAGATGACCCTCAGGGTCCTTCCCAACTCTACAGTTCTACGATTCTGTGTCAAACAGTGCATATAGGGTGGAAAGGAGCCCCTCCCAATGTTTTCTCTGGTCATCCAACTTCTTAAATTCAGTGGAATTTAAATAGCACAGCTGTTCCGCCCCTGTCAGTTGCTCTAGACATTTCCCTCTCTTCCCTAGGAACTATCCCAGTCACTTTAGCCCTGCCCTACCCAAATAGCACTGCCTTCGTTTCTTCTCTCCTCCCCCTGAAATTAAAGCAGAAGAGCAATGATTGGGGGACACTAAATCGTCCGTGTCTGGAAGCGCCACGAGGATAATGCCTCATGCATCTGGCAAGGTGGGTTCTGGCTTGCAGAAGCTTCTCCAGGATCCTTATCCATAGAAGTCAGAAACAGAGACAGGGCTACTGACTGGGGAGAAATATTAGCAGACAGGGTCTGCCCCTGGTAAATGAGGGCACTTGGAGCTTACAAAGCGACTGACAAGCTCAGATGGAAGGGACAGAACTTAAACGGACTCGTAAATGGCGACTGTTTGGAAGCTACCTTATACAGAGTCAGATCACTGGTCTGTGTATCTCAGCACTGTCTATGTTGACAGCCAACAGCTGCGGTGGGAGGAAGCATTTCCTCAGGGCGAATGGGGCAGTGCCCCACCAATCTCAGCCTGCCCACAGCCAGCCTCCCTCCTTCCTTCCAGCTACTCAGGGGCTGGCACTGCCTCTCCTTGGCTCCACCTCCTGTTGGCCTCCCTGTCCTACCAGCTCCAATGGGTGCAAACCACCCCTGATTCCGCTCTCCAGGGTTTGAGGAGAGCCTGGAGTTGCTGTTGGGGATTGAACCTGTGACTCTCCACACACACACACACACACACTCGGGTCTCTGCCCACTGACCCACGGCCCTCCTTGCGTGAGGTCATGTCAACACATGTGCCAATATGGCAACGAGAATCTGCTGCAGCAAGGCAAGGGCATTTGCCAGGCTTTCGCTCTCCTGGCGGACGGGGAGATTAAAATGAGGGAACGCAGCCGGCTGGATGAACTCTTTGTAACTGGCTGACTGACCGAACCCAAAGGGTGCTCATCAATGGTTCCTCTTCAACCTGGAGAAGAGTGACTAGTGGGGTGCCACAGGGTTCTGTCTTGGGCCCGGTCTTATTCAACATCTTTATCAACGACTTGGATGATGGACTCAAGGGCATCCTGATCAAATTTGCAGATGACACCAAACTGGGAGGGGTGGCTAACACCCCAGAGGACAGGATCACACTTCAAAACGACCTTGACAGATTAGAGAACTGGGCCAAAACAAACAAGATGAATTTTAACAGGGAGAAATGTAAAGCACTGCACTTGGGCAAAAAAAATGAGAGGCACAAATACAAGATGGGTGACACCTGGCTTGAGAGCAGTACATGTGAAAAGGATCTAGGAGTCTTGGTTGACCACAAACTTGACATGAGCCAACAGTGTGACGCGGCAGCTAAAAAAGCCAATGCAATTCTGGGCTGCATCAATAGGAGTATAGCATCTAGATCAAGGGAAGCAATAGTGCCACTGTATTCTGCTCTGGTCAGACCTCACCTGGAGTACTGTGTCCAGTTCTGGGCACTACAGTTCAAGAAGGACACTGACAAACTGGAACGTGTCCAGAGGAGGGCAACCAAAATGGTCAAAGGCCTGGAAATGATGCCTTATGAGGAACGGCTAAGGGAGCTGGGCATGTTTAGCCTGGAGAAGAGGAGGTTAAGGGGTGATATGATAGCCATGTTCAAATATATAAAAGGATGTCACATAGAGGAGGGAGAAAGGTTGTTTTCTGCTGCTCCAGAGAAGCGGACACGGAGCAATGGATCCAAACTGCAAGAAAGAAGATTCCACCTAAACATTAGGAAGAACTTCCTGACAGTAAGAGCTGTTCGACAGTGGAATTTGCTGCCAAGGAGTGTGGTGGAGTCTCCTTCTTTGGAGGTCTTTAAGCAGAGGCTTGACAACCATATGTCAGGAGTGCTCTGATGGTGTTTCCTGCTTGGCAGG